ATTTTTACCTCAGGTATATTTCAAATATTAATTTTAAATCATATTGAGTATATAGATAATTCCTGGATTTCTTTCTGTAATGCAAATATGTTTATCGAGTCTTTTAGAGTTTTATTTTCAACAATTGAGTATTCTTGTTACTATTGTTAAGCAGCATATAAGAAATTATTTAAGTGATATTTTTAAATTAATTTATGATTATTGGAACTCTAATTCTACACTTCAAATTACTATTCTTTCTCTTGTTGAATCAATTGTTATGGCTCTTGAAGGAGAATTTAAAGCATATTTGCCAACTCTTCTTTCATTGATGCTTCAGGTACTTGAAACAGATACTACAGACAATAGACAGTCTACTCAGGAAATTCTTCGTTCATTTGTTGTATTTGGATCTAATATTGAGGAGTATATACATCTTATACTTCCGGTTGTAGTTAAGATGTTTGAAAGACATGATCTTCCTGTATCATTGCGCAAAATTGCTATTCAAACAGTGGCTCAGTTATCTCGCAAAATTAATTTTGTTAATCATGCTTCTAGAATTATTCATCCTCTTGCACGTGTTCTTTCAACTGGAATACATGAATTGAAAGTAGCCTCCATGGACACTTTATGTGCATTAGTATTTCAACTTGGCCTTGATTATACTATTTTTATTCCTATGATTAATAAAGTATATTTTCTATCTTTTAAAATTTTTCTTAATTTATATTAGTGCTTAATAAATAATCATATTCAGCATCAAAATTATGAGCTTTTAGTATCAAGGCTTTTAAAAGGTGAATCACTTCCTCAAGACTTAAATTCTGATGAAAAGTAATATATATTTATAAAGTAATTCACTAATAAATAAATAGATTTTGCGACAGAAGGATAGAAGATGCATCTTCAGCTGATATTAATGCGAAAAAATTATCAGTTAACCAACAACATTTAAAAAATGCATGGGAGACATCTCAAAAATCTACAAAAGATGATTGGCAAGAATGGATTCGCAGATTAAGCGTTGAATTATTAAAAGAGTCTCCATCTCATGCTTTGAGGGCTTGTGCTAGTTTAGCTGCTGTTTATTATCCTTTATCAAGAGAATTATTCAATGTTGCATTTCTTTCATGTTGGAATGAATTGTCTGATCATTATCAAGAAGAGCTTGTTAGATCTATTGAAATAGCTTTGGCTTCACCTAATATACCTGCTGAAACTTTGCAAAATCTTTTAAATTTAGCAGAGTTTATGGAACATGATGATAAAACATTACCAATAGATATCAGAACTTTAGGTGCATATGCAGCAAAATGCCATGCATTCGCAAAAGCATTGCACTATAAAGAGCTTGAATTTATTTCAGAACCATCTACTGATACTATTGAAGCTTTAATAAGTATTAATAATCATTTACAACAACCAGATGCAGCTATTGGTATATTAAGCTATGCACAGCAACATAACCTTGAATTAAAAGAAACATGGTATGAAAAGCTTGAACGATGGGAAGATGCTTTAGCAACCTATGAAAAACGTTCTATTGAAGATAATTCATTTGAAGTAACTATGGGTAAAATGAGATGTCTTCATGCATTAGGAGAATGGGAACTACTTTCTCAACTTGCAAGAGAAAGATGGGAGACTGCTACTAATGATATGCGAAGATCTATTTCTCCTTTAGCAGCAGCAGCAGCTTGGGGATTGGGTCAATGGGAATTAATGGATGATTATATTTCATCAATGAAACATGAATCTTTGGACAAATCTTTCTTCAAAGCAATAATTTCTTTACACCGTAACCAATTTAATGAAACTGTTTTTCATATTTCTAAGGCTAGGGAATTACTTGATACAGAGTTTACGGCTCTTATAGGAGAGAGTTACAACAGAGCATATTAGTAAATTATTCATATGTTTTTTTGCATTTTTTAAAATTTCTAGTGTTGCTGTTCGTGTGCAAATGTTAGCAGAATTGGAGGAAATTATAATATACAAGCAAAACAATGAACATCCTGAAATTCAGTCTACAATGCGTAAAACTTGGATGAAAAGGTTACATATTGATGAAAAATTTAATAACTAACATATTATTAGACTTAATGGTTGTCAACGTAATGTTGAAGTCTGGCAACGTATGTTAAAAATGAAGGCTCTTGTTATTTCACCAAAAGAAAATATGGAAATGTGGATAAAATTCTCCAATCTTTGCAGAAAATCAGGACGTTTAGGCTTAGCAGAAAAATCATTGAATTCTTTACTTGATACTAATGAGTCTATTGGAGATCTCCCGGTATTCCTTTTGATATAATCTAAATATTTAATTAATTTATCTTAGTCATCTACTAATGTCCCACCAAAAGTTGTATATACTCATTTAAAATATATGTGGGAAACAGATGATAAACATGAAGCTCTTGAGCGTCTTAAAGAATTTAGCAATTCTTTATCAAAAGATTTAAAAATTACTTCAATAAATGAAACATTTCAATCCTTAAGTCTTGATCAAGAAAAAAAGACTAGTTATAATGATTATTCCAAACTGTTATCTCGATGTTATCATAAGCAAGGTGAATGGCAAAGTGTTCTCCAAGGAAATTTGACAAAAACAAATATTTCTGAAATCCTTCATTCCTACAAACTCGCAACAGAATATGATCCTGAATATTATAAAGCCTGGCATTCATGGGCTTTAGCTAATTTTGAAGTGGTAGCTTTTTATGAGAAGGAAAATAAAAATCTATCACCTGAAATTTATGATGAACATATTTTGCCTGCTATTAAAGGTTAGTATTATTATTATTATTATTATGTCACACATTTATTTATGATTAGGATTTTTTCGTTCTATAGCATTAAGCACTGGGAATTCTCTTCAAGACACTTTAAGATTATTAAATTTATGGTTTAAATTTGGAAATCATTTACAAGTTGGTTCTTCTATATTAGAAGGAATTGCATCTGTAAGCATTGATACATGGTTAGATGTTATTCCTCAGGTTTTTTAACTGTTTTTTATTTTTAAAATAACCTTTATTATATAGCTTATTGCTCGTATCCATTCTCCAAATAGTAATATTCAAAAATCTATTCATCAGCTTTTAGCAGATGTTGGGAAATCACATCCACAGGCTCTTGTGTACCCTCTTACAGTAGCATCAAAATCTCAAAATATTTCTCGTCAGAAGTCTGCTCTAGAAATTATTGATAAGATTCGAAATCATAGCGCATTATTAGTTGAACAGGCTTTGCTTGTAAGTCATGAATTGATTCGTGTGGCTATATTATGGCATGAACAATGGCATGAGGGCTTAGAGGAGGCTTCTAGATTATATTTTGGAGATCATAATATTGAAGCAATGTTTAATATTTTAGAGCCATTGCATGAAATGTTAGAAAGGGTATTACACTTTATAATAATAGTATTAGAATAACTTTTTAGGGCCCAGAAACACTTCGAGAAATCTCGTTTCATCAAGCATTTGGTCGAGATCTTCAAGAAGCAAGGGAATGGTGTATAAAATATCGTAAAACAGGTGAAATTGGGGATTTAAATCAAGCATGGGATCTTTATTATCAAGTATGATTCTATATTATATTTATATACAAATAAATTAATATATTTAGGTATTTCGAAAGATTACAAAGCAGCTCCCGCAGTTAACTACACTAGAATTGCAATATGTTTCACCTAAAATTTTATCAGCAGTAGATCTTGAATTGGCAGTTCCTGGTACTTATGTGAGTAAAAAGCCGATTATTAGAATAATTAGTTTTTCTTCTACATTTACTGTGATTACTTCTAAACAAAGACCAAGACGCTTGACTATTAGAGGCAGTGATGGAAAGGATTATCAATATGTATTAAAAGGACATGAAGACATTAGACAAGATGAAAGAGTAATGCAATTGTTTGGATTAGTGAATACTCTTTTGTCTGTCGATTCAGAATCATTTAAAAGACATCTTAATATTCAAAGATATCCTGTAATTCCTTTATCGCCTAATTCTGGGTTATTAGGATGGGTTCCAGATAGTGATACATTACATGTTTTAATCAAAGATTACCGGGAAAGTCGTAAAATTTTGCTTAATATTGAACATAGATTAATGCTTCAAATGGCTCCAGATTATGATAATCTTACATTGCTTCAAAAAGTTGAGGTCTTTGAATATGCATTAGATAATACTACTGGACAAGATTTGTATAGAGTTTTATGGTTAAAAAGTAAGAATAGTGAGGTTTGGCTAGATCGTAGAACAAATTATACGAGATCTTTAGCTGTAATGTCAATGGTAGGTTATATCTTGGGATTGGGGGATCGTCATCCATCAAATATTATGCTAGATCGTCATACAGGAAAAGCTATTCATATAGATTTTGGTGATTGCTTTGAAGTTGCAATGAATAGAGAAAAATTTCCAGAAAAGATTCCTTTTCGTCTTACACGAATGCTTACAAATGCAATGGAAGTTAGTGGTATAGAAGGAAGTTTTAGAATAACATGTGAACATGTAATGCGAGTATTACGTGATAATAAAGAATCATTAATGGCATTATTGGAAGCTTTTGTCTACGACCCATTGGTCAATTGGAAATTAATAAATACAAATCCTAATGTTGCTACACATCGAAATGAACAGAATGAATCTTCAAAAATACCTGCTAAACAAAATCAAGAAAATGAATCAACTTGGAAAGCACAATATCGCTATGAAATTTCCAATCAGAGTGCTGTCAATGTACTTAACCGTGTTTCAAACAAATTAACTGGTCGAGATTTTAAATTAAATCAAGAATTAGATATTCCAAGCCAAGTTAATAGGTTAATTCAACAAGCAACATCTTTAGAAAATTTAAGTCAATGTTATATTGGGTGGTGTAGTTTTTGGTAAATTAATCTATACATATAATAATTAATCAAAAATAAATAATAAGCTTTAACGATAAATAAAACTAATCGTAATAACAGTCTACTAAATACAAATAAGTATTTTAACACTAATCTTCTTCATTATCATGTATTTAAGGTATCAAGTTTTTGTGATGCATCTAAACGATTCTTTGATTTAGATTGATAATCTTTAATAGCTGATTTAATTGCATCTGGACTATATCAGTCGATTCATTTCTATATATCTCTATAAACCTTCTGCAAGCATGGAACAATGTAATTTAACCGGAGGAAGACAAAGTTCTTTTGCAATTTCTGTATTCTTCACTTTCGACGCTTCCTCAAGCTTCATTCCTTTGATTAATTCTGTCATATATGATGATGATGCTATTGCTGATCCACATCCAAATGTTTTAAATTTTGCTTCTGATATACGTCCTTCCGAATCCACTCTAATTGACAAACGCATAACATCTCCGCATGCTGGTGCTCCTACTAATCCGATACCAACGTCTGGATCTTCTTTTTTCATTGATCCTACATTTCTTGGATTGTTATAATGATCTAAAAGTTCTCAAAAATAAGCTTTAAAACCCGGGGAAAAAAGGTTATTATCTTTTTCATGGTATTTTCTTATGTTTCTATATGAAAAAACTGGGTTAATCTTTATTTTTAAAGGGTTTAAGACACTTAATAATCTAATATGTTTCATCTGAGGTTGTCTTCCGTACTTATCGAAATGAGGCCTAGAAGCAGCTGTGTTATTAGAGTGCATAAAAAATAAGAGGGTCTAACAGATGATAAAATGAATATAAAGAAGAGATTTAATATATTTTAAATAGAGGGAAATTATTCTATAAATAATATTTTTTTTTCAGAAAAAAAAAGGGCAAATAGATGTGAAAATAGAGTTTAAAGAAATTATGAAGAAAAATACCTAGTAAATTGACAGAATTTATTGGAAATAATATGGGAATTTTCTTGGATTAATATTAGAAATTAACAGGATGATTTTTTATTTTAAGAAAAAAGAGATATTTTGAATATAAAAAAAAAGATTCAGAATAAAAATATACAACAAATGTCATTATCATTATTAAGGATTCTATCAGGATAATATTAATTATTTTAAATACTATATTATTATAGGAAAAAATATACTTTTTATAAAATATGAATATCAAAAAAAAAATATAAATAAGGAATATAAGGATTGGAGGTTTCATAATAGATATATTTGAGTTATAGATCAGGTAAATATTCTTTATTTTCTTATATTAAAATTTTCACTAAATTATAGGGTTGGTTAAGGAAAACGTAGAGTTTTAAGAGGATATAAAGTTTGTTAGAAGTATTAAAAGAGCTGAATCAGAAATATGAGTAAATCTTATCAAAAAAACTATTCTTATGGTAGTTTTTTTGCTATTAATTTTGGCTTTATTAATAGATTTTTAGGACAAAAAATGAAATTTAAAACAAAGAATCCAAATGCAAAGAAAAAACATAATAACAATCAATCTTTTGAAGATAATAGAGAAAATTTAATAGAAGGATTTGCTTTAGATAAATCTTTAAAAAATAATCAGACATTTGCCCAGGAAATATCATTAAATAAGCTATCTACGTTACAAAGGTTTATTGTGGTATATTTTATTTGTATTAAGCTGTATTTTTCCTTATAATACTAAGGAACCTTCAAATATTCCTGAGAGAAATGAATATTGTGATAGAAAGGAGCTATTGGATAGTCATATTGATAATAATATGGAACAAATAATCAATAAAACTAAAACATGTAATATATCAAATAAAATGAATGAAATGAAGGAAGATTATGATAGGGAGAATGAGAATGAAGTTTCTGTTGATTTGAAAAAAACATGGCTACAAGAGCGAGAATTTTTTTTATTAGAAATTTCAAAATTACAGGATTCATTAAAAGCTCAAGAGAGCCGGTTTTATAGTGTTATTGAAGAGAATGAAAAGAAATTGGAAACTGTTCTAGATGAAAAGCAACAGCTTGAATTGCAATATCGTGGTTTATTGGGAAAATTATCTTCAATAAAACAAGGTCTTGAAGAGAAATTAAAGGCTGATTCTGTATATATAACTTAAAACTTTTTATATTAGGTCTTATAATTCTAGGAAGATTTGGCATCTACAAAGAAAACGATAGAAGAACTTAAAAAGAAAAATTCTGCTCTTTTAGAGGAAATTTCTTGCCTGAAAAAAGAACTTATTGATACCAATAATGATTGTTATAAAAAATCAAAAGAAATTGTTGAATTGCATGATAAAATTGATCGGTCAGAGAAGAACTGGATTAATGAAAAAGATATTTTATATAAACAGCAGTCTAATTATATTGAGAATCTTGAGAAATATAAAAAAATATCAAAAGATTGGAAGGAAATAGCATTAGAAGAAAGAAGCCATAAGGATGATTTTAAAAAGAAAGTGGATGATTTTGAAGAAAGAATTAAAGAATATGAAAATTCATTAAAACAGAGTCAAAGTTTAAATAATAACCTTAAAAAAGAAAATGAAAAAAATAATCAAGTAATTGATGAATACAAAATGAAAATTGATAAGATTAGTGAAGGTAATTCTATAATTGTTATTATTTTCTTGTTAATGTTACCAGATTATAAAAGTGATCTTAATGAGGCTACAAATGAATTACAAGCGAAAATAGATACTCTTAATGACAAAAATAGCCAATTAGAAGCTCAAATAAATAGTTTAGTCCTTGAAGATGAGAAAGATAAAAAGGAAATTGAAAGACTTAAAGTATTTGAAAAAGAGATTAAAGAGAAAAATTTACTTATTGGTAAATTAAGACATGAAGGTATGAATTTTATATGATAGTATTCTTTTTTATTTTAATAGCTGTTATTTTAAATGAACATCTTGTGAAAACTTTAAACTTATTAAGAAGAAACAATTCAGAAGACAATATTGATAAGTATTATTTGAATTGGTTTCTATATTATTTTTATTTACTTTCTTTAGAAAACTTGTTACGAATCTTATTTTGTCTTTTATTACTCTTCCAAGGGATGATGCAAAACGTTATGAAATTTTGCAATTAATGTCTGCATTTCTTCAATGGACAGATGAGCAGAAGGAGCTTTCAGGACTGATACGATCAAGAAAATCATCATTTAAAGATGTTTTATTCGGTTCTAATGTTTCTTCGGAGCCATTATCGTATAATTCTTCAAATTTTGATTATAAATTTCATATAAATCAGGCTTTATCTGATAATAAAGTAAAGTAAATATATAATTTTTTACATTATACTTAAATAACATAGTCAATGTCTGATCTTTGGATTAACTTTCTTCAAAATGAAATATCTACTAAAGATCCCAACTTAAACAAATAATTTAAATGTTATGATATACTGCTTTATTTCTAAAATACATATTTATTTTTAAGATTGGAAATGGTAAGTTTAGTATAAATCTGGTTTTACTAGAAAGTGTTTTTATAAAGATTTATGATATTTGTTACGATTAGTGATAGTATACCAATATTTCTAACATTACATTTTTCTATTTCAACTAATTTAAAATAGCCATAAATCAAGGTTAAAATGAATTTTATGACAACATATATGAACAAATGATATTTAATATTGATAAATGTACCATTTTGATTTTGAATTATGCATAAATAGTTCATAATAAACAGTTAAATTATATATATATTTATAATGCTGTAATAAAAATTATTTATTATTAGTCAATATTTTTTATAGCAAATTCTAAGGCTTGCCAGACTTCATTAGATGTAGAATATTTTCCAAGAGCAGATAATTTTGCATCTTTAACTTTATGAGCAGCAATATTATGATAAAAAGTTGTTGTACAGCTTTTAAGAAAGACGCCTGCTTCAATAGTTATTGAAGCAAGATCAATAACGTTAATTTTTTGACTTTTTGTTAAGTATGAAGCATTTAAAGCATCCCACATACTTGATCTAGCATCTGAAGTATCATTTTCATTAATTGTTTCGGAAAGTGATGACTTTATGCTTTTATAAAAGGTTAATCTTATATTAATGTCAATTTTTGTTGAAAATGGGCATGTCAATTTTGATAAAACTAGGTTATCTACTTCTGATTCCAATTTAACAGCAACATCTGGTTTTTTCTCATCCAATGTAGGAGAATCGTCTAGATTCTTTCTTTTTTTTCCGAATAACCATTCTCTTTGTTCACTTTCTTTTCTTTTATAAAAAGTTTCATCAACAATATTTGGTTTTTTAAATTGTAAAGATCCTCTATCAGCAATTGGAATTTCTTCATCACTTTCTGAGCTAGTATTCGTTGTTCTATTACTTTTTTTATAGTTGTCTGAAATCTTTGATGTATTATCCTCGAAATACTTCTCTGGAGTTAAAGGAGGATAGGACTCGCTTAAATGAGATTCCTCTGTCAATTGAGAGATTTTATTAATTTTTACTTTTTCCTAAAGATATTAATATGAATTAAATATATATATATATATGTTAGAAGTACTGGATTTTTGCTATAATAATAGTTAGTATGGTTTGATATAAAAACAGATATACCATATATCACATGATTTAATACAATTTTGATTATCTGAATTTTCAGAAATTATTTCACTAAAATATTCAATTAAAAACAAATGTCTGCATTTTGTTACATTTTCGCAGTAATTCACTAACTAAAAACCTATATTATTTATTTATTAAATATAGAAATATTACCATTTCAAAACTATTTATATTAAAAGCATCCTTTTCTTCCAATTTTCTTTTTCTTTTCTTCTGTTCTATTTCTTGGTGTAAGATATATCGAGTTCTATCACGATCTTCTCTTGAATAATATAATATACAACGACTAGTTTTGTTATCTCTCCCTGCACGACCTGCTTCTTGATAATATGCTGCCAATTCTAAGAAAATATATTTACTATTATTCACAAACCTTCCATGCTTTTTGACATGTCCCAATGTACTACAAATCTTACCTTTAAATTATAAGTTATTTATAAATATGAAATTCTTATGATTTACATCTTCCTTATCAACACCCATTCCAAATGCAATTGTTGCTACAATTATATCTATTTTTCCTTCACACCAAAGCTTCATAATCCTGTCGCGTGTTGTTGGAGATAATCCTGCATGATATGATTGGGCATTAATTCCATCACTCTTAAGTCTCTTTGCTACTTCTTCACATGTATCTCTTTTTTTAGCATATATTATTCCACATATAGAAACAAATAGATTTTTATTTGAATTTATATCATTCTTATGATTACCATTCATAAGAGATAGCCTTTTTTTCTTTCTTGTATATACTGAAAGTATAAATTTTTGAAAATCTTCATAATGATCATGTTTTTCAGATCTATAACGTACTTCAAAATGTAAATTCTTCCTAGAAAAGGTCTCTATGAATACTTTAAGAATTGGAGGAGGTGGAAGTCCTAATATTTTAACAACATCTAATCTAACTCTATAAAAGTTAAAAATTATTAAAACATATTTAGATAATGGCAACTTCTCAGTAGCTAAAAATAATAAGACAAAAAATATTAGCATAGGGATTTACCTGTTGCTGTTAATGCCATAATTGGTATTTTGGGGTATTTCTAAAATAATTAAAATAATAATTTACCAAATAAAATATACCTTTCTTAAAAATGATAACAGTTTATAATCTTTTCTAAAATCATGTCCCCATTCTGAAACACAATGTGCCTCATCAATAACAAATCTATGTCTTTAATCATTATTATATGTATTTTATTTGATTCTAGATTTACAATTCTCCATGTTGATAAACATTCAGAAGATCTTTCCGAAAACTTTCTGTTGAAAGAAGTTCCGGTGTTACTTAACAATAAATTAATCCATTCCATCCTCTCAATATTTCATTTACCATAAAGAAGCCTTACTTGAGGATGTCCACACGCCAAATCTTCAAGAATCTGTCATTTAAAATCAAAATAAAGAGATAAATGATTTATAAAATTACACGTCTTCTATTTTCCTTTGATGTTGTAGAATTAAGCGTTGCTGCTGGTAGTTTTTTTGCACGTAAAATGTCCACTTGGTTATTCTTTTAAATAATCAATATTTTAACTGATCCTTCAATAAAAAACAATAAACCATCAATGCTAGAAGTGGCGAAACAACAATAGTAACGCCATGATCTGCTACAATTGCTGGAAGTTGGTAACATAGGCTTTTACCCATTCCTGTAGGCGCAATAATAAAAATATCTTCTCCTAAAACCATTTTCCTGGAGGAAAAACAATATATATCTAAATACCTTTTAATGCTGATTCTATAGCTTCCTTTTGACACCCTCTAAACTCTGATTTTCCAAAAACTAAGAAAAATATTAAAAATTAATTAATAAATTAACTTTCTTAACCTTTTCTAAGGGTAAAGTTAATATCAATTGTTGATACAACGCGGTTTGTCTTTGACATTCTTAATATTTTTAAGAAAATTCTTAAGAACTTAAGAAAAACTATTAAATTTCAATTAAGTTAAATCTCATTTATATATATATAAAAATGAAACATTAAAAAAAAAGGAAAAAGGCGTTTTATAGTTTTATAGATAAGAATAAAAGAAGAAGAAGTTGTTAGGAATGTGTTGAGTTGTGTATTTGGAAGTAATTTTTTTTTTTTGAAAAAAAGAAGATGAAATTTGAATTTAGAAAAAATAAGTAAAAAATAATAAATTTGTGCTAAAACCCCTGAAAGAGATCAAAACTCTGCATTTGAAAAACATTTGAATGAAAAAAATAATAAAACTAAAACTTTAAAAATCAAGAGAATAACTATGAAAATATAAGATGCTCTCGTCGTAAATATAACATGCAGGTATCCAATTATTAAATTCTAAACTTGAATAACTATCGGAAACCTAGTAATTTCAAAATCCTAAATTGAAAAAAATTAATAAAATTCATTATAAAAAAAAAAAAAAGAATACCATGAACTTTAACAGATTTCTTTTGAATAGGTAATTGGGATGTTAAAAATTCCATAACCTTAGCACGTTGATCTCCTTGAAGCTGGATTACTTCTCCCATTTCATCATCTTTAACTATTGTGCCGTTACAAGCAAAATCCTATCCGATTGCTTAAAAACATTATATTATTATAAAATAAAAATATTAACCTTCTTCAACGCTCTGAGAATACGTTTTTGATCATATTCCAATGGTAATCCTTGAATAGTTGTAAGAGTTTTACGTCCATTACGTTGCTGAATTCTAATATCTTAAAAAAATTTAATTCTATTCAAAAAAAACATTTTTTTCGGCTTTTTCCCCCGAAAAAAATATCATAAACATACGAATATAACTTTTGAGAGGTGTATCATCATCGCCTGTATCAAAAAAAGGATCTATTTCCCTTATTATTTCTTGTTTTTTTTCTTTTAAAAACTTACCGATTGTTTGAAAATTGGTAATTGTAGACATAAACAGTCAGTTCCTTATTCTAATACTATTTATATATGAAATATTGACTATTTGGCCCTTTATTCCTTAAAATATGGCTTTTTATCTCTGTTTTTTTGTAGATTTTTTTTGATTGATGTTAAGTCCACGACGGATATTTTGATTGTTTTTAAATGCGAAAAAAAATATCAGCTCAAAGGATTATCTTTATTTTTTCCTTCAAAACATAAATCTTCTTTGCTAACCCTTTTTTATTTTAAAATTTTGTTAAACTCCCATTTTTTTTGCTTATTTTTTGTTTTTGCCCTCTTTTTATAGCCTTGAAAATTCTTTCAAGGTTTTAATATGAAAAAAATCTTAAGATTTCTTTTGTATTTTATATTCTTTAAGATTCAATAGTTTTAAAGGCTTTTTTAAAGCGTTATAACTATATAGATTCTTTATTTTAAGTTCTTTAAAAATTTAAACACGATCACTTTATTTTTGTCTTTATTTATTAAGGAAAGCTATGGATTTGCTTGGGTTAAGCTGGGTATTTGATTGAGAAGCAGTTGGTTTCTTTAGTTTTGTAATATTTATAAAAATAGGATAATATATTAGATAAGAGATAAGATAAGAGATAAGATAAGAGATTAGATAAGATATCATATAATATAAGAGATAAGAGATAAGATGATATATAAGAAGGTTGCTATGGTATATTTAGACGTTTTTATTAATAAAAGATCAAAAAAATGAATGTTTTAGCTTTAATTTTGCTTATAAGCAAGTTTTATATGAATGTTTATGGGTTATTTGAATGTTCATTTAATCTGGATGGATTTTGGTTTAATTTGAAGGCATTGGATTATATATATTATGTGACGAATATATATACATTAGATACAGAAAAAATAAATATGACATGGAGTATTAGTTTATGTAAAGGAATGAATTCAGAGGTTTTTGGAGGGGAAGGGAATTGTAAGAAAGAATCACGAAGTATGAAGGGGAAAAAATGGAGAAAAATGTATTTTTAATGATAAAATTAGTATGTGGGGTTAAAAGAGTTATTTCAGGGGAAAAAGAAAGGATTGAAGAAGTGAAAGGACTTTATTTTGACATTGATGATAAATATTTAACAGATAGTTTGTTTTAGTATCGAAAGATTAATTACTAATGGGATTTAAGATGGGTTTGAAGTGATGTTTCATAATAATCGAGCTAGAAAAAGCAATTTATCGGCAATTATTAATTTTATATGTGATGAGAAGGTATTTGTGTTTTTTTATGTATAAATTAATATTTTATATTATTTTTAGGAACATGATCCAAAATTGATTGCTTATAAATATTCTATGGTTTGGTTAGAATGGAAGACAAAGTCTGCATGTAAGGATATCAATTATGTGAAAAAGAAGAATGGAACGTCTATTTTTTCTTTTTTTATATGGCTTATTATTATTTTCATTTTAATTATTTTATTTTTTATTTTTTCTCATATATATTTCAATTATAGACAGTATTTTTCCAAAAAAAAGAGGGAATTAGATTAATTAACTGATTTATAGTTATGGTTTCTTTGAATTCGATTTATTTTCATACATAGAAATGATCAAAAATATGAAATATTTTATTAAAGATTTTGCATTAAGGGTAATTGTTTATATAAGGAATATGGGAGGTCCATATAGAGAAGGATATACTGCTATCTAATCAAATTTCTTTTTTTTTTCTTTTTTTTTATTCTGGTAATTATTTTTTTAAACAAATATATTGCTTTCATTTATATAGATTATAAATTCATTAATTATAGAGAAGAATATGAATTCCTTGTTCTTTAAAGGTCTTCTGGTTTGAATTTCTCTGCTTTAAATTGATATTCTTTTTATAATTACTCGGTTATCGAAGGTTTGTCTGCTTTAGATTAAGTTGAAAAGTAAAAATTTTAAAATTCTTCTTTTAAATACATGGAAAATATGTCAAAAGTAACTCTTATGTCTTCAGATAATGAGAGTTTTATTGTTGGTAATTTTGATTAAAAAAAAAGTAATAAAAATTGATTTTTTTAGATAAAATAGTTGCAGAAAGATCTATTTTAATAAAAAATATGCTTGAGGGTATGAATGAAGAATAAAGGGAATTTATAGGACTCAATTATTATTAAATTTATAGATATTGGAGAATTGGATTCACCTATTCCATTACCAAACGTAACATCCAATGTTTTAAGAAAAGTAATAAATGTATTATTTTTATGGAATTTTTATTAAAAAAATATGTAAAAAAAGGTTCTTGAATGGTGTGAACATCATCGTGGAGATCCTCTTTTATCAACAGATGATGATTCGGATTTATCTATGCATCGTTTGAAAAAATCTACAGAGATTGATGAATGGGATCAAAAGTTTATGCAAGTTGATCAAGAAATGCTTTTCGAGATAATTTTAGCGAGCAATTATCTTGATATTAAGCCTCTTCTTGATATTGGATGTAAAACAGTAGCAAATATGATTAAAAACAAGACACCTGAAGAAATTCGTAAAACGTAAGTAGTAAATGACTCATTATTTAGATAAGACACTTTAAGTCTTAAATATTTTTTTAAAATATGTTAATATAATCTTTTAGATTTAATATTGTAAATGATTTTACTCCAGAAGAAGAGGAAATTATAAAAAAAGAGGTTATTATAATTTTTTATGAATTCAAATCATTAACCTTTATAATTTAAAGAATGAATGGGCTGAGGATCGTTAATAGAAAAATATTAAACACTATAATTTATAAAAAGATTGGAGATTTATATTATTATTAAATTATACACTTGCGATCATTTTATTTTTAACAGGGAAAAGGTAATTGAATCTAATGTATCTTTTTTTTTGGCTTAATAGTTTTAAATGTACCGTTTTCTTAATAAATATATCTTGTATATTTTAGAATTAAAGATCAATAATTAAAATATATGGTTTTTTAATAAATTAAAACATAGAAATCTTTTTAAAGCTTAAATTATGTTGATTTTTTTTATTTTAAGAGGATTGAGATACTCTATATCAAAACATTCTATCTTTACTCTTTTTCAAGATAGAAAAAACAGATTTTATAGGAAATTAATACATAATATAGCTTCTAAATTGGATAATAAGGATTTTTCAGACTGTTTTTACTTGGAAAAACTCTTGGGTTTACTTTTTTTTTCAAAATATCGTCTTTTTTTTTGATAATTCTAGATGGATATCAAATTTTACTTAATAATAATCCATTTAAGACACCATCAGGAAAGAATTTTAAATTTCCATTGAGGAAACATAATCTGGCACATTCTCTTTTATCAGAATGTCGCACTTCTTCTTCTAATTTTTTTGAATATCACTCTTTACCATTAGTATCTTTATCTTCTAGAGCAATTGATGTTTTTTCAGAGAAAAAATACAGAGAAAAGGCTTCTAATGGGCTTTTAAAATATTTAGATACGGATACAGTTCTATCATTTGCACCAAAGAATGAATCAGGGGGTGATTTACTTATTTTACAGAAGAAAATGTGGGAACCTCTTCATGAATGGGCGCAAAAATATTGGAATGTAGAAATATTAAAGACAAATAATGATTTTGGAATTATAATGAACCCACAGCCTGAAAAAACGAAGAAATTAATTAAGGAATGGGTCTGTAATCTTGATCAATGGCAATTTGCAGCTCTTGAACGTGCAATTTGTCTTAGTAAAAGTTTTATTATTGGGGCAAAAATGGTAGCAACTGCAAACAGTCCATCAATTGAACGTTTAGATGCTGAAAAGGCTTTTAATTTGGCACAATTAGAGATTCTTTTTGAAATAGAACGTTGGGGTAAAATAGATGATAGTAAGAATATTATTAATATTTTATTTACTACTAAAATCTTGTAGCACATGATGTAGAGGAGAAAGATATAAAACGTCTTTTGGAAACTGTATGTACTATGCTAAAAGATCAAGAATAAGATTTCTTATTCTTACAATTTTATTTATTTTTATTCTCATCTATCAAAAATGTAAATACATGTTTTATTTGAATTTAATGATATGTTGAGCAGTAGGATTTTTTTTTATTTATTTCCTATATATATATATTCTTTAAAATCTAGCCTTTTAGAGTGTAACATACACGTATAAAAATATATTAGAAAAAAACATAAACTATTTATAATTTATTATCAAAAAAAAAAAAACAAAGACGTACTCCCTCAGCAATTAAAAGCTATCTATGTATTATTATATATACTAAAATAGATCAGCTGTATTTCATATAATTTCGATAAATTTGTACCATTCTATCTACATCTGGTGGTAAAAATTCATCATTATCAGGCTCTCCAATATTTTTATATCTGCGTGAAGGATTTCCCAACCCTTTTAGCCCCAATCCAATTTCATCGTTGGGAGATATCGGATCATATCTGATACCTGTTGGTAATCTATATAAATTAATATTATAAATATATATCAATTCAAATTATTATACTGAAAGCCTTCTTTTCCTTTAGCTCCTCTAAAAATAGGATGCGATTTACTAGGATACATTCCATTATTACATCCTTTAATTTCATCTATTATAGGTTCTTTTATTATAGATGGTATTAGCATAGGATGTTTTCCTATTCCCGATGGGTATAAGTCATCACTTCCAATAGAAATATTACAAAAATCTGATGTTTGATTCTTGTTTTGTTCTACATTAAATTTATAAGATATAGGATTCTCCATACATAATGAAGGAAAATTATTTTTTGGTATTTCAAAAAAACTCTCTTCACAAAGACTATATATTGTAAATTATACATAAAAAACATATAATATCTATAACTTACTTATTTTTTTTAAATTTTGATTTTTCATTCGATGGAATCAATTTTTCAATAATATTACATTGATATATTTTTAATAACTCTACTACTTTTTCATTCGAAACATATATCTCCCCTAATGACCTATCTTTTCCTTCATCTGGATATGGAAAAGAGTCTTTTTGTATATATTCATCAATAAATATATCATATGTAACGGTATTTCCTTTTCCCATTATTGTACCAAGAATAACTATTTTTTTGTCCATTTTTAACAACTTAATAAGAATTATCTCCTCTTTACATTCAAATTTATAGCGAAACGTATAAAATGATTCATTTGATTCCTTTAAAATCCCTGATAAAGGCCTTATCTCTGATTCTGTAATCGGTACATCTAAAATATCAGTTTTTTTTTCAAAAAAAAACTGAAATACTAATAAAAACAACCTAAACAATGGCTTTCTCCAAATCCAAGCAGCGTATACCCCGCTTTAAGCATAAAGGCATTAAAAAGACATGCAACTGCATCATATGGATTTTTAAGATTTATATTTCTTTTAACCCCGTTTTCTTCACAAAATATACCAAGAGATGCTTCAATAAGGCTATAAAGTACGTTTATTTGGCTTTCTATTGTCATTTCTTTAATAAAAGTTAATATTTTCTTAAGATATTTATTAACAATTTTAATCGAGGTTAAGAATTGTTATCGATTTTTATTAAAAAATATAGACTTTTAATAGAAATTTCTTAATTTCTTAACTATTTTGTCTAAAATAGACAAAAATTCTTAATATTTTGTTAAGAAAAGTTAAAAAAAATTATATTTTTATTAAGAATTTTATATTTTTATTAAGAATTTCTTAAGATTAGGTTATAAAAAAGTTAAATACAGATTGTCTTATATAGACTTTGGTGTTTTTTTATATTAAATTAGTGGATTAGTCATTAAAATCAGGATATTAAGGCGAATATTTTATTTAAGAAGGAGTCAATATTTTTAGAAATATTATATTATGGATTTTTTCTATAATTTATTATTAGTTTTATAATTTAAATTAATAAATTTAAATTATAAGATAATTAATTGGGTTTTAAAGTTGTTTAAAACGACAGGAAATAAAGGAATTTATGGATTTTAACTTTTATAAGAGGAATTGGTTGATTAAAGGACTAAATTCAAAGTATTTATGATTTTAAAATGTCAGATAAGTTATATTATGATTTTGAAGATAAAAAGGATTTAAAAAATCAAAAAAAAATGGATAAAATGTTTTTATTGGATAAAAATATGAATATTTTTCAAAGACCTTCGAATGTATTTAAGAATCCAATGATATCTATTAATAGACAAAAGGATTTTAGTAGTTATCCAGTTCGTCTTCCTAAAACAGCAATGACAGGACGCAAACTTCTTGAAAATGCACTTAAACGGTATAATAATATTATATATCCTAAAACATTTACATCTTTAATGTCACCATGTTCTCAAAAAACGTCATTATTTCAAGATATTTATAATTTTCAGACACCATTAATAAGAAAAAAGAATTGTTCATTAAAATTAGGTGAATCAGATAAAAAATCAGATTTTCAAGATGATAGTTTTGAGTTTTATGATGAAAGGTCATTTGAAAATTATTCTACACAGAATATAGGAAAGACTAACAATCTTTTTTCACCAATACTTTCTTCTATGAGTCCATCTATATCAAAAAACAATGATTTTTTAAGTTCATATTCTTTAAATACACATAGAAAACAATTGCATGATCAAACTAAATATAAATATGATTTTCAAGTAATAATATAGTTTATTTTTTAAATGAGATACTTAAACATCTATAGAAACATCGGTTTATGAATGATAATGAATCTTTTGATGATTTAATAAAGCAATTAAAAGAATATTATAAAGATGAATCCCTTTATAGTTGGAAAAATCTTCAAAAAGAGAAGCAAAAGAGAGATTATGAAATTCAAAAATTAAAAGATCTTTCTGTAAGAAATATTCTTTGAAAAAGAAAAATTTATAATTTATATTATAGATAAAATCATTAGATAAACCTCCTCCATTATCTAAAGAGATTTTAAAAAAAGTAGAAGAAACACTTTCTTCCAATTCATTAAAAAATCCTTTAATTGTAAAATTTAATATATCAATTACTCCACATGATATTAGGACTTTAAGAGATAAGGAATGGCTTAATGATGAGATTATTAATTTTTATATTGCTCTTATATCTGAAAGAGCAAAAACTACACCTAAAGGTCCAAAAGTTTATGCTTTTAATACTTTTTTTTATACAACATTGGAAAAAAAAGGTTATCAAGGAGTAAGACGTTGGACAAAAAGAGCAAAAGTAAATATTTTGGAACAAGATTATGTTCTTATTCCAATTCATCTTGGAATTCATTGGTGTATGTCAATTATTAATTTTAAAAAGAAAAGATTTGAATATTGGGATTCTCTTAATGGAAATTCTGGAAGAGTATTTCTTCTTTTAAGAGATTATTTATTTCAAGAATCCGGAAATACTATTAATCTTGATGATTGGATTGATTATATTCCAGAGGTTTTTTTTTCTTATATATTATTTATTTATTAATATAATATAGTCTGGTCCAATACAGACAAATGGCTATGATTGTGGTGTTTTTGCTTGCAAAACTGCTGAATGTATTGCTCGAGAAGGTTCAATTGATTATACACAAGATGATATTAAAGAATTAAGAAAACGAATGGTTGCAAATATTATTGAAGGAAGGCTTTTCTAAAATATAGGCTATTTCTATATCGTTTATTCTTAATTCTTACTATTTATTAACTTATTCAAAAATATATCGTTTAACGATCAATCTATAACAAGTTATGTCAAGTGATTTTGATATTGAAGACGAGATTCAAGGTTTTTCTTTTTTACCTGATTATAAGAGGTATTCTTCTATATATATTACCTTTTTATTAATTTAAATTTAGAAATATCTCTAATACAGTTTTTTTAAAACCTGGTGAAAAAGATTTTGAGCCAGATGGCACGTTTAAACAGCAGGAAATATTAAGAAATAGAATAAATTCTATGTTTAATGTTATTTCTGGAGAGCGCTGTATTTCAAAGTATTTTTTTCTATGTTTATATATGTTTTTCTTAAGAAAAATGGTATAGAAAAATATATTCAAAGGCTATTTGGGTTTCAGAGTTAAAACTTGCGAGAGTTGAGAGATTACGTGGTACACAGTTCAAATCTCTTGGAAAATGTTATAATAATATTGTGTGGTTGTTGCCAGAGGAGGTTATTTATTTAGTTGAAAGAGGTTCTTTAGAATGTTTCTGGGAAAATGGAATTCCAATGAGTCTTCAAGCTGTATATTCTGTTTGTTTAGAAGAATCAGGTGGAATTGAGCGATATCAAGTATTTTTTTAATTTTTTTTGTTTAAGGATCTTATAGATATGAAGGTTTATTCATATTTAAAACGTTTAGGTTATTATGTTTTTAGACCAATAGAATGTGAAAATAGTAGGTTTTTTTACAGAAAAGTGGAATATTAATATTTTAAGGGGTTTCAAGGCTTTCTTTTTTAGTATCATATGGATCTGAAAAAATATCACCTTTTTTTTTATGGATGAAAGCACTTATAAGATTTGTTTATAGTTTTTTTGAGAAATATACAACAAATAATTGGAATACATTGGTTAGAGGAAAATGTTATTACTCATATAGTAAAAAAAAACATATTTATTTATATATCTCATATGAATTAGATCAAATTTACAAATCTCTTGAGATTATTCCTTATCATTGTCCTCCTAGTTCAAAAGAGAATTATATTTACGATAAAGATAAAGCAAAGGATCCTTTTAGCATAGCTTATTATGTATGGAAACCAATTCCAAATTTTAGAAAATCTAAACTTGAAAATCCTGATTTTCATATTATTGTTGTAAAGTAAAAAAAAAATACTGGAAATTTTGATTGAGTCTGATGATATAAAAGCTCTAGGACAACCTCTTTACCATCATTAAAGGAATTCTCAGATATCTTTGATTCAGTCCCATTAATAAGTTACGAAAAAAATACAACTGCTTTTCAAAGGTTAAAAAATGGAACTAGACATATTATATTTGCATTACTTGACTCTGGAGTTATAAGTTTTATTAAGTTTATGGATATTGGGTTTGGGAATGAAAAAATGTATATAAAAGACAATGCTCATAAAGTATAAAAATTTATTAATTATATTAAAAAAATATACATAAATTTCCTTTTTATACTAAAAAATATTATTTTTATATAAAACTCTAATTTTCTTTACCATCTAAAAAGTCGGATATCATTAGAAGTTCCATCGCTATATCTGGCTCAATTGGAAATTCTGGTATAGACTCGGCATTTTTATATTTTTCATGAAAATAAAAATATTGACATACAATATATAATAATTTAGAACTATTTTTTTATTAATTTTTTAAAGTTCATAATAAATTTTACTTTATAGTTTTAAATTTTATTTCATTATTCTTGTACTCAGAAAACTGATCTATAAGATCATTGATTTATGAAATTTTATAAAAAACTTTTTTTCTTACTAGATTCATCAAGCATTTCTCTTATTATTCCAGAGATGCTTGCTTGAGCTCTTTTAACAACAAATATAAAATCATCAGAAGAAATAAGTTTTATATATTCAGGTTTTAATGACATTTGTATATTAAAACTTATTTAATTTGCCAAATAAGTTTTAATAATATAATGTTATTTTAATGTATTAGATTATTATTATTAGATATTGAAAGATATACTTGATAAAACCCTAAAAATGATGATTATATTTATTAAATATAGAAATATATGTAATAATAAATAGCTAATTAGTAATATATTATATATTAAGTTGTTCGATGTCCAGTCCTAGTGCGTGTAAGAACAGATTAACGTTTCCTAGTTTAATTGCAGCAATATTTGGAGGAAGATGTTTACTTGATATAACATTATCCATAACTTTTTCCCTAGAACAAATAAATTGTCTTATACGAATTAAATTAGTAAAATACCGAACTTCAGTAACTAGAATGTGTTGTTGTTCAAGTGTAGATGAAATAGCGCACGCTGCCATAAACTGCCATGGATATATTTCATCGGAAAAGGATAAAGAAGGTGGAAAAACATATATAAATCGACCTACTAATTTTGAAAACATCAAATCATAGATTTTTCTCCTTTAAAAATAAATATACGTTAAAATAGTTATTAAAGACTAACCATTGTTTTAAATCAGATTCGTCAGCTTGTGCGGATTGTTTTATAATTTCTGCACGACTAATAAACATTGTAAGAAATGAAAGACCAATTTTAGTCATTGCTATCATTTGTAAATTCATTCTTTCCAACATAATACTTAATAGCTCGATTATAATTTGCAAGGAAGTTTCAGATACATATGCAAGTAAAGATGGTAATGCTACTTGAGTGAATGTATCGATATTTTCTTTTATATATGCAGGGGGTGATTCGTTTGAATAATTATACAAATCGTACACAACAACATCAAGATGATCCAAGTATATAGTGATCACAGTTAAAATAGTTAGCTTTTGTTCACTGCTAATATATTCGAATATTCGTGGTATTAGTTTTTTCCCTTTATTATATGATATAATTGATATAAATGGGTGAACAACATTAGGACTATATATCATTAGAATAAATATATTGTTGATAAATATAAATACTTTCTAGGAATTGGTTCCGTTATATGAAGGCTTTCTAAGATTTGTTCCTTTAATAACGCAATCTTTTTGTTGTGTTCGTCATCGTCTATAGGCTCACTATTTCCCTGTTTACTCTGCTTTTGTTTTCGCAATATCTCGTCAATTTCTAGCAAAGAATCATAAACTTTTTCGATTGAATAAAGATAAAATTTATGATTCCTTGGAGTATTTATATGACATGTCTATATAAAAGTTTAAAAAAAAAAAAAAAGACAATAACATATAAGAAGCGAACCTTAATATTATTTTTTTTAGAACTATCTGGTGGTTTTTTAACGCTAAGAATTTGTCGTGGAGTTCTAACAGTGCTAAAAGATATTTTCCCCAGTGCACCTTCTAAACTAAGTTGAGTTGCCTTTGGTTTTACTTTTCCTGCAGCTACTATATTTTGTATTTGTTGCTGTATCTTTAATATAGGATTTCCATTATGTTTATTAAGATGCTGTTTATCTTGTGATGAACATGATGTTTTAGGATTATTCGGCAATTTTTGTTGATTATCCTTATTCTTTAAAGAATTGTATGAATAATAATAAAAATCGTCTGAATATGGATCATCCGAAACAAGTTGAGAAAGCTGTATACGATTAATAAAATTCTTGTCTGACTCGCTCATAAGTCCGTCATATTTAGACTAATAATATAAGAAAAATCATAAAAATTCCTATCTTACCATATCATTTGTATTCTGATTATGATGGAACAGCTTTGTTTCATTTATTTTTTCAGATTTTTTATTTCTAAATGAATCAGAGTATTGTAATTTCGAGTTAGTTTGAGAATCATATCTAGGTAATTCTCTTCTAGAATTCGCTTGTTCTAAAACCCCTGTATTCTTTTTTACTTCTGTATCAAGAATTTTATCTAAAAATTCCGTATTATACATATTATCTTGAGCTGATTCATTAGAATTCCTTTTATTATCTTTGAAAAATTGTGCTTCCACTTCTTTCAAACTAATATATCCCTTAAAATGCTTTTTTTTAGACTCATTAGTATATGTAGATGTTTCAGAATGCGATGTTTGTAATTTTAAATATTCCAAATTTTTCTATTAACAAAAAAATGTAAGAAACAATATCCCCCTCAAATATCCTTTAATTACCATATCTGAACATGGATCTTTCGATTGAGCTGTTTTATTCGAAACACGTGAAATATACTCAGTATCTGAAATTTTCCTATTTTCCTTTCCAACTGATAAAAATTTAATATCCCCCATCTTCTCCATCATCTTATCCTTTTCTCTATAAAATGCTTGTTCCTCATTTATCATATTTGCCATTTTTTGTGTATTTGTTGAAAAATCAAAATCTTTTCCTAAATATAATGAATTTCACCCCCAAAAAAACCCTCCAAACACACCAACTTCCTCCATATTCACCCCAAACGTATCCTCATTCATATCATCCTTTGTTTCTTCCAGTGTTTCCCCTAATCCGTCATACATATTATCATATTCCAATCTACTAATTTTAACCTTATTAAATCTCTCTATTAAATATTATACCCTTCTCCTAACTCTTCATTCATGTCTCCCATAGAAAGCCTCTCTAATTCCGCGTCTTTTGTGCTTGTTTTCCATTCAAAAAATGCCATTTTTTAGACTTATCATATGTTTGTACGTACCGAACTTTTTATCTCGTGAGAAGGCTAAAACGATAGCACAGCATAATATATAAACCCTGATAAAAATAATTCTTAAGATTGTTGCCATTTAAGCCTATTTATATACAAGTTGAAATAGCCATTTTTCCCTGTATATTTGTTTAAAGTTAGATATATAGAACGTATATGTCATTATTTTTTAAATGCCCATTCTGATCTTGTAAAAATACATAATTTAATAGGTTTGAATAGAGAATATAAACATGTGAAGATTAAAATATGATTTGAACATCAGAAAAGGTTTAAATGTTTATCCATATAACGCATCTATATAGTGGTAGACTATATAGATTTGCATAGTTGAAAATATGTATTATTCAGGTCAATTTTGCATGAAATTATCTTATTTAGATATTCATTTTGTAATCCTATGGTGAATTTCCTTTGTTTTGAGCCATTAAACTTATATTTTTAGCTTTTTTGATGTAAATTGCTTATAGATTATACATTGATATGCATATACACCGCATACAAGACGCATATACCCCGTAGAAATATTAATCTTATCTATTAATATAGGATTTGGATCGTTTTTATCGGTTTAATTGCTTCATTCTTAAAGATAAAGCTACCTCTGTTTTTAATACGTCTATATATCGAATCTCCCCGTATATAATAAGTGAAAAAAATTATTTATCTTAGATTTAGTTGATTATATGTCTAAATCATCATCAAAACTAAAGCGAGAGGTTTAATATTAGTTTATATTTCTTGATATTTTTATTTAATGTTTTTTTTAGGCAGAAAAATTAAAACGTGCAGCTAAAACTCAAGTGGAAGCAGCAAAAAATGATATTGAAAGTGTTAATAATCTTGAATCGTCCATGCAAGGGCTTTCTCTTGGAGATAGGAATGCAACAGGTGTTTTAACGAGCCGATTAATGAGCCGAGATATTAAGATAGAACAATATACATTAAGTTTTTATGGAAAAGTATTAATAGAGGTATATATGCGTTAATATATGCGCTTTAGAATGATTTATGATGAATGATTTATAGAATGGTATGTTTTTTTTTTGAAAAAAGGGCTGGAAAAGGTTAATATTTGATTAAGCCACTATTGAATTGAATTATGGGCAAAGATATGGGCTTTTAGGGGCAAATGGGTCTGGAAAAAGTACATTTTTGAAATCATTAGCCTCTAGAGATGTTGAAATTCCTTATCATGTTGATATTTATCTTTTAAATCAAGAGGCAGAGCCTTCAGAAACCAATGCGATTGATTTTATTATTGGATCGGCTAAAGAAAGGGTTTTAAAGATTGAAGAAGAGATTGAGAAACTTTCTGTATTAGATGATGTTGATGAGGTCTTACTTCAGGATAAATATAATGAGTTAGAAGAGTTAGATCCTAGTACATTTGAAACAAAAGCAAGTATAATATTACATGGACTTGGTTTTAGCGCTTCGATGATGAAAAAACCTACAAAGGATATGAGTGGAGGATGGAGGATGCGTGTAGCACTTGGTTATGCATTATTTTTGAAGCCAACATTACTTCTTTTGGATGAACCCACAAATCATTTGGATCTTGAAGCGTATGTTTGTATCTTTTTTTTTTATATTTAAATGACTTTAGGGTAGTATGGTTAGAAACGTATCTGTCGAAGTACGATAAAATTTTGATTATTAACTCTCATTCTCAAGATTTTTTGAATAATGTTTGTACAAATATTATAGATCTTACAATGAATCGTCAATTATTATATTATGGTGGGAACTATGATACATATGTACGCACGAAGCGTGAGCTTGAAGTAAATCAGATGAAGGCATATGCTAAACAACAAGGTATATTTAATTCTTTTGATGAATTATTTTTTTTACATTGTAATTTTTAGATGAAATCGCACACATTAAAAAGTTTGTCTCTAGTGCTGGTACCTATGCAAATCTTGTAATTATTTTTATATTTAAGCAAAATTATTATTAACTAGATCATAGGTTCGTCAGGCAAAATCCAAACAAAAGATTATAGATAAAATGGAAGCTGCGGGCCTTGTTGAAAAAGTTGAGCAACCTAAAATGGTTTCTTTTAAATTTGAGAATGTTCGGAAACTATCCCCGCCTATTATTGCTGTATGTTTTTAAATTAGTTTAAGTTATTGTTTTTAAATAATAGCTAGTTTAATGATGTATGTTTTTCATATGATGGGAATATTAAAAATTCATTATATGTGGATTTATCATTTGCTATAGATATGGATTCAAGAATTGCTTTAGTAGGAAAAAATGGTACTGGGAAATCTACTTTATTAAATTTAATTATGGGTTTATATAATTCACTCTAATTTGCTTCATTTTTAATATTAAAAGGTGCCTTGATGCCAACAGCTGGTAATATATCAAAAAAATCTGGGCTAAAGCTTGCAAAATATAGTCAACATTCTGCAGATCAATTACCATACGATAAATCGCCTTTGTCATATATTCAACATAAATTTAAATCGCTGTATCCTGAACGAGAAATTCAACAATGGAGGAGTCACCTTGGTCGATTTGGTTTATCAGGTTCTCATCAAACAAGTGAAATCAGGACATTAAGTGATGGATTGAAAAGCCGTGTTGTATTTGCTGAGCTTGCATTGGAAAATCCTCATATTATTCTTCTTGACGAGCCTACTGTAAAAAATATGATTTTTTAGGAGAAAATTAATCAAGTATAGAATCATTTAGATATTACATCTATTGATGCTTTAGCAAAAGCATGTAATTCTTGGACAGGAGGAATTATACTTGTTAGCCATGATTTTCGGTTGATTGAACAAATATGTATTCAAGGTATAGGTGAATTGTGGGAGGTTCTATTTTCTTTCTTTTTTAAAATATTTTTTGATATAAAATAGATTAAGGATAAAAAAATTGTTAAACTTAACACAACAATTCAAGAATACAAAGAATCATTGAAAATGGAAAGTGCATCTGCTCTCCAAAAGGCAAAAAATGCTTATAGGAAAGCATTTTAACTAATTTATTAAATAATATATTAGATTTATAAATAACACAATATATATTCAATTTATTTATTAATAACTATTTTCTTATAAAAAAATGCCCCACGGCAGACTCGAACTGCCGACCCCCGCGTCTCGAGGAGATATGTGTTTCCATCGCGGAAATTCATATAAGCACGATGCAATAACCAACTATGCTAGTGGGGCGGGTTCTTCCATTATCGTAGATAAATAAATGATAAATTGGAAGTTTATAAAACAGTTTTATAATTATTTATTAAAATTAAAAGTTTTTAAATTCCTTATAAAACAAATATAAAATCTACACAACATCTATATGAATAAATATAAGATATTTTCTAGTCAATATGAATTTTAATCTATATTTATAAAAAAATCTTATTTTTCGTATTTAATGATATTTGAATACGAAAGTATATATTTCTTAATATATATCAAACATAGATAATAATATATAAAGTTTATACAGCCCTGATACTACTTAACTTTTAATATATTTTTAAAAATATTTAAGAAATGTTAGAAAAATTAATTCATTGGCCTTTTAACCTTTTAAAAGATACTTCATCTTTTAAAAGAACTATGGCAACTCTTAACCAGGTAATCCGTGGTGCTCGGTTACCCAGAAAACCTCCTAGACCAAAAGCACCACGTCTAAATGGTGCTCCATTTAGACAAGGCGTTTGTAATAAAATATATACAGTAATAATATTCTTTTTTATTAAATAATTTATTAATATCTTTTACAGATGAAACCTAAAGTATTTTTCTTCAAATTTATTTATTTTCAACTTTTAATACATATATAGAAGCCTAATTCTGCACAAAGAAAAGTTGCCCGTGTTAAATTGACTTGTGGCAGAATGGTTATTGCTTATATTCCTGGTGAAGGTCATAATATTCAGGAACATTCTGTTGTTTTATTACGTGGTGGTAGAGTACAAGATTTACCTGGTGTCAGGTATCATTTGGTGCGAGGTGCACGTGACTTGCTAGGTGTTGTTAATAGAGGTATGAATATATTATTTAGAAATGAAGATTTTTTATATAATTTTAGTGACATCTCGTTCAAAATATGGTGCAAAGAAATCTAAATCTTCTTAAAAATATGAATAAATTGAATATATATTTAAACGTTTAATGAATGAATATTTTTTTGTATATTATTTAGTCTAATTACGGGAACTAAACACTATGAATAATAGTTTATCAAGATATGCTTATTAGAACTGGTTTCTCTTGGGTTCTCTTGGATTCTCTTGGGTTTTCTTTTTATAATTTTTAATATTTATGAATTTTTGATGACATTTATATATATATATATGGCAAAAATTGATTCTTACTTTTTTATGTATTTATTAAAGTTAATAAGTAGCAAATCATAAGCTAATTTAAATAAAATAATACATTCCTAAAATTTTACACTATTTCAAAAATATTTCTTCTAATTATTTCTCATCATCCGTTTATTAAGTTATGTATTTTTAGTTAGTACTTTTGATGTCTTTTTTAATGGAATATCTTTAAATGCAATCGTCTTGGGAATCGTATCTTTTCATATTAACCCTTTTTTAACTCTTTTTTCTTAATTATTATTTACCTGATAAAAATTCCAGATTATCAAATCTAGACACTGCATTCGCTGGCTTATAAATATCAATTTAAAAGAAAAAATACAATTCATACCAAGATGTCTATATTGTATTATCTTCTTATTCTCATTCAGACACATTAATAGCCCTTGTTGCACCATATATTGGATAAACATTTCCTTCTATATGTTAATCATTGACTATATTTTTTTAAAAAAACCGTAGCAATTGCAATTAAGAATGCTGAATTGCTTGAGCATTGGACAATATCATCATCAATACGAATAATCTTCTTGATCTTAGATATAGGAAGGACTGATGTCCCTGTAATGTCCTGTTCAATAATGGCTGATGTCATAACATCTTTTTTATACGGTAACCGTAGTTATTAAAGGGTTGTCTAGGAAACAGGGTTGTCTAGGTAACGAAGTTGTCTAGGAAACGAGGTTGGTTAGGTAACGAGGTTGCTTGGGTAACAACCTCCAAAATCTTTAGAGAAAAAGATAAAGCTTAATAAGAGTTTAATATGCGAGATTTAATGAATATTTTTTATAAAAACATGATTGCGAAGATTTTTTATACTGGGGAGCTTTTTTTCCGGGTTTAAAATGGGGTTTTATAGGGAATCTAGGGCAAATAAAGATTTTGATGAGATTCAACATTATGAGGACTTTGGAACGATTGGTATTTGTTTTAAACAGAGTTATTATAATTATTTAATGTTTTTTATGTAGATTGGGTTCAAGATTCTGTCCATAATAGCTCAAGAATGAGGGATCAATATTATCTGGGACATAGGCGTTTGAAGGAAAAAACATGGATATATAGTGCATTTCATATATGTAAACAAGTGTTTGATGATATTCAAGTATGGATTATTATAACGGTTGTTGGTATATGGGATTAGAATTGTTTGAAATGGGGTATCGATATATGTAGGTATTCTTATTGGTTTAAACGCGACATTTATTGGTATAACGACGAAATGGCTTTCAGATATAAAGCTTGGTTATTGTTCTTCAGCATGGTATTTAAGTCAGGAGTTTTGTTGTTGGGAATCGGGAAAAGGTGTGAAGAATAATTTTTTTGAGGGAAGGAATAATTATATAAATGTAGTCTGTGATGATTGGCATTCATGGTCGAGTTTTATACCATTTAATTTTTTTTATTATATTATTTTTGCGGTAAGTGTCATTTTTAGAAGATATGAAAATTAATGTTTATTTAAAAGGCTCTTTTTTCTTTTATAAGTGCATTTTTGGTGCAATCATATGCCCCTCATGCAGCAGGATCGGGAATATCTGAAATAAAATGTATTGTTGGTGGATTTGTTATGAAAGGGTTTTTCGGATTCTGGACGTTATTAATAAAATCAGTTGGACTTATATTAGCTATTGCATCTGGACTTAGTATAGGTAAAGAGGGACCTTTTGTTCATGTTGCACTTTGCATTGGACATCTTATTAGCAGGTTTTTTGAAAAATATAAAATTCATTCAAGTAAAAATATTTTTGTTTTCAAGAAAAAAGCTAAATATTTAAAAGCGAAGTTAAGAGAAATTTATTCCGCATGTTCTGCAGCAGGTGTTGCTGTTGCCTTTGGTAGTCCAATTGGTGGCGTTATATTTTCTTTGGAAGTTGTATTTTAATGTTTGTTTCTATTTAATTTACTTGATCTTAGGAAATATCATCTCATTTTCCAATGAAAACAATGTGGAGAAGTTTTTTTTGTGCTTTGGTTGCAACAGCTGTCTTGTCTGTGGGTTTTTTGTTTCTTTTATTTCCTTTTTAATCTTCTGAAGACTATGAATCCTTTTCGAACAGGGCAATTGGTCATGTTTCAAGTTCATTATAATAGAAGTTGGCATTTTTTTGAAATTATATTTTTTGCAATACTTGGAGTATTTGGAGGACTATATGGTGCATTTGTAATTAAATGGAATCTTCGTGTTCAAGCTTTTCGTCGTCATTATCTTTCTAATTATGCTGTATTTGAAGCGACTATTTTTGCAATAATAACAGCTATTTTGAGCTATGGCAATGCGTTTTTAAAAATAGATATGACGGAAAATATGAAGATTTTATTTAGAGAATGTTCTGATGATTTGGATTATGATGGTATATGCAAGTTAGTATTATTTATTATTATTTAAGAAATTTACAATATTAAGGAATTCTTCACAAGCAAGAATAGTAATTTCGTTAATTATTGCTACTATTACAAGAATATGCTTAGTAATAGTATCTTATGGTTTAAAAGTACCAGCAGGAATTTTCGTACCATCAATGGCAGTTGGTGCAACATTTGGTCGTTTGTTAGGTATATTTGTTTCAGCTTTGCAGAAGAAATTCCCCAATTTTATACTCTTTTCTGCATGCGACCAAGGCGTTCATGTAAATTTATAAAATTTACCCTTAATCTTAATTTAATGTTTTAATAGTGTATAACTCCAGGAACATATGCTTTTCTTGGTGCTGCTGCCACGTTAAGCGGAATAATGCATATTACAGTATCCGTTGTTTTAATCATGTTTGAGCTTACTGGTGCTTTGACATTTATACTTCCAACAATGGTATGATTTTAGTTTATATTATTGATTTCATTTAATATGTATAGATTGTAGTTGGAATTACAAAAACAGTATCTGATAAGTTCAACACAGGAGGAATTGCTAATAGAATGATATGGATTAATGGTTTTCCTTATTTAGATTCTAAAGAATATTATTTTGGTATTCCAGTTGAAGATATTATGACACAAAATTTAATAGTTATTCCATCCAATGGATTAAGTTTACAAGAACTTGGTAATTTTTTATTAATTAATCTATTGAACTAATATATATTAGAAACTATTTTGAATTCTAATGTTAAAGGATTTCCAGTAGTAAATAATCGAGAATCCATGTTATTATTAGGATTCGTTAAATCTAATTATTTAAAATGGGTATTAGGTTGTTATCGATTAATTAGCATATTTAATATTGATATTTTCATAGATAAAATTAAATCCACAAATGAAGTATTGCCAACAACTCGTTGTTTTTTTTCAATGCTTGAAAATAAATCTGAATCTAGTGATTTTTCAAAATCTTTTGATATTTCAGAAAATTATTCTAGACCTTTGACTTCCTTAAATCTTTCTTATTGTGTTAATACTACTCCATTAACAGTTCATCCTCAACTTCCATTGGAAACAGTTATGGAATTGTTTCAGAAATTAGGGCCAAGAATAATACTTATTGAGAAATATGGTCAACTCTGTGGTCTTTTGACGTTAAAAGATTTGCTTAAATATAAATATAAGGTCGAGTATGCTGAAAATCCTGGAGATTTATCTTCCATTAAACAAGATGAGGAACAAATTTTAGAAATTTTACTTAAAATTACTGCCTGGATAAAAAATACTATTTTAAATTATTCAAGAAAATATTCGAGATCATATGAAATCGAATTGGATTTACATAATCGTAATTTAACTTAATATTTATAAATATGGATTCTATATCAAAGGAATATTTTATGTATGTTAAGGACGACATAAAATAATATAATTCATGTTATATAATTTACATTAAACATTATTGACAGAAAGTTTTTAAATACAGTTAATTTTAAATTTAGGTAAAATAAAATATGAAGAGTTTTTTTAAAATACACTTAAAAATGTAATTGGAAAAAACGGAATAGCTATTTTTGAAAATATTTTTACATGTGATAGTTGTTCGGGATATTAATATCATGTTTTAATGCATAAATTATCATAGAAAATAGTCTAATTAATTTAATGAAAATATAAACATATTAATTAATTATACCTGGTGTTCGACGACTTACTTGAGGTTCCCTAATTATGTTAGATTATTTTATTGATGATCTGTAAATCAGTAAACTTACCCTGCTCTTGGTGCAGGATCAAATTGAAGGCTAATCTGTTAAATAATGATAATAATAATAACATTACTTACAATGTATATCTCATCTGTTCGTCAATTTCCATAATAGCTGCTTGATTTCCACACCTATAACAATAATTTGGTGCAGAAAAAATTGTAACTACATTTCTTTCTTGTGACCAGCTATAACCCTTTAAGAAAGTTAAATTGAATCTCAAAAAAATGTTTATAAGAATTATACTTCCATAACTAACTGATGGGCCCTTGCAACAAGCGTTAATCCATTATTATGATTAAATGCCTGAGAAATATCTTGTCCAAAAGTATATCCTGCTCCTCGAGGAGAAATTCCCCAACCACAACGATCATCCGGATCTGACCAGAGAAGATCACACATAGGACCTTCATGAGGCACTTCTTGGATTCTATCTAATGCACGAATATGATCTAATGTATCAATTCCAGGCGAAAGTCCTCCATGCAAACAAAAAATTTGATCATTAATTAATGCTGTTAAAGGAAGATAATCAAAAAGATCTGTAAAACTCTTCCATACATTTGCATTCCCATATTTTCGTAAACATTCATCATAAAACCCGTAAACTTGTGTAATTTGTCTTGATTCATGATTTCCTCTCAATATAGTAATTCGCTCCCTATATCTCACCTTAAGCGCTACTAATAGCGTTACTGTTTCAACACTATGGTATCCTCGATCAACATAATCTCCTTCATTAATTTAGGATATGCCTTTTTTGCAAAATAATTATCTTTCTAACCCATAAATAAAAAATTTGTATCTGGACAATTCCCTCCAATACGAAAAAGCTCAATCAGATCATGAAATTGGCCATGAATATCTCCGCAAACTATATATCTTCATTATTTATGTCTTTTTGACCTTATTAAAAGCTTTATTCTACCTGTAACCGGGCAATTGACAGGTTGAACATTTGATTCTTCTTGTAAAATCTCCCGTGCCTAATAAACATCCTATATTAACTCACTATACCCTCAATTATACCCAATAAACACCTGCCTTGTCACATAACCGTCTAACATCTACTTCTGAAAGCTGTTTACACTGCATCAAATGTTTAATCCATCCATCCACTTCGTTAATACTTTCTAATGATTCATTAATGTTTCCAAGAGCCAATGGCAATTTAATATCTGAATCAATCATTCTTATATCTTCCATATTCCTTATATAAACTCTTAAAACTCTTAAATATATGGTTTTAAGCCTTTTTTTTCTATTTTTATTAAATCAATTCAGTTTTTTAACAATTTTTTCTTAATTTTTAGTATTTTTATTAAGAAAGTTAATAAAAATATTAACAAAATGTTAATATTTTAACAATTTGTTAAGAATTCTGGATTTAAGTTTTTTAAGGTTTAAATTTATGTTCGATTGATCTGCAAAATATAGTTGAAAATAAGTAAGGAAATTGCTTTAAAGAGGGGAATTAGTATAGAATATAGAAGTATTTATTGTTTAATAAGTTATTTAAATAGATATATTTAAATAATTATGTAAAAGTTGTTGAGAATAGTTAAATTAATAGAGATGTGAAAAAGTAAGGAAAAAAGGAATTAAAATAGAATATAGATAGATGTATGATATGTCTTTTTTATTAATATAGAAATCAATTTTATTTTTTAATATTTTTAATATTAAATATTTTTTAAAGTGATGAATTGTAAGATATTTTTAAGAATATTTAAGAAAAAATAGAATAGAATTATAAATTAGTATTTATTTATTATGTAATTAAAGGGAATATAATATCTAAGTTTATTATAAAGAATAATAAAATTGTATATAAAAATTTAAAAGAAAGATGAAATGAGAAAATGTGATATATTATATAGAAAAAAATAAAATAATAAATAAATATTTATATTGGAAGAGTAATATATTGGTAGAGTAATATATTGGAAGAATAATATTATGTTTTTTTTTTATTAATAAATATTATGTTTAAAATTGGTTAATTTTATTTAAAGTTAGTTAATTTAATTAAAGTAATAATTTAAAAGATGATAAATATGTTAAGAAAAAAGAAATTAATAAAAATTATAAGTTTTATTTAGTATTAATGAGAAGAAAGATAATTATTATAAAGAAAGAAAGATTTTTAATATTATAAATATATTTTATATTAATAAATTAAAAGTTATATTTAATTAAGGATTTGATTGATATCAAAAAAAAAAAAAAGAGTAGGATATTAGTATTTAATTATATTCATTTTAATTAATATAAAACAAACATTTTAATTAATTTGAAACATTTTTACATGTATAAATGTAATAATATTTTTATAAAGTATAATAATATTATTATAAAATGTTATAAAAATTATCTTTTAAGAATTACCTTTTAAATAAATCAAGTGAAAAATAGCTTAAAATATAAATTAATTAAATAGAAATTAGAAATTGAAAAAAATAATTGTTAATTATAAATAAATAGTATATGAATTTACTAATATTTTATTTTAAAAGATATTCTTTATCATATATATATATATATTAATAACACATTTAAAAGTTAAAATACGTTTATTCTTTATAAAAACTGTTGAATTAAATAACATAATGTAGCACCAAGAAAAGCAGTTGATATACATAATATAGAAACTGTTTTTGGTTCAATTGGTTCTCCATAAAATATATTTTTAACATCATAAAAATAATGTAAAGCCATTTTTTCCTTAGATTTGTTTAATTCTACAGAAAGAGGAGTATATGTATTTTCTAAATTTTTAAAGTCTTGAATTTCTGTTTCTTTTATATCATATTTAATTTGATTTTTTTCTGAAAGTAATTCAAAGTGTTGTTTTAAATCATTTATTAGTTTTTTACGTTTTCTTGGTTCTAATCCAAGTTGAATAATTAAAAATAACATAATATTAAATCCAATTAAACTCCATGTTCCCCATGTACTCATTCGTCGAATTTTATCACTCCATATTTGTTCTTCATGATATCTTCTAAGCATAAAATGTATTAATTGAACTTGTAATTCATCTAATTTACTTTCACATTCAATTAAATGTGCATAAGCCTTTTGTTCTTCCTGTTCATTAACATGATCATAACGATATAATGATGTAAATCGTTCAAGATCAGATGGTGTCCATAAATGTTTACGTTGTAAAAGTTCATTTACTTCTTGTTGTAACTTTAATCGTTCTTGGATTGCTAATGTATGTTTATATTTAGCTTCCTTAGTTTCTATACGAGCTTTTTTTAAATTGATTTCTGATAAAATAGATTAAACCCATAAATTTATAATAATCTGAATTATGAACCTTGTTCAGAAATTAAACATTTCAATTTTTCAATCTTTGTATATCCTGTTAATTCATTCAATTTCTCTTCTATTGAAGTAAAATATGTTTTAACCCAGGAAACATAGTTTTGAACATGTTTTATGACATTTTCTCTTATAATAACACTTTTTAATAATGTAGAACTTGTTATAAATGGCTTAAAAAATGTTATATTACGTTTTTTTGGAAAAAAAAACAATTTAGAGTTCCTTGAAATGAGAAATAATGAATATCTCATGGAAATAATAAAAATAACGACTTATACTTAAAAAAAAAATATTTTTTATGACGTTTTTAAAATCTTATAAATCAAACATCTTAAAAAATATTATTAAAAATTAAATTAATAATATTTTATTATATTATTTATATTAAAAAGATTAAATGAAGATAAGAAAAAATTTTTAACCAATAACAAGCTTATCTTCATCAAGAAAATTATATTCAGGAATCTCAAGATTCTAAAAATCATTATTTATTCATTCATTTACTTATTTATATTAATTTTTAATCACTTACAAGAGGCGCCGGTCCTTTTCGTATACGTCCCGAAATATCATAATGAGATCCATGACATGGACAAAACCATCCATGATAATCTCCCGCCTCTCCAATAGGAACACATCCTAAATGTGTACAAACTCCTGTATATTTATTAATTTTTTTTAATTTATTATAAATCTATTGAAAAAAATCATACCAATCATAACAAGCCATTCCGGCCTTTTAGTACGTTCATCATCGGTCTGAGGATCTCTAAGTGATGTTATATTAACTGATCGCGCCTCCTCAATTTCTTCTATTGTACGATGTCGAATAAAAACCTACCCCCCTCTATTAATAATTATATTTCTTTATTTATCCTTATAAATTAACCGGTTTTCCCCTCCATCTAATACTTTTTAACCTCTTTTCTTCTATTTTAATTATTTTACTTAATAATTAAATTTTTTCCTTCTGGAAGTGTTGATAAATCTACTTCTATTTTTGCCATAGCAAGAACATCTGCCGATGCTGACATATTAGATAAAAAATCCGTAACTGTTGCTTGTGCTCCTGCTGCTGCTACCATTCCAAATGTTCCTACCATAAAATATGAAAATGTACGGTTCATTTGTGTTGATGTTCCCGTCCTATTTATTCAATTCCTTATTATCTTTACTTCTTTTTTTCTTAACAATTATACTTATATTGAGAAAAATCCGGAATTCTTGTCGTAGATGAATATTCCTTATAAATAACCATTTTTTGAACATTTCTGTTCAAAAAATAGCTTAATTTTGGATAAAATATAGGAATTTTTATTCCTCTCATTCTTTTTATATCTCTCTATACCCTTCGTCGTTCACCATATAATAAGGTCACGTGATCATGAAAGTCTATAATTTAAAAAAAACAAATATTCTTAGTTAATTTGATATTTAAAAGGTCTAAAATGAAGGTAAAATAAGAAGAAATAAAGTATTTTTTTATTTTTAGTTAATCTAAGTAAAATCCATGTTTAGGATAAGCAACGATAAATCAAGCAATATAAATAAGGCAGAGTAAGAATGAGGATTTGATAAGGATTTATCAATAAAAAAGATGAGAAATCTTCCAGAAAAAAACAAGTTTTTAGGAAAAATAAAAAGTGGGTGTTTTTTTATGTAAAAAAAAAGAAGATTAAGGAAGAAATTAGAGTCTATTATTGTTAAACAGTGTAAGATTTATAAAACACTGTTTGAAGAGAATGTAAAAGTTGAATTTATTCTTCTTCCAGTTATTATTAGTGAAAAAAAAGAATCGAATTATATAGTGCTTATGAAGCATGATAAAATATATATTAGTGCAACGTCAATGTATGAAAGAATGATATAATGAGTGAAAAGAGGTATTGAGGAGATAATTTATGAATTGGTAGGTTTCGGTTTGCGTTTCCATCAGCGACGAGGGCACAAGAGCGATTAGAGCTAGATAATTATGTAAAACATTTACGTAGTGCAACAACTAATATATATGTTGCTGGAATATGGGTTACATCTGAAGATGGTGTGATAGAATGAATGTTTAAATGATAATATTAAGTATTTCTATGTAATAGCGCTTTTGTTAGCAGAAGATTATGGAATTCGAACATGGATAAAGGGTATAATCAATGCATCAGAAGAATTTGATAATATTACATTACCGGTGAAGAATGTAGAGCCAGATGTGATTAGGAAATATATAGAATGTAGTGTTGGAAGTATTCCAAGTTTTGATACGATTGTATCTCGTGAGAATGAATCACCATTTTCATGTGAAATTCCATTTCAAAAGGCACGTATTAGATCAACATCACCAGAAAGAAAAATATTACGATCACCAAGAAAAGAGGAATCAGAAATACCATTAAAGCCGGCTAAAAATGTGTTTTCACCGACACTTTCTGCTACTAATTTAAATATACCACGAATATCTAAAAAACGACCATTGGAACTTAGTGGTTCAGAAGATTTTGTGCCAATTAAGCGATCTAAAATTGAACAACTTGAAAAAGAGGTAGTTATTGAACGAAAGCGTGTTAAAACACTTATTGCTCTTGTTTTCAGTCTTGGTATAAGGTTTTATACCTTTTTTTTTTTTTGAAAATCTTAATTCATTATAGTGCAACTCTTCCTTATATTTTATAACATAAAAAGTTATAAAATATCATACCTTATGTATTTATTTTTAGTCATATTTTGCTTTATTTTCTATGGCTTTAACCTCATCATCTTATCGATCTACTATATTGCAAAACTTTTAATATTTCTAATCAATAAGACTTTAATAAATATGTTTTAGCTGTCGATAAAGTATTCTGTAAAGGTTATTACATTGATTTTATCTTTATATTGATTTATTAGAAAATTATTTAAAATTCTTAAGGTAGACTTTTTAAAACTTAAAAATGGGATTTTAATGATTAAAAAAACATTAACCAGTCTGTCAATCCTCTGAATAGCATAGGAAATATTTTATGTTATTTTGATAGAAAATAATAACTTTATGAATGATTATTATGTTTTATTTTTTTCTAAAAAAGATATGATTTGATGGCTAATAATATTTTTATAGTAAAATAAATGTCAAACTCAATACATAAAATAGAAAAGGACCTTATTGTTATTTATTTTGTTGCATCAAACTATTTTATTTATGATTATAAAAGTAATTGTTTTAATAAGATTTCTATTTTTTCTGATATACTTTTAAGCGGTAATGCAATTAAGACTTGAACATCATATATGTGGATTCTTTGTTGGAACATTGCCTCAAGCACCTCAACAAAATATTTTTCTTGGACTTCCATTGGAATTAATTCCAGAAGAAGTTGCATGGCTTGTTGATCAGGGTTAATAATTTCAAATTGTATATTATATTTTTTGATTAGATCCAGGACATGCGTATATTGTAGATGATAAGCTACGTCATCAGCTTTATATTGAAAATGTTACACCAAAAGATGTGCTTTCTATTAAAGAAAAGAGAATAACAGATATTAAGCGTCAAAATATTGAATATAAACAAAATTTACTAGAGAAAGAGTTTTCTACAAGCTTTTTGAAGGATTCTTCTAATTTAGATTCTATTGTTTCTTCTCTTGATAATAATGATACAGAAGATGATATACCACGAAATATTATTGTTCCAACAAAATCTAAGAAATCACTCTACGCAATGCCTATTGAATTGTCTCCTAAAGTAAAAGTGGATCCATCTCGATATTCTGTATGGAAATATCTTCATGATAAAGGCTATTACATGACACCTGGTCTCAAATTTGGTGCTCATTATCTTGCTTATCCAGGTGATCCTTTAAAATATCATTCTCATTTCTTAGTAAATGTAATGCAATGGGAACAAGAATTTTCTATAATAAATATAGTAGGTGGTGGAAGGCTTGGGACAAATGTTAAAAAAGCATGGGTTATTGGAGCAAATAATCCTAATACTAATATTGCTCATGTCTTTACTGTTGAATGGACAGGATTTGGATAATTATAAAAAGAGAATATCTTTTAATATTCTTTTTTTTTTTCATCTTGAATTCATGATCTTGAAATATATATATATAAACGTGGCTATAGATCTAAAAATTAAATCTCAAATCATAATTCACCAAACAATTTAATCATTATCTTATAATTATGAATGGTTTTTTAAAGAAGTTTATTTAAAAATAAACATATAATCACAAATAAACATATAATTACAAATAAACATATAATCACAAATAATATAAATATATGAGTATGTCTATTTATTTATTTAATAAACTAATATTTTTATTAGTTTTATATTGTCTTGAGATTTAAACATCGATTACGCTAAGGACACCACTTTCTATTTCAAAAAAATCTAAGTCATTAGAGAGATTAATGATTTATTATAAAAAAACAGGAAACTATTCATATTTTTATTTAAAATATTTTCAGAATTAAGAATACTTTTTTTATAGGAAAAAAAACGCTTAAATTTGAAGCAAGAACAAAGTGAACAATTATCACTATTTTAATAATTATTAAGCTACTTTATTAATCAATTTCTATTATTATAAGATTGGAATTCTTTAATTAAAGAGAATATTACTAGTGAATTGAATTTATTTTAAAAAGTCTTTTTTTTTATTGTTTCTTCAAGAAAATGTTCACTCAGGTCAGTATATATGTAAATCTCGGCAAAAAACGATCTTATTTTCCTTAAAGACCCCAGTTGGAGGAAGAAGAGTTCGTAATCAACGTCAATGGTCTAGAATTATTACTGGAGATCGTCCCGCAGCACCATTACCCTCATCAGGAGCTTCCCCATCATTTTCATACGGTTCACCCTCAATTAATCCTCCAGATATTCCATCACTTCATGATACAACTGTTGGACTTGCGTCAGCACTTAGAGCAGCACAAAGAAATACTCAAAGGAAGGATTATATAAATGAAAATATTACACCTTTAAAACAACCTAAATTTTTAAAACAAGAATTTTCAAATACAAGTCCCCCATATTCCCTAAGTCCTAAAAGTGCAGAACGTAAAAGAGGGTAACTAAGATTTTAATAAATTATTTTCTAATCTATTATAGATCTCAAAGAGTTTTTAAAAAAATGGATGAGAATTCAGATTCTATGGATAATAAGTTTCAAAACAATCAATTGGATATGGAAACTTCTGAAAATGATTCTAAAAGTTGTTGTTTTTTTAATTATAATATACAACTAAATTCTATATAGAAAATATAAATCAAGATCAGAATATGAAACAAAATGGAAAACTATCTCGTTATTATTTAAGAGAACACAATAGTGCTGATAGTGCTTCACGTCTGTCATTAAATTACGATACAACAAATAATTCAGAAAATCTAGAAAACCTTGAATCTCGATCATATGAAGAAGAAGAACTTTTATACAGCCGATTAAATGAAACGGATTTTAAAGACTTTTTTGAAGACTATGATTCTAGTATTCCAGATGATTATGTAAATACAGATAGTCAAGAATACCTTGATGATGATTATGAGAAGCAAGCAAACAAAATATTAAATTTTATCCACTTTTGCTGGTTTATGATCATATCTCTTTCTAAGCAATTCATCTTTTATTGTTTTAATTTACTTATGTGGCCAATTACTAGTCTTATTTCCTTAATTTCTCTTATAATCGAATCAATTTTGAAGATTACTATTCGAAAAACATATACCATATTTATTATTCTTTCTATAATACTTGCTATCACTATTCCAAGTTTGTTAGAGAAGAATTATGTAAAATTGAAACGGATTTATAAGCCTTATTCACTATCAATGTATAATTATTCAGATCCTCAAAATGTGGATGAATTAATACAGCGCTTAGTAAATTTAGAGAAAACTTTAAAGAGTTATGAGGCGACAATTCAAAATATGATTCAGGATAAAAAGGATATGTTAAAAGCGATAAAAGAAATAGATATTAAAGGATATGAAAATTCAGAAACAACGAAATTATTAAAGAAAGAATTTAATGTATTTAAGAATTCATTTGAAAAAACTAAGAAAGAGATATCAAACCTAAATCTACAAGATGACAAAAAAAAATCACAAATCACAGATCTTTTTCATTCTTTTTCTTTTTTACAGAAAAATACATCAAAATGTCAAAGTCAATTTAATGATTGTAAGAATTCATTATCATCTTTTAACTTAGAAGTTTCTGCTATCAAGAAATCAGTTGATAGCCTTTATAAGGAGTTTAACAATTCTCAAACAACTTTTAAAAATGATTCAGATGATAAATATATTATGGACAAAATTATTAAAGTAATTGATTCTTATCTTCCATCACAGCTTGTTGTAAAAATGAATCCTAAAACCAAAAAAATAGATATCAGTCCTGAATTTTGGATTCTTCTTCGAGAAATTTTTCCTGATCGTGTAGAAATAGATGGTGTTTTGAAATCATCATTTGGAAAAGAGTTTAATAAAGACGAAGATGCATCATACTTGATTTCATGGACAAATTTCTTTAAAAATAATGAAGAAAATATAAAAACTTTTATTAAAGCTCAAACTAAAGAAGATTTAAAAAAGAGTGAAGAAAATGGATTAATTGTATCTAAAACATACTTTATGACTACACTTAAGGAGAATTTAAAAAAAATTCAAAATGATTTAGAAAATGATTTCACAAAAATGAAAGAACATATTAATGATCGCTTCAAAAAAATAGATTATATCTTTAAAAATAAAATAGAAACCGATCATTCGAAATATTCAAACAATGAAAATCTTTCCAACAAAGCAATTGAAACTTTGATTGAAGCTGCTCTTCATAAATATTCTTCTGACGTATTAGCTCGGCCTGATTTTGCTCTTTATTCTTCCGGTGCAAGAATTAATCCTTTTCTTACATCACCAACATATTTACAAAGACCTACTAGGTTTATTCCAAGACTTTTATCTAAAGTATTTTGGAATATCGGTTGTACTTGGGGTTATCCACCTGCAATGGCTATTAATCATGAAAATACTGTAGGAATGTGCTGGGCATTTCCTGGTTCTTCTGGACAAATTTCTATTCGTCTAAGTGAAACTATTTTTTTAACTGACATAACAATTGAACATGTTCATTCTGATATTGCTCACGATATTTCCACTGCTCCTCGTGATATTCAATTTTGGGCTCAAATCGATCATCCTGATTTACAAGAACTAATAATTCAACATATTTCTCCTCAATCACAGAATTCAATTCCACCTTCAAATTCTTATTTTTTGATTACAACTATGACTTATAACATTTTTTCAACATATTCTATTCAAACTTTTCCTATTCCTAATATTATTCAACAATTAAACATTCCAGTAAAAAATGTCGTCTTTAGAATCCTTAGCAATTGGGGAAATGATAAATTCACTTGGTATATTTTTTTTTTCTTTTCTTTATTTTTCTAACTTATAGTCTTTATCGTATTCGTGTTCATGGAACAAAGCTTATCCTCAACCAAACAACAACTTCCAATCAAAATAAATAATAACCTATTCTTCTTTGGATTTTCATCTTATTTCTATTGATTTTTCAATTCATTTACTCTCAACTTTATACTCTACTTTTTTCAGGTCACGTGAAAAGGCTGGTCTCACGTCACTTAAAAAATCTTAAACTTAAATTTTATTTTCAAATTTTTTCATGAATGGCTTCATCTTTTGTTCCTTATATTCATCAGGTTTTTATCATTATATTATATGATATTATCAGATTAAATTTTCTGATGGGATATAGACGGCAGGTCATGATGGAGTTTTGTCAGATAAATCAGGAATAATTATATGTAAACCATGTATACCGGCAGAAGTTACGTTTTATAGTATGGCACAGGCATTTCCAGCGTTTCAGCGCTGGATGCCTACATATATGGGAAATTTAAGTCTTGAATCATCATCGGTAGAAGTAGAAAATAGATCATCAGGAAGATCAGATGCAATTGTGCTTGAAAATCTATGTTATCCGTTTGTTCATCCATGTACAATTGATGTAAAACTTGGTTCGAGGCTTTGGGATGATGATGCATCAGCAGAAAAGCGAAAACGGCTTGAAGAGGTGTCTAAACATACAACAAGTGGTTGTCTTGGATTTCGAGTGTCAGCAATGAGGATATGGAATGTAAAACAAGGAGTATATCAGTCATATTCAAAGGAATGGGGTAAATCATTGACAGAATCGACGATATCAGAAGGGTTAAATGAATTTTTATCAGTTGTAGAAGCAAAAGAGCAACGATTAAGAGTAATTTCTGAATGGATTAACAATTTGAGCCAAATTGAAGAAGTTTTGAATAAAGCGGAGGTTCGAATGTATTCATCGAGTTTATTGTTTATATATGAAGGGGACCCGGATGCGTTAATGCAAAGAATTAAGCAATTGGACGCAGCAAAACAAAATAATGAAGAACTAGATACTGAAAGTGAATCTAGTAATAGTGGTACTGATAGTATGGATAGTGAAAAAAATTGCAATGTATCTCATATTTCGGTTTGTCGATTAATTGATTTTGCACATGCACATTGGGTTGCTGGTCAAGGGCCGGATGAAAATGTTTTACATGGTATTGCCTCTCTTAAAGCAATTTTAATGAAGATCTCAAGCGAATATTCATAACAATGGCTCATGGTATTGATTTTCTTAGTTCTTTTACTTGTTTTTGCATTTAAACACTTTTATTTAGATCTCAAAATTTTTTATCAGTATTCTATTCGAAAATTCATATATTAGACATTTCTAAAAGCTCTGCTGCTAATCTTTGTATATAAAATCCTCTTTCATTACCTGTTAGTCCTCGAAAACCTTCAAATATTTTTTTAATCAGAATACGGCCATTTTCATAAGCTTTTAAATCTTTATTACCATATACATCATTGGTTAAAGTCGAATAGTATTGATAGTCTAGATGTCTCCAAAAAATATTTACACTTATTGAAGGCTCAAGTGATTGAACCGCATGAAGCCAAAATGCTGGTATATAAAGAATATCTCCTGGAAATAAGATAACCTGATGTGGATGTGTATTTCTTAAATTCTGTGGATTTTCAGCAAAAATATTAGGAATTTTGGATGAAGATGATCCGGGAAGAAATTGAAGATGTAAAACATCTGATGGAGGGTATAATTGAATTTTTTTCGACCCTCGGATCTGAATAAGGATATTGGACATAACCTGGTTGTTTTAATATGTTTATTTTGAATATATATGTTTAAACATACATCATAATGGAGCCACATCCCAATGTTTTTGCTAGAAATACGAAGAGGAGATGAAAATTTATTTGGGCATATAGTTTGTGACAGTTCTTTAGGAATACTTAAATCATCTGAAATTTCCGGAAAATCTTCTTCTAAAAGACTTGGTTTAGTTCTTGGATTTTTTGTTGAAATTGATCTCATATATAATTTGCTTCCATCTTTATAAATAGAATTGATAAAGTCTTCAAATTTCATTGTTTCATAATTGAAATTTTTTTCATAAAAGTTCATAAAATTGGTTTTTGCATTATGAACAATAACCTATATATTAATTTTATAAAATAAATTTGTGCATAGTATTTACCTTGCGAGTACTTCCAATATGTGAAACGAGATATTCTGGTGTCCATTTTTCTACACAAGTTCCTATATCTAATCCTTTTAAAACAATAGGCATGTCTTTTTCTAATATTTCTTCCCATTCCTCCTTACTATTAATTTTAATACTAGAAATTTGTTGAATTATAGGATTTGTATTTTCTAGGACCATTGAATTAAGCATATTGATATTGTCATTATTAAATCTATTAATAAAAGCTGGAACACATGATTTTGTACTTTTATATTCGGAAATCAACCATTCTTCATCAGAATTGAATTCAGATAGTATTAAAATATCATCATTCCAACAAATACCAAAAGAAAAACATAGACCGCCACCACCTAAAATAAATATATCATTATTTCTTCTTATTATATCAAAGCCAATAAGAATTGGATCATTTTCAAGACTTTGTACATTTAATGGAATTATTTTTTGATTTTCTAGATCAAGTAGTATAAATTGGTCATCCCAAGAAATACAATGAAACATGGATACTCCACCAACAATTAGTACATTTCCATTTAAAATTCCTGTAACATTTACTGCTTTTGCTCCTAATCGAGATATACGTTTAATATCTAAAATGGATATATTAAGCCATGGTAAAAATTCTAAAAACCATTCTTTATTTAAAATTGTTATCTTAAATGTCCACATATCTTCATATATAAGGCCATCTTCATTCATTCCTCCACAAATAATTCCCTCCTCTCTTTCCGGTAACCAAATTATACACATTCCCCATCGCGGTTGTGGTTTATCCTTTGAATTGGTTCTTAATATTTCCCAACCATTTTTATCACTCCACATTACCCATTCTTCATCAACAATTTTAGATGTTTTTTTATTACCACCAAATATTATGAATCTAGTTTCATTTTGAAGAGTAACTTTAATCATACCATGCCTATAACGTCCACCATCAGGAATCGGTTTTATTGTATTCTGTGTTAAATGGCTATATTTCCATCCAGAATTTGATAATTTGCATGGAGATTCTCTTCCTCCAATACAAATTAAAATGTCTTCCTTAAAACAATAATCCAATGTATGGCATACACGAGAATCTAGTGATTTTATATTTAACTCAGGTATTTCATCCTCTTTATGCTTTATTAAAAATGTTTTTCCATCACGGCCTGATTCAGATATACCACCATAATAAATAATAGTATTTTGACCAAGTAATGCAGCAGCGCCAAATCTTCTATGAAAAGCAATATTCTTCTTTGCTTTATAAATTTTTTTTGAAAGAAAATTGCCCTTAGAATCATTAGATATGCATTTATTAAAAAATTGTGGCTGTTTATTTGAATTTAAGTATTGATAGCCTTCAGGAGGAGAACTTAAAAGAATACTTCTTTTTGAAGGTAAATTCTTTGCAATTAAAACAAAATAATGCTGAAGAAATAGTATTATTTCTTCCCATTCATCAAAATCTTCCACTAGATTTACTTTATTTCTTGTTTTCTTGTCAATACCATAATTCCAAAATGTTAGTAAATCAAATGCTTCTATATGATTCCATCCTCTGTCTAAAAATCGTTTATATTCCAAAATAAGTGTAGGATAATGATCTAATGAATATAATGGTGTTTTTAGTTTATTAAAATAAGATATCATGGTTCGACCAAAAGGATGGTTTTTAGAACATGGTAAAATCTGTTCTAAAATAACGAAATTTGCTGAAATAATTACGAAATTATTATCTATAATGAAACTTACCATAAGGGAAAGAAGATGCCCATTCAATTAGTTTATCGGAGAATTCTGTTTGTATATATACCATTGCTACCTCTGATATAAACAATATGTCCATAGATTCAATATCATGACATTTTTCATTAATAATTATTTTTAGCATATCTAAATTTCGAATATCACAACCAATTAATTGATATTGCAATTCTAATTTATTTTTATTAGATAATACATATTTTTGAGATATTTCTTTTAGTCCCTTATCTCCCTCAATAATAAGAGCCTTTTTTTCTATAAGATTTTGGAAATCAACATCAAAAAATCGAACATAATCAAATTCTGGTTTCAACATATATCGAAAAGGCATTGGATCACTATATCTTTAGATTCATCAATAAAATACGATCTATATACTATCCACAACCAAGATTTATGACAGCCTTATAACGACCATTTTTTTCAGAAACAAACTAAATAATATATTTAATTTTCTTGGAAAAAGAAAAGTAAAATACATTTTGTATAACCGTCTCTATTGCCTGACAACGAATATAATACCCACGATTAATCACTGTAATATGTAAATATAAATAGTGTAAATTGTATCAATTATTAGTACTAGGTGATCTTCTTTGCGGTTTCTTAACGAATGCTCGTAGATATTGATTTTCTGAAAATGGATAGCCACAATATTCTGCTGACCTTTTAGAAACAATAGATGTATCATTTGTTCCTTTCTCTCTTAATATGATGTATCTGATCCGAAAAAACCATTATACCTTGTATAATTTTGTCTTTTTTATTTGAAATTTGCATCTTTGAATTTAATTATTTTTTAATGCTTTTTTTTGATTTAAAAGCTTTTAAAATATCCTTATATACATCTAAATATGTTTCTTTGAGTTCTTATTGATCCAATTCCTTATAGAAACCCTCTTTAACCTTTTCTAATATTTTTCAAAGATCTTTAACAAATCTATCTCTTTGGACAGGATTTTTTAATAATTTTTTAAAGAATTAATTAAAATATAATAAAAATTAAGATATTCTTATTAGATTTTAAGAAAATATCTTATTAATTTTCCTAAAAGTCCTTAATTTCTTTATAAATTAATTATAATAACTTAGAAATTTACAGCTCGAAGTTTAAGTTTTTAATCTATCAAGAAAACTTATATAATAAATAAGTTGTAGAAACATGTAAAAAATAAAATTTGTTATTTAAACAGAGGATTTTTGAAATTTATTGTTTTATTATTTAATATAAATGACTAGTTAAATATTTTTATGATTATAAATTATTAGTATTAGAATTTATTAATATTTCTATAAATCTATTTTATAGGGAGAAAAATGATTTAAGATAAAGGTTATGTTTAAAGTTTTTTTATTTTTATTGTTTTTAAAGATTATTATATTATTTATTATTCAGTTAAAAGTGATTTTATATGTAGAAAATGTTGATTGATAAATATAAAATATATAAATTTCTTTTAGTATCTATGTTATTTGGTAATAATGTCTAGTTAATGATATAATTAAATAAAATAAAAAGCAAATGAGATTAATGTAAATTATTTTTAAAAAAATTAAGTTTAATATATAAATATATGATAAAAATATGTTTGATAAAATTATAAGCTTTTTTTTTAAAGATCAGATTTTGTTAAATGAAACTTTAAATATTATAGAAATCATTTATTACGTTAATTGATATAAAATGAAAATATTTTAATAAAGATATTTTCTTAAAAATGTAGTAATATCTAATAAATATATAGAAATAATTATTGCAGATTATTGCAGCTATTTTTAGTATACTTTTTATTATAATATTAATTTGAAAAATAGAAAGAAATATGCTTTTTAAAAGTAATATTTATACATCTCTTAATATTTTATTTATTATTAAATCTAAGACTTAATTTCTTTAATTGGAGTTGAATTTCAAAAAAAAAATGTTAATAAAACTAAAAAACATTTCATCCTTAATTTAATAATTTATATGACTATTACATTCAATATTTGAGCTATTTTTATTATATTTACACATAAAATGATCATTTTTTTAATTAGATATTATTTTTAAAATATATTGTTGATATCTTATTTTCAAATATTTAGCTAAAATTAGATGCCTTTCCACTTATCTTTAAAAAAAATTAAGCCAATTCCTAATTAATTATACAAAACTTACTAATAATCCTATAATTAAGCCGAAAAGACCAATTACTGAACCAAAAATTTCAACAACAAGAATTTTTACAAACAAATTTGGATCTTGTGCATCTGCAAGTGCTACACTACTTCCTATAACCCCAACCGAAAGCCCACACGCCAAATTACAGATACCTACTGTTAATCCTCCCCAAAAAAGCGAATATCCTATATTTTTTTATTAATATACTACATTAAATTCCTCCACTTTCTACCCGTATTATAATTTTGTATCGTATAAAGATTTGGCCCTACTACTTCCTGTAGTTTTGTACTAAATACAATTGACATAATAATCCCATAAATAGCAACTACTTCACAAAAAATAATACTGTTTCCCTTTAATTAGCTTTAATAATACTAAAATCTCCTTCATTAGATCTTTCCCATTCATACCTAATCAAATTTTTTGTCTGTATATAAGGCGCTTTAACTCCTCCTCCAAGAATACTTGTACCTGTAATAAAAATGCCCCTTCTCTTTTTTAACAATTATACAGAAAATATAATAAATTTAGTAAATACCAAGCTGCTGCTGCTACACTCAATCCAATACAAAGTCCAATTCCAACAAGACCCCATAAATATGGACTAACTTTTGTAAAAAAATCATCTATATTCAATCAATCAAACTCCAATAAAATATAATTATAATATAAATATTAATATTCTTATCAAAAAACATAGGCATACCTATATATGATGACTCTATAGACGGATTGGCTACAACTAGAGGAAACATATGGCAAAAAGTTATAACAAAAATTTAAGATATTTAAAAATATATCTCTAATAAATTAAAATCCTAAGTTTATAAAAGATAAAGGCCTTCTGTAATATATAAATAATATATATTTTAGAGAGAAGGTTATTTAAGAGAATAATATAGACTTAAATATATCGAGAAGTTCGGCGACATAAAATTTTGGAGTCAAGAAAAAAAATCAGAAATAAGGCTAAAATGTCAAATACTCAGTATTATGAATTATATAGAAGAAGTTCTATTGGTATGTAGTTTTTCAGTGGAATTTTCAGCGTTTTTTTTGGGTGAAAAACGGTTGATTTTAAGAAAATAGGTATTTCTTTGACAGATGCCTTAGATGATTTGATCCGTGAAGGGCAAATTCCGCCTCAATTAGCAATGAAAATTCTTTTAAATGTATGTGGAATGATTAAATAGCTTTTTTTTTGGACGGTATTTCTTAAAAAGATAGTTTGATAAAAGTATTACCGATAATCTGACAGAAAAAGTGAAATCCCGTATGACATTTCGTGTAAGGCTTTTAATTTCCATGGATAGAAGTAACGGAATGTTTTTAGGGACATCTAGATACCTATAGGTTTTGTGATGAAGTATGGACCTTTATTATTAAAAATCCAAGTTTTCGTTTAGAAAATGATACAATGATATCAGATAAGATAAAAATAGTTGCATGTAATTCTAAGGTATGTTTAAATATATGAGTTTATTAAAAGTTTATATTAAAAATATTTTTTGAAATTTAATTTAATATTAATTAACTATGAACTCTTTTTAATATAATTTTTAGAAACCCGGTGATGTTTAATTTATACTTTGGACTTTATATATTAAAAATATATAAATGGATTCTTATTTCTAAATTATTCTTTGGATATTCGATTTATATTAAGATTAATGTTGATCTAATAAAAAAACAATAGAAAATACTTGATAAAATAAATAAATAAATATAAGCATAGATTTTTATGTCTTTAAACTTTTAAAATTCTCTTTAATTTATAAATTTCTAGCCATTTTTTGCTTAGATTATCTTCGTTGTCATAGTGATTAGTATCTGAGGATGAACCTCACTAAAAAAGTGTATTTAAAGAAAGGCATTTTTAGAGCCTTTTTTTTGGAGAATATACATTATAAAAAGAATATTTATAAGCCTTTAAATATATATAATGAATCTTTGTGCTTTTTTTCCGGAAAAACCTGCTTGATTTCAGGTGGATCAAGAGGAATTGGTTTTGGAATTGCACAAAGATTTGCAAAAGAAGGAAATCGTTGTATTTTAGTTTCTCGTAATGAAAATAATTTAAAAACTGCTATTTGTTCTCTTCCTTTTAGCCAGAATCATCAATATTATTGTTTGGACGTTAGAAATCCTTATCAGTGGGAACAACTTGCTAAAAAAATTGATAAGCTGCACGTACTTGTAAATGCAGCTGGTAAGACGTATATATTATGAGGAAGCTTTTCTTAGTCTTAAGGTATATCGCAGTATTCTTTTCTCCCTAGAATTTCTGTGGAAGAGATCAAAAATATCATTTCAACAAATCTTTTAGGATCTATATATTCATGCCGTGTATTTTTACAACATTTTCTCAAGAATAAGGGTGGTATGATATTATTTTTATTGTAATATTATGTAAAAAATACTAATAGGCTCAATTATTAATATTTCTTCCTCCATAACATTAAGTGGAGGTTCAGGTGCTACAGTCTATGCAGCCTCAAAAGCAGGAATATCAGGTAGATAAATATATATCTATTATATATTTCTAAAAATAAAGGGTTTACGAAGGCATTGTCTGCAGAATGGGCATCTAAAGGAATTAAGGTGAATGCAATTTCACCGGGCTATGTTGATACAGATATGTTAAATCGTAAGATTCATAAAAGAAAAATGTAAAATTAATATATGATAGAAATGAAGAAAGAAATACGAGATTCAGCTTTATTAAGTAATCATATGAGAAGATTGGGAAATATAGAAGAAATAGCATCAGCAGCTTTTTTTCTTGCATCTAATGATTTTATAACAGGAACTACACTGTACATAGATGGTGGTATTTAAAAATGTGTGTTTTCATATACAATCTAATAGAACAACATCGCTGTCATCGTCATCAATAATAATAGGATCCATTTTAGTTTTTTTAAGAATTGAATTAGATTCTGAATCTAGGTAATCTGATTTTCTTTTTTTTAAAGCTTGAAAATCATTATCATTATTATTTTCATTAGTTATATCATTTTTCTCAGCTTCATGATTATATGAATGCCTGGGTATTGTAATATTTAACATGGAATATGGTTTTTCTGTGTTTTTGAATGTCCTGAATATATTAAAAATATAAATAATGAAAAAAAAAACAATACTTTTCTTTTATTACTAATATTAAGTTTTTTCTGTTTAATTTTTCATTATCATCTTCATCAATAATAGTTAAAAATGTACCATTTTGAACTCCAATGTCCTTGAGTAATTTGTCAAGATTATCTTCGAATTCAATGTCATACAATAGTCTATCACTTATAATGCTTATTTCTTCACCATATCCTAGTCCTTCTTGTAGAACATTTATAACTAAATTTTTAAGTGTTGCAGAGTTAATATCTACTGAAAATAAAGACGTTTCTATTCCACAAAGTTCACATTGTGGATTTGGAAGACTTGCAGGTGCACTGTTAAATACTTTTTCTGGACGTCTCGAATAAAATACCTTATAAATTTAGCATGAAAATAATAAGAAAATCTTTAATACTGTTCTAAGAGAATTCAAGTTATTGGATAATACATGAAATGCTTGTAGAACACAAATACCAGAAATTATGGAATTTGTAGTTGCAATAGATGGTATAATGTTTCCTGCCATTTCTATTCTAATTACAAATCAATTAATTGGTAGTTGAATATCTTACGTTTAATTTCAAATTTTGACTTTTGCTCAATGCCAAAAACATAAGATCGAAGATTAGCTGATGAGGATACAAAATTTAACATATCTTCATCATCTTTATCGAATGAAATAGAAGATTTATTATCTTCTGAGGATGAATCCAAGAGTGAAATAAATCTTCGTAGAAGATTTTCCAAACTTTTAAATTAATATGGTTTTATACTTGAAAAATAATACAAAGCTATTCCTACCTCAATAGAAAAACATAAAAATTTTCTTCAATAGTCCATACTAATTGGCTATTTTTTAATCTTTCTTTATCAATTGTATCAGATTTCGATTTCAAATCTTCATATGAAAGAGGATTTATTATTTTTAATATTTTAGATATTTCTTCCATAGATTTTAATTGCATAATGTCATCAAAGTAAAGTTTCTTGAACAATTCCTTAGCAAAATTCCCATCTTTTATAGAATCTTTGATATTCTTAAAAATATTTTTTGTAATATATAAATCATCCATATCTTTTTTATAAGAAAATGAAAATACCCTTAATTTAGTCACAAATACCTTCTTTCTCATTATTTTCTGTATCAAATGCTTTTTTAGTATCAAAAATATGCCTATCATTTTAGAACATATTATTTTTTACTCTTAATACTTACGAAAATAAGTAATTTTTTGCCCAAACCGTACAATGAATAGGTAATGTAGGCGTCATTCTTATAGTACAAATAGGATAGGTTTTCGGCGTTTCCTTCGGGTTACAATCATAACATTCTGTTTTTCCCTTGAATATTAATTATTAAAAAAATATACCTTTAATAATTAAATACTTTAATTATAACCTGGACCTGGCCACGAAATCCCATCGTTCCACTTTCAATAAGAGGAACACCTGCTATTAAACACATTTTATTAACATGACGACGAGCATCTATTCATATAAAAAAATATACATAAAACCCTTTCAAAATAATACCCAAGTTATCCAATGCATTAAATACTAACGTAAACTTTTGAAACCAGAATATATTAAACCTCGAATCTTTAATATCCGAATGATACGCTTTAAGTTTGGCTTTAGGATTAAATTTTTGAGCATTTTCTTTTGCAACCTCAAAAAAATAAGATATTTAACTTAGAATAAATATTTCATACTAATGATTTCGGCTTTTTAATATGCTTTTTTTCAAATAAAAATTGACGATTAAGATTTGATAAATCAATCGTATCTAAATCAATCTAAACACATAAAAAACATTCTCCTCATTCAATAAAGGCCTTTACAATATGTATTTCTCCAAATCCAGACAATAAAAGGTTCTTAAGTAGCTCACATCCAATACCACCTGCTCCAACTAAAAGTACCTTAAAATAATCAGAAAAAAAGGGTTTTTCTTAATAAAATTCTATATTACCTTTGATGATGACGTCTTAGCTATAAGATCCTCGCATGGTTTCTCTATTTTCTGCTGAGCCATCTTATCTTTTCTTATTAATAAAAAAAATGAAGTCTGCTCGGTCAACGACAAAAAATAGATAAAGATATTTAAGGTTAAAATAAGGTAATAAAAGCCGATAAAATAAGTATTTATAGTAATATATTGATTAGAATAGTGTATATTAGCATCAGGTGGTTTTTTTCCGCTATAAAATAGCGTATTTCTAGAGGGAGATAGAAATGTCTACAGAGATGGTATTGATTGATGAGATTTTCCATATAAATACAGTGGATTCTCAGAAATTTGATAGAGGTTATAATATATATATTGTTATGTGCGTTTTTATGTGTTTTAGTTTCAAGAATTACGGCTATTTCATCTTCACAGGATATGGAATTAACATTAGATATTAATTCAGAGCTTTATCCATTGAAACCAAATGAATCTATTTCTGTTCAGGTAGCAAGTACATTACATGATTCATTTAAGGACAGTGCGGATTATATTATGTATGGAAAAGTTTATAGGTTTGATGAAGGTGAAAAAGATTTAGTGTTAGAATTTTAGAGTAATTGATAAGAAAATTAAGATATTATAGATCGGTATATATAAGTTTTGGAGGTCTTTTAATGTGCCTTGAAGGTCCATATAAAAAACTTAATCGGCTTTCATATGATCATGTCTATCTTTTTATTCGACGATAAAAACATAAAATATGAAAGAATAGCATCAATGAGTTCTAATGTAATTTAGTATCTAATATATTTTGTATTTTTATTTATTATTTCTTTAAATTTAAAGTCTTAAGAAATAAAATATTAAAATTAATTTATTAATATGAAGGAAAAAGTAAAAAATAATCATTTTTGGATAACAGCATTGCATATAACTTTATTAATGTTTTTATTTAATATTTCATCTTAGAAATTTATAAAAAGCAATGCTTTTAAATTAAATTATGTAATAAATGTTTTTTTAAAAACTTATGGTATTTTATTACTTAATACAATTATGAAATAAGTTTTAATTCTTTAAAACACTGCATATTTTTATAAAAATTCACTTTTAATAAACAAAAGTAACAACCTCATTATTATTTATGATTAATACATTCATGTACAGTAAAATTAAAAACTTAGTCAATAACATGATTAAAAAAAAGCTTCAGTTATGTGTAAATCAAAACTCATCAATTTAATCAAAAATCGACATCCTCCGTCATTTTTACGTTAGCCATTTGTTTTGTTAAATTTGAAATTTCACTAGTCCCTCCAAAATAAGACCATTCTATTGTCTCATCTCTAGATGCAACCATTGTTAATGCGATGGCAATGGCAGACCATAAATCTTGTGTAACATTACAATAATCTATAACAAGTAATGTTCGAATAGGATTCTATTAAAAAGTTAAAAGATAAAAAAAAAGTATAAATAAACAATACTTTCAAATCACTTGAATTCAGTGAGACAATTGCAACTTGAGACCTGCATATAGCAAAACCGTAAATTGTAGGGAATTTATCAATCGCTATTACTTGGGTATTTTCATATTCTTCGCGAGGAGGTGTTAGTGGATTATAAAGGGAATATTGATCCGTATATTTTGACAAAATCCGTTGTCTATGGTATTGAGCTGCTTCTCGTAATTTGTTTTCCATTTTTTCTGCGACAACCATATAATCATTATTAATATTCATATTTACATTTTTTGAAAGGTTAGAATAGCATGATGATACATATATAAGATATGGAATCTTCGTCTTTTCAAGATTAAAAACTACACAAATGTTAAAGATAATAATCATCATAATAAATCATGATAATTACGTCCTACGCTATCTTTTTCCATCCATTGCTGAAAACGTTTAAGCTCACTCAAAATATATGGCTCAATAGCAAGAGAATCATGAGGTAAACGATATTCCTTATTCAACTGGATTCTATCCCGAATATCTCGTCCAAGAAATACTAATCTTTTAAATGCTAATTTCCCTAATAAAAAAATATTTATAAAAAATAAAAATAATACTATAAATTAACCTCTGAATTCACCACTATCCGTATTATTCATAGAACATATCGGAGGCTTAAAATTAGAGTTATTTTGAACAAAAAGAGTAGATGGAAGTCCAAGAAAATCTATCTGTATTTTATTAGACTTTTACCAATAAACTTCATCTCCTTCCTTCCAAGATGCTGGAAATAGTGGTTGAGTCCCTCTATATTGTATTCTCGTGAATAATAGGGCCAAACGAGGTGAAATATCCGCTGGAAAGTTTTCTTGAGCAAAATAATCATTTTCTTTATCTTCACTTGAGTAATCCATAAAAGTATCAAATATTATATGTATATTCTGTTCTTTTAATGTATATTTAATTATTTTTGCCTTTAAAAATGGTGTTTTTAATGAATATCTACTGCTTGTTGATTTGATTGTTTCCTCTAAAAAGCCCGTTAAAAACCCGTTAAAAACCCGTTAAAAATGGTAAAATATTAAGAAAATGTTAAGAAACATGTATGGATTTCTTAAAAGCACTCCAAAATGTCCTGAAATCTCTATTTTCCTGGTCAAAATTGGAGGCTTTGTTAAAAGTAATGATGAGCGTACGATGAAGGGCTTAAGCGTTGTATCTTAAATACTTATATTTATAAAATAAATAAAAATACATAAGAAATATATTAATGTTCATGACCATCCTGTGGTAGTTCTTGTTTTTCAGGATCAAGTTTAATTGAGGTGTCAATACGAAGAATAGCAATACAAGCTTCGATTGCACTTTTAAGACTTCGAATCTTAGAAACAGAAGGTTCTAATATTCCTTCTTTAACGTTATCACGTATTTTTCCATCTGGCAAACTTAATCCATATGTTAAATAATTTTTTTTTGCATCATTTTGACTAGCAGCATGATAAGCACGTAGCTTAGCGATAAGCTCGGATGCATCTTTAGCAGCATTAACAGCAAGAGTTTTTGGAATGATTAATAAAGCAGAGGAAAATTCTGCAATAGCAAGTTGTTCTCGAGAACCCTATGAAATAAATTAATAGTGTTTTAAAAGAATAAGATAAGAAAACCAATGTAGTAGCAAAATTCTCAAGATAAATACTAAGAGAGGTTTCGACGGCACCACCGCCTGGAACGACATAACCACTTTCTAATGTTCGTTTAACAGATGATAAAGAATCATGAAGAGAACGCTCCATTTCGTCTAATTGATAACCTAACATTATAAGAAAAAAAGAAAGATAAAATATTTAATCTTAGATACCATTTGGACCTCTTAAAATAATGGATGAGGATGATAATGATCGAGTTCCTTTAATAAAAATACATTCATTATCAGAAATACGTTCTTGCGAAACTTCGTCCGAATATCCAAGATAACATGTTTCAAAAACTTCTTCTCCTTCCAAATTTGATAACGTATTAATAAGGGTTGCACCTGTTGCCTTTGCAATTCTTCTTAAATCTTCTTTTTTGCATCTTCTTACTGCCATGGCACCTGCTTCTACAAAAAGTTTCAAACAAAGATCATCAATTCCTTTAGTTGTAAATATAACATTTGCACCTGATGCAAGAATCTTTTGAACTCTCTCTAGAACTATATCACTTTCTCGTTTTCTAATTTGTTCTAGTTGATTTGGATTATCAATCACAATATTCACACCCAATGCCATACGCGCTTTCTGCAAATTCATATCTAAACATGCAATTTTTGCATTCGTAATTTTAGTTTTCATTGCTAAACTCATTTTTAATTTCCAACTTATTTATTCAAGAACAAACCTTGACTTGCAAGAGTACAGTTTATAACATACCCTTTAACTAAAATCGATTCTCGTGAACTTTTCCCATGTGCTTTTAAAATATTGACTGCCTTTACTGGATATTTTGTTTCTCCACGGGCATTTACTGTTTTAACCGATAAAATAGCATCTACCGTCATATTTGCAAAAAAATCTGAATCACTAATATATAAGAAATAAAAAAAAAACATTATTTAAATCCCAATACCTTCCAATCACTTTCGATGACATACTCGTCTTAGCAACATTTACTAAACACTCCCTTCCAAGATGTTCTGCCTTAATTTGAAGCATTTCTGTAAGATATTTTATAGCCTCTTTTAACGCTAATCGATATCCCGTAATAATCGTCGTTGGATGAATCTTGTTTTTCACTAACTCATTTGCACGACGTAATAATTCCGCTTTAATACAACGTTATTTTCATTTATATAAATAATTATCATCTCAACCCGCAATAATAACTACCGACGTAGTACCATCTCCCACTTCTTTATCTTGTTGTTGTGCCAATTCAACAAGCATTTTTCCTGTAGGATGTTCAACATGCAATAACGAAAGAATAGTAGATCCATCATTTGTAACTGTTACATCTCCAATATCATCAACTAACATCTTATCTAATCCCACCGGTCCAAGTGATGATTTAAGTATATTTGAAAGCGTTTGAGTCGCTAGAACTAAAAATACACCATTAGAACACTTCTACGCACTCATTTTCATCGATTTAAAGCTCTTTTCACCGCTTTTCTCACCATGTTGATCTCTAACATCTGATCCACTAATTTTTTCTCCACTCAAGACTGGATAAGTCAATTTTCTCCGTTCAAAAACCTATATATAAACTTACACACATTAGAATCCAATGTTTGCTGAAATAATTGTGCCATTTCCTCCAAAAAAAGGACCTTTATTGACCCTCTTAATCCTTTTTTTTTTAACTTAATTTTTCTTGCGGTCAGAAAGCCCAAGGTTAACCTCACACTTTTTAATAAATTAACCTAACAAAAAATTATAGTGAAAAAATATATTAAAAATGAGTGAAAAAGACATATTATATGGACTATCATGTATTTCTATTAGTGATAAACATATTATTAGCCATGAAGAAGCAGTTACAGAAGTTTTATGGAAAAAAAAGCTTGAAAAACAAGCTATTTTTGATAAATATATCTTAACAAGAATAAGAATGTCAAAAACAGGGAGGGAAGATGAGAACGTATTTAAATTGGTCTTTATTATTGGGCTTGAAGACTCAAAAATAGAATTTTCAACGATTGCGTCAGTTTTAAAGTGTAAATCATTACATATGGCGCCATCAGAGCTGATATTTGAGCTTTTTGGAGTAAAAAGTGAAGAAGGTTATTATCTGTTTATTAAGATAATAATTTTTATTGATTGGAAGTGAAAAGTATCTCTTTTTTGTCTTAGAAGGGAGAATATATCCAAAATCCATCTTGTTTTAGATTCTCGAATACTTTTGACAGAAGAATTACTTGCATTTCGTATATCAAGCAGAAAAACAGCCTTTATAACAAGTGATCAATTATTAAAATACCTTGTGGATTTAGATATAAAGAAAACATGTATAGATTTAGGATTAAAGTTATTAAATATACAGTTGTATAGAAATAATTAATTTTAATTTAGAATGAAACCTTGCTTACAGTCGAAAGGTACACTATCTAATAAGGATGGTTAGTTTTAATTGGTATTTTTTATTATTATTTAGTTTTAGACATGCAAGAAAGTACATTAATTGGTATTACTGTTAAAAAAAATGAGAATTTTTCTGAATGGTATCGTCAAGTGTTAGTTAAGGGTGATATGGTGAGTTTTATCAATTCTTTTATTTTATTTACTCTGATTCATATTGGATTGATTACTATGATATTTCGGGATGTTATATATTAAAACCACCTTCTTATCATATATGGGAGGAAATACAGAGTAATAGTGATCCTTTTTGATTTTTGATATTAAATTTTATTATATATTAGAATGGTTTGATTCAGAGATTAAAAAAATGGGAGTTGAGGGCTGTTATTTTCCTATGTTTGTATCTTCAAAAGTTCTTGAGAAAGAAAAAGATCATATAGAAGGATTTGCACCGGAAGGTAATAGATATAATCTTGAAATACAATTTTCTGATCTCTAAAAGTTGCATGGATAACAAAAGCGTAATATATATTTATTATAGTTATTATTAATTTTTAATATTGTTAGTGGGAATTCCAATCTTGATGAACCCATTGCTATTCGCCCAACTTCAGAAACAATTATGTATTCATATTATTCTAAATGGATAAGAAGTCATCGTGATTTGCCATTAAAGCTTAATCAATGGAATTCTGTTGTTAGATGGGAATTTAAACATCCTCGTAAGTTTTATGATATTTATAGATCTTTACTTTGTTAATCATGTAGAGCCTTTCTTAAGGACTCGAGAGTTTCTTTGGCAAGAAGGTCATACAGTGTATTTAAATAAAGAAGAATCTGAGGAAGAAGTTTTTGATATTTTGAACTTATATGAAAAAGTTTATGTTGATTTGCTTGCGGTTCCAGTAATTAAGGGAGTGAAATCAGAAAAAGAGAAATTTGCTGGAGCAGCTTTTACAGCGACAATTGAAGGATATATTCCTGCTTCTGGAAGAGCTATTCAGGCAGCAACAAGTCATTCATTGGGGCAAAATTTTAGTAAAATGTTTGATATTTCTCTTGAAAATCCGAATACAAATGTCACTGGTGATAAATCAAAGGTTTATGTTTGGCAAAATTCATGGGGTCTTTCAACAAGAGCAATTGGAATTATGGTAATGACTCATGGTGATGATAAAGGATTGGTTATACCTCCTAGGGTTTCAAAAATTCAAATAATTGTTATTCCTTGTGGAATTACTGTTAAAACAGCAAATGATCAACAAAAATTAATTCAAGATGGAATTGAAAATATTGTTCAAGAGCTTAAAAAAGCAGGATTCCGTGTTAAATCAGATTTACGGACTCTATATTCTCCAGGTTGGAAATTTTCTCATTGGGAAATGATGGTATTCTATAATTTTATTATTTTTTTGCAATTATTTACTTTCTAGGGAGTTCCATTACGATTGGAATATGGATTGAGAGATCATAAGGCTCTTCAAGTCATTGCTGTGCGTCGAGATACTGGTACTAAGTTCGCAATTCCACTTTCTACACTTTTACAAACTGTTTCTGAATTACTAACAACAATTCAGACTGATTTATACAACAAAGCAAAAAGAAAATATGATGAAAGCATTGAAATTATTTATAAATGGGAAAACTTTGTCCCTTCACTTAATAAAAAAAAGGTTTTACTTGTTCCATGGTGTAAAATATCATCATGTGAAGAGGAAATACGAAAAAAGAGTTCAAATGAATCAAATACAGAATCAGAAGATAATTTATTAAGTATGGGCGCAAAAAGTCTTTGTATACCTTTAGAACAACCATCTGGTGAACATCTTTTAAAAGAAGGTGTAACTCGCTGTGTTTCTTGTGATAATTTTGCTACAACTTTTGCACTCTTTGGCCGTAGCTATTAATTCTTTTTCATTTTATAATATTTAATATAACGACTTTTAAAAAAATGTTAAAATCCTCTCTGTTTTCCCTCATAAAAACATATCATAAAGCAAGATCTATTCTTTATGGATCTTCCTATGCCTATTATCTATCTTTATCTTGTTTATTATTAGACACTCTTTTTTGCCTAGTTATTTTACTAAAAATCCCTTGTAAAAATATACAAGTTCTAATATCTTTTAACTTAGTATTTAGATACTGAAATTGACTGGAATACATATATGACCCAGGTTTCTATTTATTTATCAGGTGAAAGAAATTATCTCAATATTAAAGGTGATACAGGACCAATTGTGTAAGCTATAATTATATATTTTAAAAATATCTATAATTTTGAAGATATCCATCAGGATTTCTTTATTTATATACTTTTCTTTATAAATTGACAGATGGAGGGAGAGATATTGCAAGAGCTCAGTATATTTTTATGTTGGTTTATCTTTCAACACTTTTTTTTATATTTAAGATTTATCAAACAATAAGAGTAAACAGAAAGCGGTTTAATTTGTTTATTTGATATGATCAGGCACCTTTGTATACATATTTTATGTTAATTTTTTCAAAACGTCTTCATAGTATATATTTATTACGTCTATTCAATGACTGCTGGGCAATGCTTTTTTCATATATTGGGGTTTATTCATATGTTCAGAATTCCTGGATATTGGGTACTCTTTTTTTTGGGATTGCATTAGGAATTAAAATGAATGTTTTACTTTTTTTCCCTGCTATAATTATGATATTATTTCAGATTTTGGGTCTAAGGCATATGTTATATCATTTTTTTCTTATTTTTGGTATTCAGGTTATAATTGGATTGTTTTATGAGAAATACATTTATTTTATTTAGACATTATTATTTATACCTTTTATTTCTTATAAAAAGGAATATATTTCTAGAGCTTTTGATTTTTCTAGGGCGTTTCTTTATGAATGGACTGTCAATTGGAAGTTTTTATCAGAAGATGTCTTCTCTTCTAGGGAATTTTCATTTTTATTACTTTTTATTCATGTATTAATACTTTTTATTTTTTCTAGCACCTTATGGAACCGGTTTATATATATATATATATTACGTTTATATAAACTAATGGATATTTAGGATATCTGGACGTTCTTTAAAAGAACTTGCATTATCTTTATTAAATACAAAAACATTATTTATTAATAAAGTATATAAAACATCTTTTCAGACTCAGCGTCTTATTGTTATTATACTTTTTACATCTAACTTAATTGGGGTTTTATGTGCACGTTCTTTACATTATCAATTTTATTGTTGGTTTGCATGGAGTATACCTTATATTCTTAGTCAGACACGTATACATCCATTTTTTCAATTTTTTATTTGGGCACTACAAGAATATGCATGGAATGTATATCCAAGCACAGCTTATAGTTCTATAATTGTAATTATGGTTCTTATTTCAGTTTTATTTCTTCTTTTAATTCGGTGCTAATTTTATATATTTATTATTATATTTTCTTCAAATAAGTCAGTTTTTTATTCCATAGGGCTTTTATCAGATTAATGTGTTGGTCTTATAATGCATTTAAAGTTTTTATACATATGTTTATTTTATTAACAAATATCAGATTTTTACTATCTAAAAAGGTTATGCGTTATTGATTATTATAAAAACAAAATAACGGAAAAATATAATGAAACAATTTATTTAAAGCAAAGAACATACAATGAATTTCAAGGTTATTTATCATTTTTCTCAATTTTATTTTTTTTAAATAACCAAATCATTTTTAATATAGACTTTTTTGGATTCATTAATTTATTAAAATAAACATTCTCTCAAATAATAAAAATATACTTATTTATCTAAATATATACCTATTTATCTAAATATATAGATATTTTTCTTTAGATTTCTTATGTTAAATCTTAGTATTCATATATATTATATTTTATACTTTTCGTTAAGATATTAAATTATTTTTTGAAAATAAAAATTAATATTTTTAAGATGCCTTCTTCAAGAACAGCCAAAAAACCCAAACCAATACAAAGAAAACTAGTAGATTCATTTCCGTCTTTAAAAGTTTCAAAAGTTAGTTCAAAACAATTAAAAAAAACTAATGATAATATTATTCAAAAAAAAAATATATTGAAAAGTCAAATACAAAGTAATAAAGAAGTTACTAATCTTTATCCATCTAAACAGGATTTTTCTCCTTTAGTTGTAGAAAAATCAAGTTGCGTAAATATAGGTATGTATATATATATCTATCTATGAAATAATATGAAATTTAAATATATATTTCTCTAGATGAACAAGAACATATTAATAAGGCATTAAATACGTTTGATTTAACATATAAATATGGACCTTTTGTAGGACTATCTCGTTTAGATCGCTGGAATAGAGCTGTAAAATTAGGTCTTTGCCCTCCTATTGAAATAAAGAGGTTACTATAACTTTTTAAATTCAATAATATTAAATATTATAATGATATTTATGACATTTAAAAGACTTATTTTTCTATATTGGAAGATATATTAATTATCATGACAAAGTATTATTTATAATAATCTATCTATCAAATCTTTTTTAATATAATTGGATAACATTTGTAAGAATTGGTTTCAATTTACTTAATATGTCTGGAATTAGGTTAAAAAGGATAAATCCTTATGCAACATTTTTCTTAATATATCTCTATCGATAAATGTTATTTATTAGAAATACAGGTGTAAGATGTAGAAATAATTATTGTAATCAATTGTATGAGTTTTATACATGGATTCTTGCTTTTTCAAAATATTTTTTGATACAAGGAATTGAATTATTTAAAATAATTTGTCATTGAATATATTTTTTTTTGTTTTAATTATTTTAACGTTTAATAAAAGCTATAAATCTTTAAGAATTATTATCAATTTTCCTATTTCAATTCATTTTTATTAACATATTATTCATAAAACTATAAAGAAACCTTTTTATTAACGATTTTATATTATTTCAATAACTTTTCTCGAATTGATTCTATTTTAATAAAATTTTTAATACTATAATGAATAAATAATAGATTTTCATTTAAATTAAATAAAAACTCATAATTAATAAAAAGAACAATTTTTTTTTATTATTTCAATTCTTTTTTTATTTCAATTATTTTCTTCAATTATTTTCTTATATATTCTCTATCTTATATATATTCTCTATCTCATTAAATCTTCCTTTTTCTTTACAAATAACACTAAAATACATTCTTTTATTCCTTAAATAATACTCTAAACCCCTCCTCCCCACTCCTCCCCCCTAAAATCTACAACTTCCATTTTACATATTAATCTTATTGAATTAAACACTCCAACTTATCCCCTTCTATCTAACGGACAATGACGTGTCCCGTTCTTATTTAGTTTATTCGTTGCTATGGAAACTCAATTGATGATGAAATACTGAAATCTGATTGGCCAATTTCTGTCGATGATTAAATTTATTTAAACCCTTAGATTTATTAATAACATGTAAAATATAAAAAATATAAAAAATATAAAAAATATAGAAATTTAGAGTCATAAAATTGAAATATTTTATGAAAATAAAGAGATCAGAAATAATTAATAAAGACTTAGTAATGGAATTATCAGAACCTTTGATAAATAAAGAGAGAATGGAAATGACATCAGAGTCATCACGTATTATTAGTGATATTATTCTTGTAAGTGAAGAAAAAGTTAAAAAAGAAAGAATAATGAATGAATTATGATAGGGTCTTTCAGATGGGTTAACAGTTCCATTTTCGTTAGCAGCTGGTCTTTCGTCATTTTATAATAGTAAAATTGTTCTTACAGCAGGAATGGCGGAATTGATATCAGGAGCAGTTTCGATGGGATTAGGTGGATATTTAGCAGTAAAATCAGAGGTGGAACATTTTGAACATATTAGAAGAACACAAATGGATCTTTTAATACACGCACCAGAAAATAGATCACAACAAATTCTTAATCAATTAGAGTCATATGGAATTGTTAATGAAGTTTGCAGACCTTTAGTTTTTTGTTTAAAGCAAAATCCTATTGATTTTGTAAACTTTGTTATGCGTTTTGATTTATGTTTACAAAAACCCTCACTTAGAACAGCTTGGTTTAGTGCTATTACTATTGCTATGTCATATTTTCTTGGAGGATTGTATAACTCTTTTTTTTTCTCTAAAAATTATTGATTTTATTATTAGAATTCCTCTTATACCTTATATTATTTTTTACAACGATACTTTTTTAGGTTTTAAAATCAGCGTTATTCTTGTTGCCATTGTTTTATTTATTTTTGGTTATTTAAAATCAATCTATCTCATCGGATCTATAAAGAAATCAATCTATTCTGCTTTTCAAACATTATTAGTCGGTATTATTGCTGCTATTTCTGCTTTTACAATTGTATATCTTTTAGGCGGTCATTAATCTTTAATTCATTCCTTAATCACTTTTTATCTTGTATAATTTAATACTTCATATTTGAGTATATACCTATCTTTTGATATATTTTTTATAATTTATTCTTTCTTTATTATATAATAACTCGATTTTTTAACAAATCTATTTCCTTCTTCAACAATTCCTCCTAACCCTCCTTCTCCTCCTCATTCTCCTCCCTCTTCTAACTCAATTATACTTTTATTCTTCTATTTTATATATTAATTATCGAGTAACCAATCTTATATTACATTTCTATATTTACAAAAGTCTTTCTTATATAAAATAAATACATGTTTAATAAATATAAAATAATGTTTTAATTCATTTTTAATAAAAAATTGCTTGATTTTAAAGAATCTTAGTTATTTTTAAGGTTTTTACTTTTTTTCGAGGATTTTTTAACCCTCTACACGAAGCATAAAAAGTTAAGATTAATGATAATATGAATATTTAAGATTTTTTAGATAAAAAATAGGAATTAAGAGACAAGATCTTTAAGAAATGGAGGTAATATTTCTAATAGAACAGGAATAAAGAACAGGATTAATATATTTTTAGGATATTTCAGAAGCAATGAATGATATCCATAACAGGATTGAGCGGGAAAAGGTTTTGATTCAAGGAGCACAAGCTATGTGTAGCCAAACTCTTAATGAAAGTGTTCAACAAAGTCTTGGAAATAGTATACGGGAATCTCAAAGAAATATAACCTATTTGATGGAAAGGATGCGTGAACTTCAATTAAAAAAGAAGGAATATTTAGAAGATGAAAGTAGTGGAAAAGATAATAAACCACCTACACCCCCACCAAAGGATACGCCTTTCCTGAAAGAATCTAAAATAATGAATAATATTTTTTTAAGTAATGTTCAAGATGAAGAAAAGCCGAAAACTATAATAGAAAGGGTGGAAGTATTAGAATCAAAGCCGCAATATACAAGACTAGGTTTTTTTTTTCATTTTTTTTAAATATTTTTTGATTATTTAAAAGATTTATATAAATATCATACACCATACACAAGTATGAAGATTCAGATGATGATTCAGCAATTAGAACCGAAATTGATGGTTGAAAAACAAGTAAAAAATGGATTTGATAAATTAATTAACTTATATAAAAATGAAAATGATAAAAAAAACAAAAATGAGGCAGAAATGAAGAAAGCTGAAAGTGAACAAAAAATACAACTTTTGAAACGTGGTTTAAAACGTTACAAAGATCTTAACGTTGATGTTGATAAAGAAGTTCAGGAAGACAGTATTTGAGATTTATATTGTAATTATTTCCTTTTAATATTATTAGATGAAAATAGAAATGTTTTCAGAATGAGGGGGTCTCTTTCTGGTATTCTTAAGGGAAAAATTTATGGAATTCAAGATATTGAGCATGTTTCTCGAACATCCCGAACTCCTGAAACCTATGTAGTAATTAAAGTTGATAAAACAGAGTTTTCAACACGAGCATTCAAAGCGGATCGTTGGCTACAGGAATCTTTTGAAATTGAAGCTAATAAAGCGAATGAAATTGAATTTACTGTTTATGATAAATATGGGAATTCATCTATTCCTGTTGCTGTTCTTTATATACAAATATCGGATATTAATGAGGAATTGCGTCAGAATCGCCTTAAAGAGGCATCGGGGCCTGACTGGGTTAGTGCTGAAAAAATGCAAAATGATTTTGGTCAAATTACATCTAAAGATGTATTTGATATAACAAATTCTGATTCCTTACCAACGTCTAAAAAACAATCCTATACTATGAAAAAAGATCGAACAGAAAATAAAAGTATTGACGCATGGTTTGCACTTGAACCTGCAGGAAAAATACATTTAAGTCTTGATTTTGGTATGTTTATTTCATTTATTAGTTTCATCTTAATTATTTCAGTAAAGAATCTTAAAAACTCACGCTCTATTGATAGAATAGGTCTTGGTAGACAAGGTGCAATCCGTGAAAAAAAGAAAGAAATTTATCAAATGAATGGCCATAAGTTTTCTCAACATCAATTTTATCGGATTATAAAATGTGCGCTTTGTAGTGAATTTTTGAAAGATGCTGCAGGATTTCGATGTATAGAGTGCAGATATACTTGCCATAAGAAATGTTATCTTAAAGTTGTTTCAAAATGTATTTCAAAACCTAGTTTTGCTGAGGTAATTCTAATTATGGCATTTTCTTAAATTAAAAAATCCTAGGACTCTGATGAAGAAAAACTTAATCACCATATTCCTCATAGGTTCGAATCATTTGTAAATATAGGTGCAAACTGGTGTTGCCATTGTGGTTATATTCTTCCTCTTGGAAAAAGAAACGTACAGAAATGTTCAGAATGTAACATATTATGTCATTTTCAATGCCGACATCTTATTCCTAACTTATGTGGCATGTCAATGGAAGTAGCTAATCAAATTTTGAATGAAATTAGAATTTCAAAAATGAAGCAGGCGAATGCTCTTGCTGCTAATAAGAATGATAATTTTCGTAAAATTCACTCAGAAACTACTCATTTATTATCCATAAATGAATCTTATCTTAATGATAATCAATCTAAAGTTCAATTATCGTCGCAAAATCTATCTCAATTCTTATTTAAGTCTTCCAAAAATGATGAAGAATCTAAATTTAAAGACAAACGAGCTTCTCTTGATAAAATATCTTCACAGAAGAATCTTTTCGATATAGCTGATACTCGTCAAACACATAAGCCTCAACTATCCCTTTCGTCTACAGATTTTGAAAAGGGTATGCTTGGAAATCATTTCTTAAATGTTGAATTTATTTATGGTATTAGGGGTTCTATTATCCGATTTAGATTTAAGTTATGACTCTCTGCATCTAAAGAATTATCAACATGAGGATCAAATATATAAACAAGAGGTTCAGGAAGATTTATTTTTATTTTTTATTTTTTTATATTAATTTTCTTTTAGGATTTTGGAAAGTTGGACAAATCTACTACACCTGAGCATAAGAAATATACGGATATAATACGTAAGACTAGTGATAAATATTCAAGCGATTATGATAGATATTTGAATGATTATGATCAATATTCTGAAGGTATTTATGGAAAATCAAATAAATATAATTACTCACCGGATTCATCTATTAAAAATTATCAATTTTTTAATGATACTTATATTGATAAACCAACTTCTTATCAATCATCTGGAACAAGAGTTTCTTCATCGAGTAAGAAAAAGGTTGGATTGGATGATTTCAATTTTTTGTCAGTTCTAGGTAAAGGGAATTTTGGTAAGGTTATGCTTGCAGAAGCTAAATCTACAAAACAGTTGTATGCAATTAAAGTTTTAAAAAAAGAATCTATTATAGAAAATGAAGAAATAGGAAGTACGATATCAGAAAAAAGGATTTTCCTTACTGCCAATAAAGGAAGACATCCTTTCCTTATTAATTTACATTCATGTTTCCAAACAGAAACAAGGATTTATTTTGTAATGGAATATGTGAGCGGTGGAGATTTGTTGTTGCATATTCAACGAGAACAATTTGGTCAGACTAGGGCATTGTAAGCTTTTTTTAAAAGGTTTTATGTGTGATTTATTTGGCTAGGTTTTATGCAGCTGAAGTTTTATTGGTTTTAAAGCATCTTCATGAAAATGGCATTATTTATCGGGATTTAAAGTTAGATAATATTTTATTATGTCTTGATGGACATATTAAAGTAACGGATTATGGTCTTTGTAAAGAAGATATGTGGTATGGCTCTACTACAACTACTTTTTGCGGTACACCTGAGTTTATGGCTCCTGAAGTAATATTATATATTTTTTTTTTTTTACTTATATAAGATTTTGTTTGAGCAACACTATGGACGTGCTGTTGATTGGTGGGCATTTGGCGTCTTGATTTATCAAATGCTTTTAGGACAATCTCCTTTTCGCGGCGAAGATGAGGATGAAATCTTTGATGCAATTCAATCCGACGAACCTCTTTATCCTATTCATATGCCTCGAGATTCCGTTTCTATATTACAAAGGGTTTTTTTTTCATCCTTTTTCTTAATTAATTAATTCATTTCTCTTAGCTTCTTATTAAAGAACCTGAACAACGTCTTGGATCAGGTCCCAGCGATGCTTTAGAAGTTATGGCCCATCCTTTTTTCCGAAATATTAATTGGGACGATATTTATCATAAACGAGTTCATCCACCTTATTTTCCAAAAATTGTATGTTTTATTTTCTTATATTATTTTTCTTTAATTCTTCTTTTAGACAAACCCAATGGATACAAGCAATTTTGATACCGAATTTACACGTAAAAAAATTTTGATCTTTTTTTAACCTTAATCCTCACTCTTTCCTAGATGAACCACCTGTATTAACTCCAACTCAATCTAAATTAACTCAAGCTATGCAAGAACAGTTTCGAGGTTTTTCTATTTATTGTGGTGATCCATAATTTATCATTCCCTATTTATAAATTTCATTGCAATTACTTTATACACTTGTAAAAATCCCTTTTCTTGTACTTTTATTGTATTCTTTTCAATTTATTTTACTTCATATTTTTTACTTAGCAAAATCTCCGGTTTCTTGACCGCCTATCTTTTACTTTTATTTAGTTATCTCTAAAACTATGGATAAAATGTGAATAAAAGCCTAGTTTTTGAGAGAAATGTATCTCTCAAAGGTATCAGGATTAAATACAGTAAGAATCTCCCTTTTTTCCGCTTTTTTTTCTGATAATTTTGAAGATTTCTGAGGAAGTTATGACATGGAGTATTCAACCGGGTCAAGAATTTAGATTTGAAGTAGAATTTGACTCTAGAATAGAGATAGAGGTTCTTTTATATGTTTTTATTGCGATAGAAGGTTTTTAAATGGTATTTTTTAGATAAAATCAGGCACAGCAGAAATTTTTGGGACAGAATTGACAATTGGGCCTGTATATAGCTTTAGTGGAGTTAAATTAGCATTATTTACATGGAGAGGATGTGTTATTGATGTAAAGGGTACGCCGTCGGTTCATTATATTGCAGATGAAACGCCTATGTTGGCATATATGAATTTACATTTTGCTATTGAAAATTTAAGAAAAGAAGCAATGAAAAAGGATGAGGATGGACCACGGGTATTGCTTGTTGGGCCGGAAGATTCAGGGAAAACAAGCCTTGTACGAATTCTTTCAGGTTATGCATTAAAGCAGAAAAGAAGTCCAGTTCTTGTGAATTTGGATACACAAGAAGTGCGAGGCTTAAAATGCTTTAAAATAGAAGATCTTATACTTTCTAGGATATTGGAAGTATTCCTGGTTCAGTTTCAGTAACGTTAATTTCTGGAATATTGGATATTGAAAATACTTTTGGATCTAGTTCAACAACGGGTCCATCTCAATATCCGTCATTGGTGACATTGTCTTATTATTATGGTTATGATTTTCCTACGCATAATCTTAAGTTTTATAAGTCTTTAATTTCTCGCTTGGGAATTGTTTGTGCGTCAAAAATGAGTGAAATAAAAGATGGTAATATTGGTTATTTTGATTTTTTTTATAAATTAAAAAATGCAGTAAAATATTCTGGATGCATTATAGATACATCTGGAATTATTGATCAATCTAAAGGTTATGATATAATACATAATATAATTTCTGATTTTTCTGTTAATGTGTTAATTGTTTTGGGATCTGAACGTTTATATAGTGATATGGTGCGGAAATATGATAATAAAAAAGGAATGCATGTTGTAAAACTCCCAAAGTCTGGAGGCTGTGTAAATAGGGAAAAGTCATTTATACAAAAAGCTCAGTATTCTGCAATAAGGAAGTATTTTTACGGCGATTTTAGGACTATACTGAGCCCATATTCTATTATATATGATTTTGATAGTTTAATTGTCTATAGAGTAGAAGAAGGTCTGAAAATTATTTATATATCTGTTTGAATAATTTTGTTTAGAAACATTTACACATTCATCTGCATTGCCAATAGGTCATGATATTTCATCACAAAAACTGCAAATGATAAAAATAAATGTATTTTCGATATTACAGAATTCTGTTTTGGCTGTTTCTCATGCCAATATAAACGATTCCATTGATATTATTTTAGAATCTCCTGTGGCTGGATATATATATGTGTAAAGTATTCGCTTAAAATATATTTTGATTAATAATATATTATAGCTCCGATGTAGATGATAATAAGAAAAAACTTACAATATTATCGCCTCTTCCTGGAAGGCTTCCTAGTCCTGTATTGATTATGGGATCATTTAAGTGGCAAGATCTTTAGAAATATATTTAAAATTATTAAGTATGCAATAATAATTTATAAAATTTAAATATGCCAATGCGAAATGATAAAATTGAATGTTATATGTTATGCAGATTCTAATTATAGGAAATATTCAGCAGATAACTTTTATACTGTTAATATTTGGGAAATAATTCGATTATTTACCTTGGTTTGATTATTTTGAGTAGATGGATTATCATGTTCATTTTCTGGTGCTGCATCGAAAATATTAAATTTTTTTTGGCCATTATCATATATTTCTAATATGGATGCAAGGTTTGCACAACGGTAGCAATAGTTTGGTGCAGACCATACTGTAGATAATTTCCCGTCATATAAAACCTATAATTATTCATTTTAATTTATTACTGTTAAAGCTTTATACTTGATATCCTTCATGACATAATTGATGTGCACGTAAAATATGTTCTATATTATTAATTTCAAGAAACTTTTGTACAATATCAATGCCAAATGTATAACCTGCTCCTCTAAAGAAATATGTTAGAAACTTTTATTTTATTTCAAATACCTTGGTGAAATAGAAAAATCATTCTTGTCTTGATCCGGATCTGACCATACTAAATCCGCCATAGGTCCTTCATGTGGTATTTCTATCAAAAAATTATAAATTTAACATAATATTCTTATTATACCCTGGAAACGATCAATAATCTTTATTTGATCAATAGAATGAATAGATGGTGATAATCCTAAAATATTATCTTTTCATTAACATTATCAATATAATATACCCCCATGAACACAAAATATTTTATTATCAATAATAACAGATAACGTTAAAAAATCAAACATATCCGTAAAATAATGCCATACATTTGCATTCCCATATTTACGAATACATTCTGTATAAAATCCATATGTTTGTGTCACACTTCGTGACTCATGATTTCCACGTATAAGATGAACTCTGTCTGGATATCTTAATTTTAAACATACAAGTAATGATATAGTTTCCACACTAAAAAGCCCTCTATCAACATAATCTCCTAAAAACATTCTTATCTTCTTTAATTAATATATATATATATAATATACCTAAAAAAAGATAATTAGTATCTGGACAAAATCCCCCAATCTTAAAAATCTCAATTAAATCATAAAATTGTCTATTTCTCTTAAAAAAAACTCTCTTATATATATTTATTTATTTATATATATACCCATGAATATCTCCAACTACTGTAACCGGTGAACATATATGAACAACATTACTCTCTTTTATAAGAAGCATCTTTACACTCTCACAAATCCCTTCAATAATCGCTTCACTAAGAAGTTCCTTTTTATATAATTTTTCAATATACATATCTATATTCATCTTGAATTCTTTATATTTTTTATTAAATTATTATCAATTTATTAACAATTTATTAACAATTCTTCCTATTTCTTATTAAAATATTTAAATTTCTTAACAAAAATACCTTCATTTCTTAACAATTCTTAACAATTCTTAACAATTTTTTAATATTTCTTAATATTTTTTTTAATATTTCTTAATATCTTTAAAAAGAGGTTAACGACCGTTAAAAAAATTTTAAGTATAAATAAGGTATAAAATAAATAATATTAAAGAGATTAGATCTTAACATTCTTATAGGTGTTTCTTATTTTATTTAGTTTATTTTAATATATTTTTAATAGTTTTTCTTTTAAAAACAGTAAGAAATTAAGGTTTTTAATATCTATTGATAAGATAGATTTTTTGTATTTTTTTGAGTTTATTAAGGGAAAATTGAGTATTTATGGCTTCTACAACGTCAGAAACTAGGCGTACAGTGCCTAATAATAATCAGAATTTACCAGGAGTCGTTTCAAGACCGCTTACAGAGGATGGACGTCCGTTAAAATGTTATATTGGAAATCTAAGTAATCAGTGCCGTATGTATCATCTCCGTGAGAAGTTTTCACCTTTTGGAACGATTATTAATGTCGAATTAAAGCCTAATATTGGATGTGGTTTTGTGGTAATGAATATGGAGATATATAAATTTTTTTGAATACTGAGGGAATATTCAGGAATTTGTAGATCCAGAGTCATGTATTAAGGCGTGTGATATGCTTGATGGAACGGAGTTTTTTGGACAAACATTACGAGTAGAAACTCAAAAACAAGTATATGGAATAAGAAAGATAGTTACGGAGAAACTTGAAGGATGTTTTAATTGTGGAGCGAAGAATCATTGGGCTAAGCATTGTCCTAGGATGCCACCGCCTGGGTATGGTAATTTTTTTAAAATAAATATCTTAGAATTTTAGAACGCCACAAAATGTATCACCACCAAGATCGTCTATGTTATATTCAGAAAATTATGGATATTTAAAGCCTTATGGTATTTTTTTAAATTTTTTTGTTATTTAATTTCTTGTTTTTAGGCCATAATGTTGATAATTATGATTATCCGCGATATTATTGTGAAAATATGTCTCACTGCCGGCAACCATGTTTAAATGGGTATAGAGATCCTTATTATTATACGCCAAGGGATTCAGTATATCGAGACCGAGATGGTCGAGATTTAAGGAATTATCAGAAATATAGGAATCGGTGTCAATGGAATCCACCATCTTCCGAGAAGATTCCTGAAAATGCACCTGTTGGTCATAAAAGATATGCTAACAGCGAGCCTTGGCCTAATGAGCCACATCAACAGACGACTCTTCCTAGAACATCTCAAATGCATGATTCGAAATTTAAAACAGAAAAATCGTTAGATGAAGATAAAGATATGAAGACTCAGTTAAAGAATTCTACTCAGTCAGAAACAGCATCGAAAACACCCAAAAAAGATTTTGCATCTGAAAAAAAAGTATCTAATGATCAAAATGCAACATCTTGCGATTCTCCGACTGTAGCTAAAGAAGCGCAAATTAACGAGTCTTCAGAAAATAAGAAGGCAGTACCTTATCGCATGGAAAGAAAAGAACGTGTATCATCTTCATACTCCGAATCTCGATATAATGATTGCTATAATTATCAAGATTATATTCATTCTGAATCTTATGATCGACCATATTTATCATCTAAATATTCAAATAATGTTCCTCATTATGATCATCATATAAATCATACTAGTCGTCATGCGCCTTTTCGTATGAGATCCAAATATCCTGATGGTTATAGGTATAATGAGTAAAAATATTCTTTCGTTGATCAATATTTTTAGATATTGTCCATATTCAGAACCTTATATGCCTTATGCGCCTTATGATTCTAGTTATAGAAGCCGTAAATCTTTACAACATCCAGATTATTCTTCAAACTCAAGAGTAGATTGTGCTCCGCTTAATTATTCTCAAGGCTATATGCGTAGATGTTCACCCTTACCAAATTTGTATTCGCCAAATGTATATTCACCAACTTATAATTATGGTTATTCTGAATATCGTTGAAATATATCATAATTTATTTAGTTAATGAAGGATAAAAATAATTCTTATTTATATTTTCAGTCTACTATTTATTTCTAGCTTTTCATCTTTAATTTTAGATTATAATATCTTGATTATTTTTTATATCTAATACTTATATTTTAAGTATAGTTTTTATTGAGAACTTATACATATTTTTGGTTAATATTTTATTTTTTTTTAATTATTAGATATTTTTTGTAATAATTTTTGACATTAATTCTTAGAACTTATTTTATTATTTCTAATTGTGTTAAATCTGTGTGATAAAAGTATAGAAAATTAAAATATATATCAAAAAAACTTGATTTAACATATTGATTATAAATCTATAATTCATGCTTTTCTGAAAAATCCTTTAATAAATATTTTTGTATAACAAAAAATTATAAATATATTTATTTTAAATATTTTAATTTCTTATAATAACACTATATATATAAATATATATATTAAATTATTGAATAATATAAGATAGTAGTATATATGTAATTCGTAATTTTCAGAATTCATAAAAGTGGTATAATTTGTTCATTATCTGTCTCTTCATTTTCAAAACTTGTTTCTTTTTTGATAGATTCGCTATCTGTATTTTCTTCATAATTAAAATTAAATTCGGATTCTATTTCTGTTTCTGAATCTTCATCTTCAGTATTAGTATTTGATCTATAAAAATCATCTAAATCCTGTATTCCTACTGAGTTTATATTTAATAAAATTGAATTATCTTTATCCTTTTTTAATGAAGAAGCTTTCAAAAAGTTATCGTTCGTGTCTTTAAAAATGTCATGTTTTTCTTCTCTTAAACTTGGATGTGGTAATTGAGTAATATCATTTGGCCAATTAGGTAGATTTTCATATCCTTTTACTTGTTTAAAAAGTGTAAGAGATGAAGTTCCTAATGTAAACGTTTCTCGACCTATAGAATCGGTTGTCATTTCTATGTTTGGACTGAATGAAAAAACGACTTTCTGTGTAAATAAACTAGTAGAATTAAGTGCCAAAAATTTATATAAACGTGCCCTGTCACGAAGATCATACGAAAGATCATATCGAGCTAATAACATAATATAATCATAAAGCTTTGTAACAATTAGCTTGTTTGAAGGGTTATTATATATATCTTCATTTCCTGATAATATTTTATTTTTCTCTAATAAACTTGATGAAATATTGTTTTCGTCTGAAATATTTGATATTTTTGAATTCTTTAAAAAAACATCTAGAGGGGAATCTTCTGATTTCTCTTCAAAACAATTAGAACTATATATGATATATAACTTTACTGCGAAAATAAGAATTTGATTTTTTACAATTTCTTCCTGTTATATATAAGAAATCTTAAATAGAAATAAATTATACCTGTTGTGAAAATGATTTCGCAAGAATCCTTAACATATCTAATGATAATTTTGGAAGATTAAAAATATTTTTTGACATGAGGTAGATTATAGAAGCTTTGGCTGATGCTATTGTAATGGAATCATAATATAATACAAGTTGTTCTAGATAATGCAGGTTATCTTTTGGATTAAGTTGTATTAAATGAGATATTATAAATATTGATTCTGCTACTAAAGTGTCTAGAGAATGATAAATATCATAATATCAATTGAATTGATAAATACCATTTGTACTATTGATATTTCTTATTAGACTTTGAAGACATAACTCCGAAATATAAGAATGATTAATTGCACAATATCCGATAGATTTTATTGCTTTAAATACTATATTTGGATCTGAACTTTTTGTATGCCACTAAAAAAGTAAGCTTATTGAAAAAAAAACGTTTAAATAAATACTTTAAGTTCTTCTAAAATATCTTTGATATTTTCTTCTCTTGCAATTAAAGCAAGAATTTCAAATTTTAGTTCCCAAATACTCTGGGAATCAGATGGATAAATAAAAAAATGTTTATAAAATGGTGAAAAAAAAGCCTAAAATATTAGCCTAAATATATAGCTTCTTAAAATATTACAGGATATTTAATAGCTATTGCTATAATATTGGTTAATACAATATATTGAATATCCGGACTTTCTTTTAATAGATAAATTAATGCTTTTACAAGTTCGCTTTTTTTTGTTAAAGGTCCAATATGATATAGTATTTTACAAGCTGCCATTATGACCTATGCATAATAAATAATCAAAATAAAAAATATATTATAATATATTACCGAGCTATTTCTGCTCCTAAGTAATGGAATAATAGACGTTAAAAGCATATTAAGATCTTTATTCAAAATATTAACTACCGACTCCTCTGCTTTTTCATTAGAATTATCATCAGAATATAACTCTTTTCCATTTAAATCTTCAGAATTATAACACGTCTTATCATCTGGTTTTAAAAAGCATTTTCTAGCATATACTAAAAGAATATTTAATGCTGTTACTTGATCCCATTCACTTAATTTATGAAGATCCCTGCAAATTTTACGGTAGTATGGATGAATTAAATCTAATTTTTCTGGACATAATTCTTGAAAAGCAAAAAGTGCTGATCCAAATACTATATGAGATTGATCATTCAAAAGAATTAGAAGATATTCTATTAGTATAGGAAGAGATGATGGATCAAGTCTATCCAATTGATGACAAAATTTAAATATAAAACTTTGATTTACCTGTAACATTTTACCATAGAAATTGCTGCTGCTTTTCTTACATAAAATGACATATCCATAATACAACGCTTTATTTCAGATATAATTATTTTAGAAATAGAAGGAACACGAATTCCTGATAACATCCTTATTGCAGTTCCTCTAAAAATTTGGTTTTTATCATTTAATTTTCTTTGTATTGTATTAATAGAAAGAAGTGATAAATCAGGATCATATTCCGAATATCTTATAATATACATATAAACAAGCTTTTGTATATCAAGATTAGATGACGAGATATTCTTTACAACTGACATAAAATATTCTGACATATCTATTCCACTTGACATTGACTATTCTTTATATAAGAAAACCTTTCTTTTAAAAACAAAATAAAGATACATAAATAACTTTTTTTAGCCCATATAACCTATTCTTTTCTGATTCTGAGCTTAAAAGCCTGTTAATTTCATTGGATATTGATTGATCTTTATTTGAATATAAATATAGTGCTTTAAAAGATAAATCTTAAAAATTACCCGAAAGACTGATTTCTTGAGACATTATAAGATAATTAATAAGACTTAAACAATAATCTTATTAAATATTACTTTTGTTTTTATTTTTTAAAAAATGATACATTTTAGATGTTTTTAAACGAGATTGAACTCGATTAAAATTATAATTTTTATGTTATAGTTTAGTTTCTTAAGCCAAGTGTTAGTATTAATTCTAATGTAAAATATAAGATAACTAATAAATATTAATAAATTATGATATTATAATTTTTGATATTATAGATATATTAAAAATCGACAGGAACAGAGGTGTTGATAGTTTTTTCACCAGTATAAGATTCTTTTTCATTTGCAGGAGGTAATACCCATGGCTCAATTGAAAATTGTTTACGAGAAATTTTGAATGCCAAGTCATTATTATAATTAATTGAATTTTGTGAGAATGGAAGCTTGTGTACTTTCAAAAGACCTTGAAATCCATTTATAGAATCAGAATTTGGAAAAGGTATTAATTCAAAAACCCCGTCTGATAATAATTCCAAATAACGAACTATACCTGTTTCTCGAGAATACAATTGTGTTGGTATACTTATCATGGCTACAAGACGATTAGAATATATTCGTAGAAGAGCTCTTAATGTATGAAAAAACTCCAGTATATTTTTATGTTTTAGTGCTTCAGAAGGATAAAATGCAGGTGAAAGGATGTTAGGGATTATTAGTCGTATTATCTTTGGACATTTCGAGGATAAAAGTTTAAGAATATCTGAGATAAATTCACTATAAGGCTTAGACGATGTAACGATACATTTTGAACATATAATTGTAGTGTTTTCTGGTATCTTCAGTTGTTTTGTAAGATCAAATGTATGACAGTAGGGAACATTTTCAGATTTGTGGATACCAGGTCCTAGTTTATTTATATCAATGAATTTTCTTAAAAAAAAAAAAAAACCTCTACTAAGACCAATATTTCCCTCAAATTCTCCTAGATGATAATATCTCCATGCTATTTTCATAGTATCATTAGATTGTCTACTTTTTTCATGATGAATTGTTGATTCTCCGGGTAAATTCTGAAGCCATGTTCTTGGAACACCTCCAACCCAGATTCCATGTCCATGAAGGATACCTTCTGCTATAAAGTAGCGTAATAGAAAGCTAGAAAAATCTGCTACTCCTGTTTCTTCAATCAGAAAACCTGTTCCTAATGGAAGACCGCCAAGGCCTGTAATTGAATCAAAAGATGAACAACCCGAACTCGTAATATGAATCCCATTAAGCGGTGATGGACAAACTCCATTTTCAAGTGTTTTTTCTGTATATAAAAAAGAGGTTTTACATGTTTCTTCAGTATTTTGTGATTTTGATGTAACTCTTTTTTTAAATGACATTTTCCAAAAATAAAATTATTCAAATAATGATGCAAATAGTATTTATTATCTTAAGAACTTTATTTTTCAAATACTTGTAAAATCATCATTTAAAAATGTTTAATATATATTATTTTTAAATGATTAGTTATTAATATATTAAATTTATTTCCAAGATTTATATTTTAAAATATAGAAATTGTTAAGATTTAATATTCCTTAAAAAAATTATAGTATTAAGAACTGCATGCTAATACGATTGTTTTTTTAGATTAACTTTATGTTTTGATTCTAAAGTTTATTGAAATTTTTATAATTCTTAAATATTGAAAATTGGACTTTAGATGTTTTAATAGAAAAGTATTTTTATATTTTATTTAGATTATTAAAGATAATGTTTAAATTTTTACTTAAATGTTTTTTATATTTAAGTTTTTAAAAGTATACGTAATATTAAGTATTTATTTGTTTTATTATTTGATAAATTGATTATTTCTTTATAAAAAGATTTAATACATATAAAGATGTTTTATTTACTATAAAAATATTTACAATTTTTCTTTTATTTACAGGAAAATCTTAAGATTATTTGAAATAATTTTAAAACATAATTTATTAAACTGTTTATCTTTTTATTGTTTTTAATAAAAATATAGAAAAATTGACATTTATTTTGAATTTATATTAATTAAAAGTTAGAACTTTGTTATATTTTTATCGCAGATTTGTTATTATAAAACTTAACTATTAAAAAGTATGAAATATAAGAAAATAATATTATAAAATATATAAAGTTTAATTTTATTTCAATTGAATTATTTTATTTAAATATCAACAGAAAATTGGTTATATAATAAGATATATATTTCAGACAATGTTAAATAAGTCAGCGTTTATTGATTCTTCTATTAAATATGATAAAAATATGAAGAAAGGGTTTGAATTTTCAAATAATGTTAATTGTGAATTACCTGAATGTTATAATAATGATGAATTGTTGTCGGATTATATTTCTTTACGACGTACATCATCATGTCAAGCGTTACCTTCGTCACCTTCATGTGATATAAAAATTCGTTTGGCTGAGCTAACAACATATATACCATCAAGAAAATATAAACTTTTTCGAAAAATTATTAGATTAATAAGGCAAAAGAACATTATTTCTACATGCAAGAATTATATTTCTCATTTTTATTTTTATATATTAGAGTTTATTCAACAAACATTGAGTTTTTGTTTTGTTTTTAAGAAAAATCAAGGTTTAGAAGAGTCTGAAAATTATAAAAGATTTAAAGAAGAGGAATGCTATCGCAGAGCTTTCTTGCAAGAAATTTTAATTTTAACATTCTTTAAGCAATTTAGTGTAAAACAAGAGCAAATAAAAGACGATGAATCTAATCCTTCTAATATTATTAAAAATGGAGATAGATTTGTTATTAAACCGAGTACATCAACATGTCCTATAACGCCACAATTGCAGTCATCATCTTCAACTATAGCTTCTGTTTCTCAAACATCTACAGATTATGCGTTGCATGCTTTTGAATTATCTCCTCCATTTTATAATATTAATCAATTGTCACCAGGTGATTTTCAATCTAGTCCTGATAAAAGTTCAATTGTGTATACTGGTGATGAAAAATTAAGTCCTAATATTTCATTATCTCCAGGTAATTGTAAATTACATCTCCATGATACTTATGTAGGTAATAGCTTTTTATCAAAGAGAACAAAGAATGGAAATTGGAATATTATGATATTATAGATTCTATTATAACTTATACATACAGGATTTGCTTAATTTTTGTTTTGTTTTGATATTTTATAGCATTTTTATTAAAATTAGGGATATTATAAAGATAGAAAATAAGTCAAGTTTTTTGGTTTTTTTGGAATTTTTATTTAATTACTTTTTCTATTTTAACAATAAATTATTATATAGTTAGATTTTGAAACTCAATTTTATTAGAATAAAATATTTAAGTATTTAACTTTTATATATGAATCATGAAATAAAAAAAAAACCAAACGTATTCTGGTATATACATATAAATCGTCCAAATCTAATAACTATTCTTTTACATCATATGATATCTTCTAAAATTTAATAATTCCCAGTAAATTCAACATATATTAAGCATTATGATTATCCTATAATTATTATTAAAAACATAAGCACTATAAAAATTATAATAATCCAAAAAATTCCACCTGTTATAATTAAATTTTAATTATGTAATTTAATTAATACTCACTATTATTCTTGACTATCTTTGTAAATCCCTCAAGTCTTTTCTCTGACTTGTCAAGTTTTATTTGCGATTTATCTACAAGCACTTGCATTTCTCCAAGTAAATCATCCTGTAATTCTAACTCCGATTCCATTTGAATTGTAAGTTCTTTTTGTAATGATATAGAATTATACAAATCATTTAATGATGCATCTTGCTCTATTTATATATAATTATAAATATATTATTTTTTCATTCAAAAAATACCCTTTATAATTTGTTGTTGTGTTTTCAATATTTCTGTATTTTGTATTTTAGGATTTTTAAAAAATTTTTCATGTTCTAAAGAATTGAGGGATGATGTTTCAGCTAACTTATTCTTTCTATTTTTTTTATAAAGCTAATTTTATTCATTTATTTTTCTTACTCCTTATATTCCCTCTGCTCTTTCATTAATTCCATAATAAGATCATATCCATTTAAATCTCCTGATTCTAATAACTCTTCTAACTTCTTATAATAATCTTGCAATTTAATTAAAAAGTTTTCTTTATATTTTAATATCTCTGTAGACCTGAACTTTTTAAAAACTTGCTTTTTTAAATATTTTTTAAAACAAACATATTCCCTTTTTCCTCCAAATCCTTCTGCCTCATTTCTATCCCATAAATTTCTTCTTTAATTAACTTCATTGTTTCATAAATTATCTTATCATCTTCAAATGATGTCTCAAGATTTAATGACTTAAGCTTATTTTTTTCTTAACAAACTTTTAACTTACATATTAAAACAAAAACAAATTATGCACACCTAAGATAGAATAAAGACATGATTCTATTAAAAAAATTAACTTAGAATCTGATAAAGAGGCCATTTTTTATTTTTTTGACTTATTCCGAACGTTTTTAGAGCTTAAAATTTAGAAAATAAGTGTTTTAAAGTTTTAAATACTTATAAAGTGGTTAAAATACTCAATAATAAAGAGTTCTTCTTTATAATAATATATTTAATAAGTTAGATGAATAAGAATTGATAATGGAGCAAAAGATTGGAGAGTTAATTTCATTTTGTCAATCAGTAGATAGATTTGTTAGAAAACAAGCAGAAGATGAATTGAAAATAATAGAAAATTCAGAAGGTAATTATTATTAAAATATAATTAAGGAAGTTTAATAGAAATTGATAGAATATCCAATTTGTTTAATTAATATTTCAGCTTCGAGTGGAGAAGCATATTTACGACAGGTGATTATTATTAAGAAAATGAGGATAAGATATAACAAATTATTTGAAGATGTCGTTATTAATACTGAAGAAATATGTATTGAATCATTGGTCTCCAGTTTTTCAAGAATTTTATGGTTTCGTTGTAAATCAAGATGTAAAGAATAAAATTAGAAATTTATTATTGGAATTGCTTTCATCAGAATTGAAAGTGGTTAGAAATACAGCTGTTTAAATCATTGTTTATTATTGTATAAATTTTAAATATAAATAGGCGCATGTTATTTCAAAAATAGCTATCGTTGATTGGCCAGATGAATGGCCAGATTTACTTGATAGTATTCTCATTAAGCTTTCGAAAGACCCACGAGTTGAAACATATAGTGGATTGAAAGTTTTGAAAGGTTTTTTAATTTATATTATAGAGATTAAATTTATATGATTAGAATTAATTGATAATGCTCTTACAAGTGAGCATTTTTTTTCTATTTCTCTTCATTTGACAAAATTTTTATATGGAATTTGTATAAATGAATCGGTATTATTGATATTAATTTTTTGTTTTTTATTAAAATTCATTAGTATTCATTTAGGACTAGAGCCCAGTCTTTGTCTGTCTTTAAATCATGTCTAGATTCACTAGAAATGATAAAAGATATACATTTGGATATTATTAATTCATTTGCTATTGAGACTTTGGATTCATGGATGAATTTATTTATTACAATTATTTCTAAAAATATTATGAAAACTTTAAATTATGATTTTATACTTTTTAAATTGAATGTTATAAAGGTTATTTAAGGATAATATTTTATAAAATTCTAATTGTATTTAAGGTTCTATATAAACTGCATCAAACATTTCCATATCTACTAACAAAATATTTACCGAGCATTTTTGAGGCTTTATGGATAGAAATTGAACAAGTGAAGGAAATATATTCTGAACATTATATTCTAAATCTATATGAATCTAATGAAGAAAATGACTCTGATGGTGAATTGATAAGTTTGTCTACATTATTAACAGAAGAATTTTCATTTATTCAAATTTCATTAAAAGATAAAACAGTACAAAAGAAAATGAATTTAGAAGACTATTCAAATGATTCTATTTTAAATAAGATCATTAACATTTCAATCTTTTATTCGCAATTGTCATTATCACAGGTTATATTTTAACAAAAAAAATGATTTATTTTAATTATTTTTAGGAAAAAGAATTTATAGACAATTCTAATAGTTTTATTGAGGATGAACTGAATGAAAACGTAAGGTATACTCTTCGTCAGATTTCTGCAGATCTTGTTGAGGTTTTATAAATTTTGATTTAAATTTATTTAAAAATTAATTATAGGAACTTGGGAATTGCAATTTAATTTCAACTAGTAGAATATTAATAGAAAAATTAGAATCAATGATATCTGGCTTAGATCTAGGGTAAATTGATATTTTAATTTTTTTTTTAAATTTAAATTCTTTTTAGATGGAGATATAATGAGGCCATATTGTTTCTAGTTAGTAGAATAGTAGAAGAATTTGATATTTCTATAAAACGTAATATCGCTATTTTTTCTTTATCTTTCTATAATATAGAAAAGCCTCCAGGTATTTTTTAGACATATAACTATAATTCTAATTGGAGAAGAACTTTTAAGAGCTCGTGCTATTCTTATACTTGGACAATTGAGTACTGCCTTGAATAATGATGAGTTATCAAGTCTATTTTCGAATTGCATTTCTATGATATTTTCTGAATCTATTGGAGTGATTAAGCTTTCTGCATTTAAAACAATACAAAGGTAAATTGATTGCGTTAAAGTTATATATTAATTATTTTAAGATTATGTGTTTCTCTTCCTTTAGAATATTTAGGGCCTTTTCAACTTCAAATAATAAATGCTATAGAATTTTATATTTTTCAGGTTCATGACGAATCTTTAATATTGTTATTGGAAGTTTTACTTTTGTCTGTTAAAATTGATCGTGATGTTATATTACACTCAAAATCTGCAATAATTTCTATCCTGTTCAAGATTATTGTGCACAATTTGGGGGACCCATATCTAATTGGAATTATTCAAGATATATTCGAAGATTTTGCAAGAAATGTCTCTAATCTTTCAGCATTCTGTGATATTATCCTTCTACCATTAAAAGAGCTTTTATTTGCTAAAATATCAGATTCTTTGGAAACACAATTAATTGAGGCAATTATTCAAACATTTAAACATTGATATTTATATTATATATAGGTCGCTTTTGATTTATTATGCCCTGTAGTAAAAGGAGGATCATCTTTATCTATAGAATTTCTTCAAGAAATTATTCCTGGAGCTATATATATTATGAAAAATTGTGATAGTAATGAAGTTTTACAGGTTTGCATTTTTATTATTTTCCTTTTGAAAAAAGTTAATTTAAAAAGTCTGCTGAGGAAGTTTTAAGACAAGTTATTCTTAAAGATTATGATAAACTTATTAATTTGTTTGTTTTATTTTTATTGTTTTATTGTTTTATTTACAAAATATAGAAAAAGTGAAACAGGGATGTCTATTTTTGATGAAATAATGAATATTTTGAGGATTTTGTTGGAAAAATCTGTTTCAGAATCAGTAAACTTTTTTTTTGGGCCACTTGTAATAGCTATAATTTATAAGGTATGCTTTTATTAAATATAAGTTTTATTCATTCTTTAGGCAGGAGAAAAGTTTAGAGATTATTTGCCAAATTTTTTAGAAGCAATTGTTATTCGACTTACTTATCCTTCTTCACCTCGTTTTTGTCAGGTTTAAAATCAATATAAAATCTAATATAGCTTTGTTTTTAATATATTATTTAGGAATTGATATTAATATTTGCACATTTAATTATTAATCAAACAAAAGTTACCGTGGATTTTCTTTATAATATAAGAATAAATGGAGTTACAGGTTTAGAAATTCTATTAAAATCATGGTGTGAAAATATTGATATTATACATGGTTATAAGAATATTCGTACAAGGTGTTAACTTAATGATAAATGTTTTTATAATTAACCATCAATAGTTCTGTTGCATTAATAAATTTGTTCATGTTACAAGATCAACGTCTTTCAGATATCATTGTAAAAGGAGATTTGATTATTAATGAATCTAATGAAATAATAACTCGATCAAAAGCTAAACTAAGTATTTATTTTTTTTAGAAAAAAAAACCATTTAAACTTTTGTAGATTCTGAAAAATATCTTTATGTTTCTTTTCTAGTAAAAGTAATAAAAATATTATTAAAGGAACTGTCAAGTTTTATAGAAGTTGATGATAAAAGATCAATTGGAATTTCTAAAGCTAATTTATCTGATGATGATGAATGGGAAAATGATCTAGATTCTAATACCTATAATGCTGATGGTAAAAAAATATTTAATTTCTATATATTAAATTTTAATTTTTATATTAGAAACATATACTTTACTTAATAATGACGATTCTATAGAAGATCCTTTAAATGATTTGGATTTACAGGTTTTTATTTTAATTTTTATATCTTTTATTTTAATTTTCATTAAGAAATTTCTTGTTGATTTTTTCAAAAATATTCTATCTAATAATATCAATGATATTAAATCTATAGCATCTTATTTAACGCAAGAAGAATGCTCTATTTTAGCTTCTGTTACAATTTAATATATTATATATTTATATATTAAATGTTGCGATTGGACGTAGTATTAAATCAATGTTTTTATAAGTTTGGGTTTTTAAAAAATATATATATGAGACTAGAAATATAGGCATTTTCTCAATTAATAGGGGAGGCTTTGGGAATATATATATATAATGTTGCCATTGTTTTTTTTTTCACGTTTTTCTAAGAATTATAAACATTATAAGAAAAAACTATCACAAGATAAATATTCAGAGAATTCATCATCAAATTATAAAAAAAAGATACTTGATTCTGATCAATGGCTTAGATCTTTACGTTCTTTAAGTGTTTATAGTAAAAATTGGCGCTCAAGTATATTAAAATTTAAAAAGAGGTCATTTAGTTTTTCTTCAAGATCATATTTATATTCTCCCGAACTTTCAGCACAGAATAATAAAGAGTTTTTCGTAGACAATGTTTCTAGGACTAATACATCAACGTCTTTTATTTCAGGGTTATCTACAAATACATATTGTTCATCTCGTACATATATGATAGATGGGTTTAAAATATTTAAATCAAGGCCTTCTGTATATTTAAAGGGTAGTATTATCTCTAATGAAAGGCCTTTTCCAATTGATGTGGAAATGAGGCGAAATTCTCAGGATAGTTATATCTCTAGTTTAGCAGATGAAATGAATAGTACTGAAATTCGAATACTTCTTGAACGTGATCAAAGGCGAAGGAAAAGAAATAAAACTAGAAGAAAAAGCAGGTCAATGAGTTTTGTAAAGGACTATGATTTAACTATAAATACTTTGTTGAATAGAAAAATCTCTGATGATGTTATGTTGAATCAATTACCAATGGAGCACCAAGACTTTAATTTAATTTCTGAATCTCGGGGAAATCCTATTGAATTGCCGTCTAAAGTTAATAATAATACGCCTTCTGTGCGAAATTCTAATCATTCTCAAATTTATTATCATAAAAATATAAACCGCAATACATTTAATTTTATGCCTAACAATTATAACAATGAGCAAAAGAATAAGGAATCTGTTTTATTTTCTGGAAAAAACACTAGTTTGGAAACGATTAATGAATTGGATGAGCAAAAGGATCATTCTTTTGTTGTAAATCAAGATATGATAGTTTATTTGGATAATCGTAATAGTCAAGAGAGTCAATTGGATTCTAAGTGTCAGGATTCATCTTTATTTAATGATTCTATACAAAATGAAATTGAAAAGAGAAAAGATCATATGTTTAATTCTTTGCTTTCATCTCAATCATATGTATCTCATCAAACAGCACATCCTGTAGAATTGAATCGATATTCACAAATATTAGAAAGGAATTCTATGCGTGAAAGTCTTTCTCAAACAACTGGTATCAATTTAAAAGTAGATAATATGGAAAATTATAATCTTCCTACAGTTTTCGATTCTCCATTTACTACAATTTCTTCTCAAGAGTCTGATGAGTCTAGTCTGCAAACATTAATATCAAAAAATCTATCAAATGTTTCGAATAATTTTGAATCATCTAAAAATCTATATTCATATATTACCGATAACTTTTCAGAACTTTTTGCACTTTATAATGAAGTTGATTTTGCGTCTGCTAATACATCTTTAGATTAAAAAATTATGAATAGGTTATGTAAATTTTTGGATAAATAATTCATTGATAGAATTAAAAAGATTAAGGTCTTTGGTTATAATATGGTTTAATTGTTTTCTTAAGAATTAGTATTTTTAATTTTTTTCAAGGAAATAATATTAAACATTTGTATATTGCTAGTAATTATAGTAGTTTTAGAATTACGTTTTTAAAAAATAATTTTAATAGATTTTTTGCTTTAAATAATATTACTTATTACTTTTAGAAGTCTTTAATTTTTTATAAGCAATAAATTATATAAAATTCTTACACATAAAGATAAATTATTTTTTATATGGTTTTAATAAAAAAAATATCATTTATAGAAAAATTTGTTAATTAAAATTTTAGAGAATGAGGTGCATCCATATCTGTATAATTTAACTTTTATTGATTTATTTTTTTTTTTTGTAAAGTATTTAATATTATAGATATAAATTTTTTATAAGTTGTATCATCTATCTAATAAATCATTTGATATTAAACACGCTTAAAAATCATAAAGAAAAAATAATGCTTCTACTAAAATATTATTATGATGTTTTCTGGTTTAAAAGTTTGCCATAATTATGAAATCTATAATAACTTTTAATATTATGACATTATCTTCTTTCATCTAATTCATAAAACTTTTCCAAACTGAAATTATAAATACATGGCAATCCATATTGTTTTATTTTATATAATAAAAATATCTTTATTATATAATTTTACACATACAAAATCTAAAATAACTATTTAAAAAAATATATATAAAATATAGTCTAATCTTTTATAAAATAAAGACAATTAAAAAACTAAACGAATATTTCCTATATCATTCTATAATAAAATCAAAAAATAAGTTCTGGCCTTATTATAAAATATTGATATTTTCAATATTTTATAAATAAGCCTTAATAGTTTCTTCTACTTTGCTGGATGAAGCGCCTACAACTTCTGCAACTTTGGTTCCTGCTTTAAAAAAAATAAATGTAGGCATTGCTGTAATACCATATTCAGATGCAAGATCCTATATATATGAATTAATACAATAATAAATGTATCAAAACATATGTTAAATCATACATTATATTGATCCACATCTACTTTTAAAAAAGCACTACATAAAATTAGAAATTATTATTATTATATTAAAAGAATAGTACACATTACTATATTTCTCCGATAATTCATCAATTTTAGGAGCAATTGCTAAATATTATTTTAGTCAAAAGAACCTTATTTCTATAGATAAATGAACCTCTGCAAGGACCACTATATACTATCAAATAATGAAAAAAATAAATGTCATTTTTTACCACCAAGTTGCAAAAAAATCAACAACTGTTAATGAATTGACACTAATTTTCGTTTTAAATTCTGCACTAGATGAAATAGTATGAACCATTTTTATGTATTGACGAAGATTTGAATATAAGCTTGGTCTTTTTAAAATACTTATAGAATGTAAAATATTTGTAGAAAACAATCCCGCCAGTTTTATCGTGAAAAAAAAGCTAAAAATGTTTTTTTTATTTTAATATAAATAAAATATATCTAATATAATTGTATTTATATATAGTACAAAAATTTATCTAATAAAAAAGAATATGTTTGTTATATAGTGAAAAATAAGATAAAAAATTAAGGATTAGAATTTACTGTATTTTTTTTAAAATTATTTTCAAAATTTTGAAATAAAAAACTCATATCAATACCCAGGTCATTTAGTATTTTGCATTGTTCTTTAATTACCTTCATACTATTAGAATAAATATCAGAATCGAAACTAATAAAGCATATTTGTTTTGAAAAGAGTTCTAAAAAGTCTTGATAATTATTAGTTTTAAGTAAAAATAGAATAAATTCAATTACTTTCAATTTGAGATTTTATCCATGCTATAAGACCTAAAAATATTAGTTATAAAAAAAAAGTAGTGAATGATTTAACTAGATGTTAATGATGGTTTTTGAAAAGCGGATATATACATTTCTGCTGTATTGTGTATTAAAACAAAGTGAATTAGTGCTAAATCGGATATATATGAAACAATATTTTCTTTAAAATATAATTGCCTATTATTTTAATAAAATATCAGAATATTTATATCTTTACCTTGTTCTTCGTTTAATTAAATTTGATCTAGATGCTAAAAATGATTTTTTTGCACGATCTTCATATCCAAGTCTTAATAAATAATGTACATTTTTTTTTACAATATCTTTATATGATGACATTTTATCCAATTCATCGCATATTATATCTGCTAATTTTGAAGAACGATTTTCAAGTTTTGAAATAATCAATTCTGTTGCAATGGATTCTTTAAGGTTTTCGACAGTTATTTTGCTTAAAAATATGTCAATTTAGATATTTAAAAACATACTAAAAACATATCTTTTTCAATACTTTTTGTTGCATCTTCAAGTAATCTATGAGCAATCATTATATCTAATTCATCTATTTTGTCCTGAACCCATTGGAAATCTTTAATTTCGCCGTTGTTAAATGAAATGGCTTCTGAATTATTAAAATATAACCGATTAAGTAAAGTTTGAGCCGTTATAGATGAATCTTTAGTGTTTAAAAAATATATAGACTCTACATATATTTAACATTAATTTAATTATTAAGGATTTAACCTCTAGCTTTTCTTATAGCCTCTATATCTCCCCTCTGTATTTTCGTTAATGTATAATACTCTTTTCCAAATTCCTGAAGAAGTTTATTTTTTTCTTCAATTTTATCAGTTTTGAAAATAAAATTTTGTTTTTCCTTCTGAATAATTATAGTTCCAGCGATATTACGTTCCTTGAAATATGATTCATTAGGTTCTAGGTCAATTATTTCAATTTCAGTTAAAGGAAAACAATTTTCTGCAATATATTTTACTTTTCCAATTTTTTGAGTAGAGTTTTGAGAGATTCGATATTTAGATGAAATTCTAGCAATTAACAAATTATCGTTAAGTAAAATTAAGCGAATATTAGATTTAGGTTTCCATGACGTATAATTTAACTCCTTCCAATCACTACTTTCATAAACGATATGTCTTCCATAAACCGTAGGTAGAAATTTTTGTGCTCCTTCCACATTTTCAAGAAGATCTTTGATTTGATCTTCCCATATACTTTTTAAATCTGAAATTGAATTTTTATACCCCTTCCATTTACTTTTTTCTAATGATAATGAACTTTGAGATAATGAATTTACGTCATCTTTTAAAAATTCAATAGTATCACATAAAGTGTTAAGATATTCTCTAATTGTAGACATATCATTGCTCATGTTTGATATTTCTTTCGAAATTGAAACAAATTTCATATAATTATCAAGAATATTCCCTTGAAGATCCGATGAAATTGTTTCATAGGATTCAACCAATTGACTATAAAATTTCGAAATCTCACTTTCCGTAGAATTTTGAAAATTATTGTTAACATCTATTATTCAATCATCAGCCTTTTTACTTCTCTCTAAAAAAACCACTTGCATTCTTCTGCGTTAAAATTTTGTGATGCAAAATTAGAAAGCGAAAATTCTCCAAGCTGTTGTTCATAATCTTCTCCATGCTTTATTGTACTTCTAAAATTACTTGGAAATCCTTCCAAATTCTCTCCTTCCCGATTTAAAATCGTTACTCCAACACGTCCTGAATATCTTCGTTTAATAAGTGATCCAACCTTTAAAAAACACTTTAATCCTTTCTCTTCTACATATACTACTACTACCGCACCTTTATTTTGTCTTTTTCCCTGACTTTTGGTAGAGGTGGAAATGTATCTTCTAGCAATTCTTCCTTTCTTTCTTTTCTAAATGCTTGTCTATAAAACCCTGTTAAAAACCCATCTAATAAAATACTTATTTACCTCTTAATATCCTGTATATCTTCCATTTGTTCTTAGATAAATCTCTATAAAATAAACATTTAAATCACTTTGCTTATTTTAACGTACTACCGATTTCCCGTATACGAAGAAGCTTAAACTACAATATAATAATGAAGACGTCCTGGATAGTTGGAATCGCCTTATCAAGCGCAGTAGCATTTGGAATAGGTATTTTATTATGATTTATATGTATTTTGAAGGTTTACTATGTATATTTATAGGATATGCGATTCATTTTGATTATAAACGCCGGAATGATGCAGCATTTCGGAGGAAGTTGAGTAAAACACATTAAATTATAAGGTTATATGGTAAATATTATAAGGACGTGATAAGAAGAAACTTTCACGGGCACAAAAAGTGGAAGCACAACACCAAGAGGAGATTTTGGCGCAAGCGATTCGCAAGGCATATCATGAAGTGCAAAGATGTACACTTCCTCATTTAGTTGAAGAACGTGAGCAGTTTTTTATGCAGGAAGTAGCAAAAGGTGAAGGGCTTTATGCTCAAGGCAAGTTTAAATATAGGGAATAAAATGCATGTTTTGAATGATATATATATAGGGTCACATAAATTTATTGAAGCAGCGAGTTGTTTTTTTCGTGCTCTTAAAGTGTACCCAAATCAAATGGAATTAATGGTTATTTATGAAAAAACAATACCTAAGGTATGTTATATTTTTTTAAAAAAAGAAAAAATCATAGTTTGTAATTATATAGGAAGTGAATGCTATTATCGTAAAATTACTTCAACTGGATGAAAGTGCTAATGCTTCTAAAAATATAGAAGAAACACTTGAATGAATATAGTTTTTACAGAGTATAATTGATTAGGTATTATTTAGCATTTTTCTCATGATGATCTTGTATGTTTAGATTATGTTAAAATATGTCTCACTTTTTTTCACTGTCATAAGTAAGCTCATTAAAAGATTATTTAACATGAAAATTCTTGGTATATTAGAGTGGATTATTTTTCTTTTAGAAGATAAATATTTTGTTATTGTTAAGAATCATGATTGAAAAAATTGAGTAACTACATTTTTGAAATATTTTTTTATTTGATCCATTTATAAATTCTATATAAATAGCCTTTCCTGGAATTATATTAAAACATATCGTATTTTATTTTTTCAATCTTAAGTCTTAATATTGTGCATTTTTAAAATAATTGCAACAGTTTTCAAAATATTAAAATACTTTTCAAGGAATGATTTATTTATAACTTTATAATATAATCTTAATACGTATTTAATTGAAATTTTTAAATAAATTAGGAAATATAAGAGTATATAAAAAGTGGTTTTAATCTAATAATAATGGATATTTTTAAAAAAAAATATGTTATTTACATTAGATAAATTTATAAATATCAACTATATGAAAATTAACAAAAAAATATAAAAGTAAAAAAATAAAATAAATAATTTTGATGATTTTCAAAAACAAAAAATAAAATACTTAAAGTTAGATTTAACGCCAAAATATGTAGTTAAATTCATATCTTAGATGTTTAATAAGAAAATTGTTTCCTAACCATGATTAATGGATTTGATATTTAATAATTTTAATATAATTTTTGAAGTTCGCTGTTTTTTGTAATTTAATAATATTCATCAAATATTATACACATTTTGATCTTTATGTTTTTAAGGACTATTCAAAATAAGTGTAGAAATCATTCTGTATTATCCATAAATATTATAATGGACAAAATAAAAGTTACTTACGAATAAAGATAAAAAAAGAAAAATAACAAATATATAGCAAGTTTAATAAAACTTTCTTTTTTATGCCTTCCAAGAGTCCTAAAAATTTCTGTAGCATCTAAAGTATATTGATTCGTTACGATTCTAATATAATTAATAAAATAATTGAGTTAATAAAATTTTACATACTTATTAATGTTATATGCAAGTAAAGGAAGATTTAACATAAAGGGAAGCCAATGTCTAGAAAAAAGAAATAATAATGTTGAAAAAGCGTGAATAATTGCCTCTGGTAAAATGTACTATAATAAATCTTAGATATAAAAATATAAAATAAAATAAGTAAACCATATTAAGCTTATTACATACTATATTAATCTTATTAGTAATAATCAAAAATATTCAGTTTACAAACGATCAATTGGATTAATATAATCACATTCAAGGTCTGAATACCTTTAATTTGATTATTTTTTTATAATAAAATCAAAGAAAACTTACATAATAGTGAAAAAAACTTGTATAAACAAATTTATAGAGTTAGTTATTATCGTCAATAAGTATAGCCATGCTGATGCAGACATTTTTCAAAAGTAATAAATCTTTTTTTGATTTTAAAAATTTTACTTAACGAAAAAATATTTTGATTAATATTTGATTTTATTATTAATATTTATATATTATTATAAGTTACTATTAAATATAACTTTGAATTTTTAAATTTATTTTTATTTCTTTATTATCTAAAAATTAATAAGTTTTTTAAATATTTTTAGATTTTGTAATAATTTTTATAAAAGTTATGTATATATTATTTGCGTTTAGTAAATTAAATATTTTTATTAGAAATTTTAAAAAATTGTTCTGCAAATATTCTGATTTATTTATTTTAGATGGTTTTTGTTTTTTATTAAAATGTTTTTAAACTGATATATCTAAATATTAAATTTTGAACTATAAAATGTTGAAAAATAACAGTTTTCTAATTTAATATTTATAAAAGCTATTAAATTATATATTGAAATTTTAAGAATTAATACTTGAATCATGAAATTTATTTTTGTTAATAATTTTTAACAATTTTAGATAAATTAATATATAATATAAAATTGATTTTTTAAAATAATATTAATTTAAATCTTTTAAAAGAGTATAAAACAAATATTTAATTATTTTATAACCTCAGAAGTGAAGAAATTTAGTCAGCAAAAGAAATTATGTACAAAACTATAAAGTCGTGTCTAATGTTATTCATCATTGGTTATATTTATTAAATATAAATTTCAATAAAATTAAATGTCCAATTTTTAGGATAGTTTAAATTGTATTTCAGTAAATATTTCTGGCCTTAAAATAATAATAAACAAATTAAAATCCATAAATATTTTTCGAAATCCTTACATTTCATATAAGAATGTTAAATAAATATTTTAATATCAAAAGATATGTTTAATATATGCAAATTATTCCATTAACATAGTTCTACTACTAAATAAAATAGAATAAATATTTTTAAGAAAATATAACCATGAACAAATCTAATTTTCACTTACCATGCTTCTCGAATTTCTAAAAATGAGTTTTTAGATGCTTCATAATTATTATTTACTAATAATGCATATTTATTGGATGAGTTATCAATATTTTGAGAGCTATTTTCTGTTACTTTATCTTTGAAAAATGACTTATTCAATAATTGTGATTTTGAAATAATAGATTTGGATATAAAACTAGAATCAGTAAAAGAGTTATTATAGTCAGATATATTTGTTGTCTTTCGACGGATAAAATTGAATAAGCTATTTTTAGGTACTGATGAAAGCTCAAATGCGGTATTAGAACGTTTACTATGTTGTTTAGAATGTATGAATGATTCATTTATAGAAGAAAGATTTCTAATAGAACTCTGATCTTTTTTTTTATAATTTTGAAAATCGTTATTTGAAGTTTTTTTTGAATCTTTAGAAAAAGATTTTTTATTATAATTCTCAGCATTATTGCAATTAAATGACGGTTGACAAGATGATGAAAGCTTATTAGTTATACTTAAAGAATTCATAAATTCAGAAGATTCACTTTTTGAAAGTATAGCTTTTTTATCTGCCTGTATACATTTATCAATTAATGTAATATTTGATTCGTGTTCATCATTAACTATATTATTTGATGTTAAAAGTTTAGCATTTTTTGAAGTACCTAAGCTATTATCATAACAATTGGCTTCGTTGATATAAACCTTGTCGTAATTTTTTGATTTAAAGAGATTCAATTTTTTCTTATTAAGAGATCTAAATAGCTTTGTATTAGTATTAAATGGTTGACAGATGCTAGTTTTTTTATAATAATCATATAAATCTATAGAATTAATAGAATTATCATATTTTTTAATAGTATTCCGCCTTTTTATCTTTTCGCCATTACTCAAGAACAATTCTTTTTTCAAACCGGAGATATCTAAAAATATTTAATGATAATAAAATATTTTTTAAATGCTTACCATCTACATAATTATTGGATACAGGGCATGAATTAGCGAACATACTAGAATAAAGATGTTCTTCTGTATTTCCTACCATTACATCATTGATATTATTTGCTTCATCAAGAACAAAGCTGTTTTCATGAAATGTACTGTGTTTTGATAAATGTCTGTTTAAAGGTAAATTTCGCGGTTTTTTTGCTGCTTTTGAAATATTTTTAGAATTAGAATTAGAATTACTCACAGAGATATTCTGAGAATTAAATAATTCTTTGAAGCTATTGTTAGATAAAATATTTTTATTAACTATAATATTAAAATCAGATATAAAAATGAAGTTTTTACAAATTTCATTATAACCTTCTTGATGCTTCAAAATGCAAGTCTCCATTTTTGACATTAATTCTGAATGATTAGATGAATCATAATTATAGCCTAGTATATGAAAATAATTTTCAAAATCATATAAATCCAATTTTTTAGGTATAAAATGCGATAATTTCTGTTTTTCAGACTCGTCTTGAACATACATAATTTCAGAATCATATGAGGTTTTCATTTCGTCACAATCTGCTTTTTTTATGTCACATGAAATTTCGTCAGATGATTTCTTTATCATATTAGTAAAATTAGTTAAACATCCATAAATTTACAAATAGAAGTTTTCCGTATATTTGAGAACCATTAGAGCTATTATTATCATTCTCTTCAAATCCTTCAAAAATGGAATTATCATCAGGAATTTTTAATATCTTTTTCTTCTTTCTAGCCTTTAAAATTTGCCCTAAAGAATATTCTTCTGGCATAATAATCCTTTTCACATGTGTACTAATTGGTAAATATGTCCGTTCATCAACTCCAGATTTTGTAAATGGTGGTGAAGTAATAATTGGATCTACTTGCGTCTTCGTATACTCATCATTTGAATCTTCTGACTATTTAAAAATATTAACTAAAAATGCTAAATATTATCAATTTTACAAATAATGATAGCTCTTTAAGATGTTTAGATGAATCATGTCCCTTTTTTTTGGCTGATTTTTTTTTTTTTTTTTGTAAATTCTTTTTTTGCTTATTTGATACATTTATTTTTTTATTTTTCTCTGAAACTTCATTTAATCCAAACGAAGATATGCCATTCTTCTTTTCCCTTATAAAAACATGTTTATTCTTCAATTTTTTTTTTGATCCTATTTTCTTAATAAAATCATCTACTGTAAAATATTGTTTTTTGCACTGATTATTCCGTATATTATGATATTTTGTGCATTTATTCTCCTTAGGTGCCTCTAAAACCTCTGATGAATGAAATCCTAAGTGTATTCCAAGGTATGTTGAAGATACCATCTCTTTTAAAAGCTTAAAAAATCTTGCATTTTTGACGATATTCGAATCTCGATTCAAAAATACTAAATATTAATATTATTAATATTATTAATATTATTTATTAAGAACTCTTTCTTAAATGTTTGGAGTTATTTGCGCAGGTTTTTTTTTATTATTTAAATATTTTTTCTAATAAGTAGGTCGGCCAAGTAAGAAATGATATATGAATTTATACATAAATTGATATGAATTATTTGTAGTTCAAACGAATATTCAGCAGGTTTTTTGTCTGTTTTATTACTATTTTTTTATGTTTTAGATTGAGAATAACAAATTTATATTTGTATTAGAAAATGCGGCATCTATTAATCATATAATTATATTTTTATTACCAGAAAGTAAATTATTATTTTAATGGTAATTTTTTTAAACATTTCAGATTTTTTTCAAGAAGGTTTTGGAGCAACAGTGTATCTTCAATACCCGGGAAAGCAATTTCAACTGTTGGGAGGGTATAGTGTAATTTTAATTTATAAATAAATTAAAATTTAAAGGCTTTCAAATAAAAAACCTTCAGCAATTTTCCGACTTAAAAATGCATCGAATTCTAGCAACGCCAACACTGAAATGGAAGAAATGCAAGATGTTTCAGAATCTAGTCAGTCTATAGCAGCAGTTCTTGGTATTAGTATTGAGCCGTTATTATCAGTGGAACAGCAACTTTCATCTTTATCAATGGCGCAGCAAGACCAAAAGAAATTACAAAAATCGGAAGTTTCTCGTCCAGTTCCACCTATACAAACTATAGTACAACGAATTATAACAAATTTATATAATTTTATTGTCGGATTTACTACATCTCAACTTCCTCATGGTTCTCAGTTACTTGGCAATGCACAAATGGATAATACATTTATACCATTAAAGGTATATATATATATATATATATATGGGTACAATTATTTTGAAGTTCTAATTTTAAAAGGCTTTTCAGGATTGGCATTCTAAATTTTCTTCAAAACTATCGATGGATCCACATTTTCTTGAAAAAGATTAATAATATTATCTCTTATAAGAACATTCACGACCTATTTCTTAAAAGGAAATATATAGTTAATCTATTCATTATTACAAATTTTGTTTTTAGAAAAAAAGTTAAAAGTATTTTAAACAATTAAAATCTTAAATGAAAACGACGATTAATTATCGATTATTTGAATGAAAAATTACTATTAGGCTTTTGATGATTGTTAGATGTTTTTTAAATCGGATTCTGAACTTTTATTCATACGTTTTTCATAAAAAAATCAAATTGATATTTATACAAAATTGTTAGTAGAAAAAATATTTAATAAAAATTATTAATATTCCTCTAGAAAGCAAAAATATTAAATAATATATCATTATTATGATCATTATATATTAATAATAATGCGAAATTAAAAAGTACCATAATAATATATTGATTGTAATTAATATTTTTAAAGTTAAATGTTATCTAAGTTTATTGGAAAATAGAATTATCAAAAAACTTTTTAACTTTATTAATATCTAATGTTTGAAATTCGTATTTTATTCAATTGTTTTAATATTTTTCTAATTTTATTAAAATTTTTATTACAAAATAGGCTAATTCTTTAAAAATATGAAACAATCGTATGTTTTATTTAATTCATGCAATTCATATTCTAATTAAAATACAAATATTTCTAGCAAAGTATTATTTATATTTTAATTGATTAATGATAAATTATATTTAAAAATGAAATTTCCAATTTCTTCAATTTTTAAAATATTCAAGATTACTTAAAAATAAATAAATACTGATTATAAAAATTAATATTTTCTGGATATAATAACATAATCATTACAATAATTTTAACATAAATATATTTAAATAAATTTAGATTTTTTAACATATCATTGGTTTAATAACAAATTCTGTATATCTGTATATAAAATATATTAAACTTTTAATTTAAATCATATCCTTTTTAAGAAATTGAGTTCATTTTAATGTAATTTCATTTTTTTTTTATGATTATGTTGATATTGATTTTTTTAAAAAATATATTTATACTATTCTACCAAGTTTATTAAAATTCAACAATTATTTTTTATTTAAATTTTTATTTTTATATTATGTTTTTTAACTATATTGGATTATTTTTAAAATGCCTATTTCAAAATCAATTTATATAATTTAAGCGTGCAAAAAATATTTAAGAAAATCAAGTTTCTTTTAATATTAGAATATACAATTGATCTAAGGAAAGTTGTATATCCAATCATTCTAAATTAGGGGTTACTATGGAGGAAATTCACATACACAATCACTTATAGTCAACATTAGATTTGGATTAAATACTCGTTTATAACCTTTTTCATTCACTAAGAGAGGGCATTTTTACTTCAGTTGGTTCTAAAGAGGACCATTTTCAACTAAGAGGGCCTCAAATTAATTCATATAATATGATAATAAGATAAATTAGCTAATATTGATAAAAAGACTTTTTGTCCGTATTATCCTTGAAAAATGCAAAAGAAATCTCATGCAATTGTATGTGCGTTTCTTGTGAACTAGGTACATTTTTTATTAAAGAAGCTTCAGAAAATATTGTTATGATATCTATAAATACTACATGTTCAATTGTATACAAGTTGGTAACAATTAAAATATTAAAGTATTTCAAATTAGAAGAGCTTGTACATATATTTGTTTTTTTTTATTTTCTAATTTTTTTAGATTAATGTTTTAGCTTATGATTTTTGGGTTTTATAAGGTATATCATTAGATTATACAGATATGGTGTTTATAGGAGCGAATAAAATATCTACTATCAAAGTGGCTATACTTGCTGGAGTTAAAAGATTCTTTGCTGTTCCTGTTGTTGTGCAGATTCTTGGAAATATATGGAGAGCAAATATTGTTTTTTATTCTGGTTTTGACAAGAATGATTTTATACCAGTATTATCGAAGAGTTTTAAGAATCTATGATAGTAGAGAATGTAGTATTTTGAAGCTAAGTAGACTGTGTGTACCAAAATATCGGCATTATATGGCTACTGTAAGCTTTGCTATAATGCTAGCTTTAGTTATTGTAACCTTAATACAAAATATGCCTGAAATAATTACTTTGAAATTGGTTATGGATTTTTGGGTTATAGGATTTATATTGGATAAGGTAATTTTACTGAAGTTATTTATCTTAATGTTAATATCTTAAGATTATGTTATAACCAATTCGAGTACCAGACTTTATTAAATTTATGGAATATATTTGACGTAAAGAATTTATTTATCCTAAAAAATGCCAATATTATTCAAAATCACTCTTTTCTGTATATTTATTGGCTTTTTTGCATTAAGATTATACGGACTTTTTATTAATAATCTGGTGCACAAAATTTCACGTATAGTGTATGATATTTTAGCAACAAATGCGCTATTTCTCTTTCAAAGACTATTTTCTACAAAGGGTGAAACAATATTATGTTTATTAAGAAATATATGTTTAATTATTATTAGATTATTATCGTTATTTTTCTCAAATGCTTATTGGGTTTCAGAAAATGGCAATAGATTTTTTACAACCTTAATTTTAATTATTATTATATTTTCCAGGTTTTGGGCAATATTAAACATTTCCTTTGCAAGAGACAATTGTTCTTTAAATTCCTTGGTTTTCTGATTAATAGTATTTTAAATAATACATAATATTAAATTGATATAGTGTTTTTATAGCAATTGTTTTTTGGATTTTCATATGCAGCATAGAATATGGCGAATAATTTGAATAATTTGGGACGAATATCATTGATTCTTTTTATGGCGAATTTGGATTATTTTGTAGCAATTGCTTTAGTTTCTGTTCTTTTAAATTCATTTGCTTACGTTAGAGTGAATGCATATGAAGATATAAACTATTGCATCTTAATATTCTAAAAATCATAATATTTAGAACATCTGTTTCTTTTTGGAGTTAATTCTATTTCAAGTATTAAACCAGAAGTCTATTTTTTCTATCAAACTTAATTTAATGTTCTTCAATGAATTATTTATTCTTTGGGCTATATTCTTTCGAAACAAAGCTATAAAGTTAAATTAGTATGTTATAATGATTACGCAATTTGTCATACCTTTTACTATATTTCTATGTGGAAGATTTTGTCAAAGATAAAAACATTTGACAATTGAATTAGGTTTGTCAAGAGTAAGGTTTATATAGATACTATCGATAAGGATTATTTCAAAGCGTTTGCTAAGGAAACTAAAGCAGTAAGTGGCGTGTTAAAAAAGAAAATGTCGTCGTTATTCTCTTGCAATTCAAATGAAAGATCAACTATTAGATCAAGTATTTAAAATTCCTTATAATACATTAAAAAACAATGGAAAGAGTTATTCAAAAAATAGTATTGGAGATTATACTATTGATAAATGGCTGATATCATCATCCTGCACTTTTTTTACTATGAATATATTAGATGAAAACAGTTCTTTTAATCAAAATGAAAATATAAAGCAAATTCCATTAGAATTTAAAGAAAAAAAAATAATGAATTCTTATCAATATGAAAAAAACATATTTATCATATTTTTTGCGAACATGTGCAAATTTTAACTTTGAATTTGAAAAAAATCTACAAAAATAAATTTACTGAATTTATATTTATTGCGAAATGAAAAAAGACCTGGTATATAAAGGGAATATTTTAATAATATTAATAACAATGACTATGGAAAAACGACTATTTTTATAGATAACGAATATTATGATGAATTTGAACAATGATCCACTGATATCAATAAAAATACTAGAAAGCATGGCCTTTTTATTAATGATAGTATAAAAAAATACAGTATCTTTAAAAAATCCAGGAAATATATTACTTAAATTTAAAATATTGGAATCTATTAAGACTTTCAATCTTAGTAAACAAAATCCTACTTTAACTATGACTCAAAATATACAAAATCATTCATATAGAAAACAATTTATCTTTCCTTATTCTTCTTTTAAATTTGAAAATGAACCTTCTGTAAATATTCTTCTATGATATAAACAATATATATTTTATATTAAATATTTAATAGATATTCAAAATTACATTTAAACTAAATTATCATTTCGGACTTGAAAAAAGTTTAAATTTTGGTTTATTAATAACCTAATGAACAAGCACAATCAGTGGGAAATTACTCCTTCTCCACTAGATGGTGTCTCTTCTCTTGTTTTTTCTCCTTATACATCAATGCATTTGGCTATGACTTCATGGGACAAAACTTTAAAACTACTTGATATTACATCTATATTATCTAATGATGATAATAAGGACGATAAAAATATTATATTATTTAGTTTTGAGCATAAAGCACCTGTATTGGATTGTTGTTTTAGTAATGAAATACATATATATACTGGAGGATTAGATCGAAGAGTTCGGATGTATATTAACAATTGATATAATTATCATTATTAATTTATTCAGGTTTGATCTTTTTACATCGAATATTTTAGTATTGGGTACTCATGATGATGCAGTAAAGTCTACATTGTTTAATAGAAATATTAGTTAAATATTTATATATTTATAAATAAAGACTTATATAAATATAGATTTATTAATAACAGGATCATGGGATAAAACGATTAGACAATGGGATTCGAGGTCAAATAATAAATCTGTAAATATCAATTCATTACCACAAAAGGTTTTTAGCATGGATTCTGTTGATTATAAATTAGTTGTTGCTATGGCTAATAGAATTGTTTATATTTATGACCTAAGAAATATGAATGAACCTCTACAGCAGAGGGAAAGTAGTTTAAAATTTATGACGAGAGTTGTTAAATGCATGCCTGATGGACAAGGTAGTAAATTATAGAATTTATTATTTAATTAATATTTAAGGATATGTAACATCATCTATTGAAGGGCGTATTTCTGTAGAATTTTTTGATCCTTCACCTGAATCACAAATTAGAAAATATGCATTTAAATGTCATAGACAAGTTCATGATGGTATTGATAATGTCTATCCTGTTAATGCATTAGCTTTTCATCCAATGTTCTTGTTTTAAAGTTTGTATTTCTCTTAATTAATGAACTTTAGATACGGAACTTTTGTTTCTGGAGGAGGAGATGGAATTGTTGCCTTGTGGGATGGTGTGGTTAAAAAAAGATTAAGACAATATCCAAAATATCCTGCTAGTATTTCATCGTTGACATTTAGTAATGACGGGAAATATATGGCTATAGGAACTAGTGATGACTGTAATGACGTAGATAAAGAAACTAATGCAAATAATAAATTGTTTGTTAGAGAACTTTTTGAAGAAGAATGTAAAGGAAAAGTAATATAATGATATATATTAAATCTATAATGATATTTAAAAATATTTTCTTATAATTTTGGTTTATATTAGCTTTCTGTGCTAAAATTATTGATATCAAATAATTATAATAGTTTTACGGCATTTTAATTAATATTTAACAATATCAATGTTTTATAATAAATAATATTTTATGCAATTCTTTATAAATGTTAAAGAAAATTTAATATATTTAGAATTATAATTTGAACAAAACAGTAAATTGAAAAAATTGCAGCAAATTTTATGTTAAATTTAAACAATAAAAAAACAAATAAAATAAAAAACTATTTTCTAACGTAAAAAATTAAAAAATATATTAGTAATTTAAAATAGAAGTATCTATATGAGGTTTTTCCATGTATTGTTTAAATATGCGTTCCATCATCTAGACTAAAATTTCTCATATTACTTGGAGGAGTAACTCTGAACAAATTAATAATATATTTAGCATTAAAAGAAATTACTTAGGAATAAACTCCAAAAGTAAATATACTATTCCTATTATAATAACAATTGCTCCCGAAACTATCCGAAGAATTGAATTATCTAGGAGAAGACCGCCAACACTATAAACACACAATTAATATATATATAATATTTTAAGAAATGCCAAACAAAACATAAACTATAAATATATATTAATAACAATAATAATAATTTTCTAAATTTTACATATTCCTCGTCCTAAAAATGAAAAAACTAAATTGTGATTAATATTCGACAATTGTATATTTAAGTCATACAAAAAGAACAATACTTAGCAGTTTGCGGGGGAACGAAGAACTCTAAGACACCAGTGACAATTCCGAACATAATTACATATATCCCAATTATAATATTTTTAAATCCAAGTGGAAAAAATTGTGATATACCACCTAAAATCTAAATTTATTAAGTATAAATTCTAAATAATCTATATAAAGCCAATGCTTACCATGATAATTGCCGTTGAAACGTTGATAATTCTGAAAACACTTTCTGATTCAACCATTATTAATCGCTTTTATGAACGTTTTAAAAATTGTTTTAATTGAAGTCTATTTTGTCGTTTTAAAATTTAACAATTTAAAAGAATTTCTTTTAAATATTTAATTAATAGCCTTCTTACATTTTTTATCAATTATAACATTTTAAGTTTGACTTGTTATTTTTCTAAGTTGTAAATTCATATCAAAATCTAACTATTATGATTTTTATTACTTAGAATTATCAATTTATATGAATAAAATTATTATAAAAATATATCATAAATTCAAATTAGATAATCATGTATTTTGTTAATATCAATTAGATGATATGAATATTTTTGTTAAATTCATATAAATTATAGAAAGATTTAATTGGATTTGAAAAATTAAAATAAATTATATTTTGATTTTTTCTACAATATATAGGATACAAATAGAAATAAGATGTAAACCATATTTTTTTGAATTGTTAGATGAAAAGGACGTTTTCTTATTAATTTCTAATTATAGATAATATTCAAAAATCTAGAATTTATATATCTAAATACTTAGATTGCGTTAAAAGCAAAATTTCACATGCTGAATATATATAAATTACATTTTCGAATTTAAAACATTTACATACAGAAAATTCTGATAAACAATAAAATTTTCATAAAATATGTATTTTAAAAAATCTATTATAAATAAGTTTAAATTTTACTATATCAGTGAATATATCTTTTCATAGATATATTTATCAATTAGAACCCTACAAAGAAAAATATTGTGACAAATGTATCATCTTATATACATCATAAATTTCATTTACATCACCACACAATTACAACAAACTAAACTTTTATGCGTTCTATCAGTGCCTGTTTGATAGCGACGCCCTATGCTTGAAGAAGCTTTTCTACCTGAATGTTCCTTATTATATCTCCTAATTTCTCGTACTAATGAAAAAAATGCTTCTTCTACATTTATACGTTGTTTTGCAGATGTTTCAATAAAACGGCAACCAAATGATTTTGCTAATTCTCGACCTTCTTTAAAATCAAATAAATATAGAAAAATTATGCAAAAATGATACTAACCATAATGACTTACATATCTCTCATCTTCCAGATCACATTTATTTGCTACAATAATCATAGGAAAATGATCTTTATCTTTAACTCTTAAAATTTGTTGCTGAAATGTTATGATTTCTTCAAAAGAACATCTATTATTAATACTATAGACCAAAAGAAAACCTTCCCCTATTCTCATATATTGTTCTCTCATAGCAGAATATTCCTCTTGTCCTGCTGTATCAAGAATATCCAGAAGTGCCATTTCATCATCAATCATGCATTGTTTTCTGTATGAATCTAAAAAATGTTAGCATTAATAATAGTTATTTAGAAAATCCCTTCTATTGTTGGATCATATTCATCAACAAAATGACTTTGAATTAATTGAATAGTAAGTGCTGATTTTCCAACTCCACCGCCTCCAACAACTACTAGTTTATACTCTCTCATAAGCCCTGACTATTAATTGTTAGACATATATCTAAATGAAAATAATTATATTAATATTAGTAGTTTACTCTTGACATATTATAAAAATATCTTTAAAATTTTGTTTTTTTAAACTTAAGGTTTTCACTTATAAAAATTTAGTTCTAGTCTATATTTTCACCCTCCTTTCTTTAGAAGTGGTGTATATAATTGAAATATAACTTTTGAAACTATTTTTTTGAAACAATTCTCTTTTATTAAAGTAAATTTATAAATTTTATAAAGCGATGTTTACAATTATAACGATTTTAAAAATTTCATCATTAAAAATTCTTAAATATCATATCGTGCCTATTATTTGACTCAATATTGGGAAAATCTTTACTCTTTGAAATATTCCTTTATTTTTTAAGAATTATTACATGAAATATAAAAAGAAATGCAAATGTTTATAAATTCATTATTATATTTTAAATTATGTAGTAAATAGATAATAAATGTGTTTTTATACAATTTATTATCTTTATAAATTCTATTAACTATATATTTGTATATTTTCTTTAAAAAATTACTTTTTACATGGAACCTGAAGTCTAATTTCATAATTCTATGAAAAGTCCAAATTAAATGTTTTAGATATTTTTAGAATTGTAGCTTAAAATTAATTATAATATAATCTTAATGTTTGTTTATAAAAGAACTTAAGTTTATGAATCGAATCGCAACTTTTTAGTTTTTTTTTAAAGAATGTATATGAAATAAAATATTGTTTATAAATTTTAATTTTTTTTTGAAAAATATTTAACATATTTTATAGTTTTTAAGGAATATAAGGAATATATAATCTTTATTTTTAGGGAATAATGCTAATATTAAAAAGAAATTTTATGAATCATACAGAGCCAGATATTTTTGAGAATTATTCAAATGATACTAAAGAGACACTTAAAGAATTATCTGAAGATAAATTTAATATTGTAAAACGATATGAAGCTATTTTAGAGGAAGATCCTGTATGTTGAAATAAAATTGGAATAAACTTATAATTATAGAACATTACAATGCCTATTGCTGCTATTGAAGCATTGGTCGATTTAGTTCGACATACAAAGGGCATGAGTTAGAAATTATTTAATAAATATATAATAATTGATTAGCTAACACACTTTCTGAATTTACTAAAATTATACAAGAAGGATCATTAATTTTAAAATCTTCAGTTGTTAATTATATTTCTGTTTGTGCTGGATGTGATTTATTTCTCAGATTTGTGACTAGATCTCTTAATGACGCTGTTATAATAAATTGGAATTTTTGGTTATTAAAATTTATGTATTATAGGATGTTGAGTCATGTAAACATCATCTCGTATCAAATGGAAAGTTATTTGTAGAAAGAGCTAGGAAATGTCGTGATAAAATTGCATCTATTGGTGCAAAGTTTATTAGAGATGGTGTAGTAAGTTCATCTCTTTTTTCTTACATATTTTATTTTAATATAGGTAATACTTGTTCATTCATACTCAAGAAATGTAAATGCGTTACTTCTGAAAGCAGCTTCGAAAAATATAAGATTTAGTGTATACATTACAGAATCTCGTCCTACTGGTTCGGGAATCATAACTTCTCGTATTTTGTCTGAAGCAGGGATTCCTACTGCAATAGTACTTGATTCTGCTGTTGGTTTTCTTATTCAAAAGATAGATCTTGTTTTGGTTGGCGCAGAAGGCATAGTAGAAAATGGTGGTCTTATTAACCATGTAAGCTTATTTTCGTATGTATTTATATTAACTTTAAAGATTGGGACATCACAAATAGCAACTTTAGCAAAGGCGGCGCATAAACCTTTTTATGCTGTTGCTGAAAGTCACAAATTTGTTCGAATGTTTATCATTTCTCAATTTGATTTACCTACATCTGGTCCTATTTTGCAATTCTTAGATCAAAAATATCCTTCAGTCCCAAAATTAAATTCACGGCAGTCGTCTCTTAATATTCATCGTATTAATGAGCTGAAAATGACAGAAGAAGAAATTTCTAATAATCCTATTCTTGATTTCACTGCTCCAGAATATATCGATGCTCTTATTACTGACTTAGGGATTCTAGATCCTAATAGAGTAAGCGAAGAGTTAATTAAGCTTTATCATTGAAATAGAAAATATACAAAAAATTACATATAAAAAAAATCGATATTGGATATATGTTAAAAGGCTTATATCGAGTATTTCTTTCAGTATAAGATTAAATTTAACACTGATGTAATAGTATCATATATTTATATATATAAAGATTACAAGACTATACAAAAATATATAGATTAAATAATGATGCGTATCTGTAAGCCTATCAAAATATAAGCTATTTTATTAATTTTTCCCAATTTCAGCTTAATTTAAGATAAACCGTCTATTTTTTAGTTTAAATTCCATAATAAATTAATGAATGAAAATATAGTTCTTTTATTAATTTCAATGAAGCTTAATAAAATCCTCTATGATTCTATTTACTTCTCTAATTGTCAATGATAACGGAACACCACCATTATCACCATTAATTATTTTTTGTTTAGTATCATCATCTAAGTCAATAAAACACTCAATAAAATCTCCATCTATAAAACATTTAGGCTCATTTACTTTTTTTCTTTTATTGCAAAATGCACGCCAACTAAAAAATATAAAAATCAGTAAATAAATAAATAAATCTTTACTTCGAATGATTTAAATGGCCTATTCCATTTACGACTTTCCCCATGTTAGACTGTAGATTTATAAGAAATTCCAAATGTTCGTTTTTGATTGTAAAAACAAACGCAATTGACCCATCTACCGTTACAAAAGTGGCTCTGGATAATATTATTGGATTTTCTGAAGATAAAATCGTGCCTGGTATCATTCAATTCTAATTTTACTATATCATATAGAAAGTTTTAACCTGGTTTGATTTGATTTATTAGTTCTCCCCATTTAATTTCAGAAATTATTTGCAATTTATCTATTTTTTCCTCAATGCTGGTATTGGAATCTTTCATGAATAAAGTTAAATTTCCCTCTGCTTCTGCGCCTATATAAAGATTGTCATCCAGTGCAGAAACACATGTCATCCATAATGGACTATAGTCTTTGGCTATCTCCTTTAATTTAACTCCATTTTCCATATCCACTAAAGCAAGTAGAGACACAGATTTCATAAGATCACCAATTATAATATGTATTCCATGAATTGCTAGCGACAAACAAAGAACAGGCGATCTGTATGTTGCAATAATATTAAAATTTCTTGAAAAATCATCATATGCATATAAATAAACCTTGTATAGTAATTAGATCATTGCAATATAATCAAATTATTGTTTTTAAACCGTTGCATTTATTCCTGCTACAATTTTATTATCAATTACACCTATACAATATACAGCATCATTGACTTGAATTTCTGAAAATATCCAAATTTTTTTACTGCCGGTAATTCCAAATAAAATAATTCGTCCTTTAGGATTTTCATTCTCTTCCGGTAACAAAAACCCTGTTCCAACCACAAACATATCTTCATTGTTTATAGTAATAGTTGTTATACATTGTACACATTCGTTAGTTTCTAGTTGAAAGAAATCTAAAACTATAACGTTTTTTCAGAAAAGTTTAATTAAATACATATATATATATTACCATCAAAGCTTATAGAATCTAAAATTTTTAAATAACTAGATTGGATTTCATTTCCACTCGAATCTTCCAGAAATAATTTTATAGTTAAAATTCCAAATACTTTTTGTTTATCATGATAACAAACTCGTCTTGGAAGCTCTCCTAGAGGAATTGTCCGTATCTGTAGCTGCTGAGAAGAATCTATTGATCCAATTTTAATATTATCTTCAGAAACAACGACAATAGTTGACGAAAACGTGGTAGATATAAAAGAACTCATACAAGTTGTTTCCTGAAACATTATTTAAAACTTAAACATAATTCCATCATACCTTTAAATTTACTGATGAAAATGACAATTTTCCGTTGTCACCATATATAATTGTAGGCTCATCACTAATTGCAAATACATTGATACTATTTGGTGTTATAAATCTTGATAAATTTACTGGTAATGTTCCTATAATAATGTTTTTCTGATTTATTAAAACACCTTTATTTAAGTCTTTTAAACTATAGGAAAGAAGAGTTCCATCTCCCATACCAACAAGAACAATGGGTTCATTAATACTAGTCAATGAAGTTATGCAAATTGATCTAGGAACAACACTTCCTATGAGATTATAAGATAAAAGTAATTCCATTGCGGGAACTGAAAGAATGTGTATTGATGGAAACGTCCAAAGACCGACAGAAATTAATTCATTATTTGATATATCAATGCAAGAAACTTCGTGATCGAAATTATATTTTCTTTAAAAAACAGTATTAGAATCAAAAAGATTCAAAAGTTCAATTTACCCTACTTGTATAATAGTCATATTCTTTAAACTAAATGCAACTACTTTTCCTTTAGTTAAACTTACAGAAGCAAAGTCGCTATCTAGACAGGCACATGTAATTAAATCATTCATTTCTGGCATCCATTCTTTTAATATTAAATCATTCTCCCAATCAATTAAACGTATTGATTTGTTTGAAATAAAACAAAACAAATGATTATTGACGTTACCAGCAACCAATGTTGGTAAAGATGTATCAAAACTAGAAAAATTTTCCCATTCTTCTAATTCTGGTCCATTTATGATATTTTCAAAAACTTTTAGTACTCGTGTTTCATTGACGAAAGATATAACTAATATTGTATATTCGCTTTTTTTCTTTAAACACTAATATATAATATATAAAAAATAACTTACAATTTGTCTCGAGAATAAAGCCCCCATATTCCATGTATACCATTTACGTTAGAAATTTCTGCTGTTTTATTCATTCCAATACCATAACGAATAATTCTTAAACTTCCATCTTTATAAGCTCCACTACATGTTACAATAGATTTATTCCTTCCCTCTTTATTTACAAAACAAAAGTCAGATATAGGAGAAATATTAGAAAATGATTGTAAAATCGAACAATCCGAAATATTTACTAATTGAGAATCCCCGTAATGTGATCCAACAAATAAATAAGAATTTTCAAGATATACAAGAACAGAGGCGATATTTGTTATACCTATCTGGAAAATATTCATATAATCGGAATCTTTAGGTGAATTTGAAAGGGTTAACATAAATATACGTCCATAATCATCTGCAAGAATATGTTTATTATTATTAACAGTTGTATAAGAAGAGAATACAGTAGGAATTGGAAGTATGGATTTTGATTTAATCCCAGAATTCGGATGGAAATACATCAATGTTTGCTCACCGACAACAATTATACCACCTATAACAATTTAAATTGAAATGAAAATACTTTAACTTACTATCTAATAATGGTATAAGTAATGAGGAACCTATGTCTAAATTTCTTCCTTTCAGAGATCCTTCTTTTATATGCTTTTCTCTTGATTGTATTATTATTTCATATGAATTTAGATGTTTTGCACATTTACTATCTTGATAAAGAACTGCGATGGTAGGCCTTGAGCAACTAAAAAGAAAAGTTATTGTTATAATATTTAATTCCATTAATCTTAGGCTGAATGTTTCATTCATAGATTTATTATTCATTGTATAATCATTTTTTTGATGTCTTCCTGTTTTGATTCCAATAATAGTAATAAGTCCTTGATATAAATATAATCCAATTACCCGAGAATCTGGATCAATAATGGATAAATGTCCACGACTACTTGCTTTTAATGATGGATCAAAAACATCTCTAGATAATATTTCATTGCGTAGTTTATGTTTGACTCTATCCCAACTTAAAGTAAAATACATGCATTCTTCTATAACAATAAAAAGATGATCAGTATCAAAACCAGTAATAGGTCTATAAGATAAAATTGCGGAAATTTTTCCATTTATTGTAAATTCATGAGCTTGTTTTAAACCTTGAGAAGAAAGTGTATAAATTTCAATTCTGTTACTTTTCCTATAATGACTATTAAAGTATATCAAAATAACTTTTGAAACTTACGCTACTATTAAAGACGGTTTTTCTGGATCTAAAAAATATGATTTTACAGCATATTTTATTGAAGATGCTTTATGCGCACTTACAACATATGCCATATTTGAATTTTAAACAAAGAATGAAAAACTATATTTATAAATAGTATGATATTTGAAATAACGTTTTATATATATTCATTAATTTATATGTCTATAATTTTAATGCGTTTTACGTTAAGTTGGTACTATTTTTGAAAGAATTGCTTATGAATAATGTTCCGCGGCCGGTATATATTTTTAGAGGACATGAGGCACAAATTAGTTACATTTATTTTTTTAAAAAGAATAAAAATCTTGCAACTTGGTAGATTATTTTTAATTTTAAAACATTTTTAATAATAAAGTGATGCCGATGGTTGGGTCATAATTTGGAATATTTTTACTTTTAGACCAATTATAGTTTGGAAAGCACACTTGGAATCAATACTTACCTGTTATGATTGGACTGATACATATTTTATTACGTAATTTTTTATTTTCTATATTAACTTTTTTAAACATAGTTATAGGCATGGAAGAGATAACAAGATATATGTATGGCAACTTGATTTTGAAATTAAAAGAGACTTAGAGGTGTACCTTCCGGTTGATCAAAAAAAGGAATGTCAGAAAAAACCATGGATGCTTTATAGTCTTAATATTCTGACTTTAAATTATTGCTCTTTTTCAGTCTGTAATAAAGGTATTTTTATATAAGATTATAAAATAATATTAAAAAAACTAGAAGATAAATTAGAGAATGATATTTTTTTGGCTGTTCCTAGTTCAATGAAAGCTGAATTGGTTAAAATATTTAATTATTTCAAAATTATATTAAATAATTATTTAGATTGATATTTATGATTTACCAAATTGTCAGCTAGTATATTCAGGAATAGGTTCTACTAAGGAAGCTACTGGTTATTTTTTTATATTTTTTTATTATTATTAAAATAAAAAAGGAATAGTAATGAGTCTTTGCATATATTATCGACAGGAATTATTATATAAATGCCTAGAAATTTCTGTTGGTTTTGAAAGTGGGCATGTAGGTGTTTTTACATACTCTCAAGATTCTCGATCATGGGAAATTAAGTATTTTTTCAAAATACATACACAACCTGGTAAAAAGACAGTTTTAAATTATTTTTCTGATTTATTAGTTATATCGATTCATTCTGATCCATTACATGAATTTCTTATTTCATCAGGTGCAGATTCATTTATCGTAAAATATTCTCTTAGTTCAAATTCAGATAACAATGTATTAAAATTTAAAACACGGCATAATGGACAACAATCCCTTAGAATTCGTTCTGATGCTAAAATATTCGCGACAGCAGGATGGGATGGAAAAGTTCGAATTTATTCCTGTAAAACTTTTTCTCAGTTAGCTGTCTGTAAATGGCATGAGATTGGATGTTCTTCACTGGCCTTTGGGGAAGTAATATCGGAATATGATGATGATGTAAAATTATTTGAAAAAAGTAGGCATTCAGAACGATTGAAAAAACATTGGTTAGCAGCAGGTGGAAAAGACGGAAAGATATCATTATGGGAAATATATTAATGTTAAAATTTTGCATTTTATATTCTGCGATGCGTATTACATGGATATTTCTATATCTATCTATATATATATATATATCTATATATATCTATAAACATTTTTATTAAGAAAATTAAGTCTTTTTTTTTAAAAAATCTCTTTTATGATCATTTTCTGTATGATTTGATTGAGAAATTGATATATCTAAAAGATAATCTTTTTTAGAGTAATATCTTTGTATAAAGTTATCAGTATTGTTGCAATAAAGATGTTGAAACATTTTTTTGGCCATTATTGATGATGAATCTATCCAGATGAGATTTATCCATGGCTCACTTTCAATGGAACGAAGAATATGAGTTGTAGAAAGTGCTAATGCTTCTGAACATTCTGAAGATTTTGCAGAAGTTTGTATTGCTCTAGTAGACATATTAGAGGCTGACTGAAATTCGGCCATTGAAGTCTCTTTAATAGTAGATAAATTATTTAGATGTTTAAAGCTCGGCCTAAGCTGAAGAGTATGATTTACAGGTGAAAGATGAAGTTCATCTAATTATAGATATTTAGTTATCAATTATAATTGTGAAAAAATAAAAACCTCCGCGAATAATTCCAACCATATAGCAGTTACGACAAGGACTTATTTTTGAACTAAGAGTTTGAAAATTAAGTATTGAATACTTATTTTCGGAAAAATCATTTTCTAGATTTTTAGAAAATTTAATACCACGTTCCTCATTATAATACTGTTTTGTATAAATTGGTACATCAATTTCAACAATGCCTGATTTAGGTTTAATTCGTAGTTCTAAGGGTTTGCTTAATGATTCTTCTATATAAGGTTGTGACGAAGAACGTATAGGATATTGAAATAGATATAGATTATCATTAAAATAAGAAGATATATAAATATTATATGTTTTTATAATAGGATCGTCATCTAATAATGTCAAAGAAGGATTTTTTATTGATTCTTTTAGCTTCATATTTTCAAATTGCCTTTAAGTTATTAAATAATGACTTCTAAAGGATATTTATAAGTTTTAATGATTAAATTCGAATAATTTCAAGATTGATATTTATTTGAAAAAATATATTAAAAGTCTTTAAAATTTGATTTAAATTAGGAATTTAAATCGAACTTTTTACAAAAATAAAAATATAGACTTTAGCGTTTTTAAAATTTGAAAAAAAGAAAAATTCAAATTATTTTAATATCTAAATATTTTTATTGTGTTTTTAATTGCACGTTAACGTTACACGTATTAAAATTGACGGATTTAATAATTTTAAAATTCATGATATTCATATTTTTTTTTTTAAAATACTTTTTGAACATTGGTATCGACAATATGTATTTCCTTAAAAAAACTAAAAATTATATTTTAAATATAAATATATGTTTATATCGTAAAATATTTTGATAATATTTTTATGGCTTTATTTAAAAATAGCAATATTTATTTTTAGAATTTGAAGATTATATTTAATATATGCAAGTCGTTTTAATATTAAAAATACATCAAATTATTCTGTAAATCTAATTTATAGATTATATATTTTATATTCTTTGGTTTTATATTTTTTAATAGTGTGAATAGGAGATACAAAACATGAACTTATGACTATATATTATTGTTATTTCTATATTAGTTAAATATAATCATTGGATAGAAAATTACATAAATTAAAATCTAACTAATTTTTAGGAATATCAATATATTAAAAATATTTATGATATGATAGCTGTATTTTAAAAAATCGAGTGTCTTATCTATAGTATTAAAAAATTCTAATTAAAATTTTTGAAAAACAAAAAATATTTAATAATTATTTTATTGAGATTGGTTCAAATATATACACAATATATATTACGAATCAATTCTGGATAACTATAAAACTTTTTGTTTTCCTTTATTATATTAATGAAATATCATAAATTATAATTTTTATTTATTTAGAACAATTATAGAAAATTTTATTTTATAAAATTATAGAAATTAATACTATAGTAATCGAATTAATTTTGATATAAATGAAAATAAAATATCTATAAAATCAATATTTATATTTATAAAATTGATTTTAAATAATATTGTATTTACAGAATAGACCGTCAAAAGAATATTAAATTTTAATTACTCGAATTGATATCTTTATTAAATAAATATTATGAATAAGTAAATATTTATATTTAAACATGAGATTATTAATTTTATATAATAACTATGATTATTTTTGAAGAAAAATTAAAATTTAAATATGTATATATTAGAATTTAGTTACTTGGGACTTAATTATAGAATTTAGAATGAAATAATTTCCAAATCTCTTGTTTTGTTAGGTTTAACACACTAAAGTTCCAATATATTCTTGATTAAAATGATATAATTTTTATCTATATGTTTTAACTAAACAAGGAAATATTAAATTTTTATATTATAAATTATATTATAAATTATATTTAAATATACATGAAATACTTTTTTCTATAAAGTTATTTTATAAAGATTTTTAGTAAAAAATATTAAATAGATCATAAAAAATATAAAAAATTATTTTAAAGGGATTTTTTTATATAATTAATTTTTAAAATAATCTTAATTTTTTTAGAAACTAATTATTTTGTTTATTATAATCCAAAGCTTTTATTTTTAATGTAATATATATTTTTATAAATAAAAGTTTAATAAAATATAACTTTATATTATTTTATTTAAAAATAAACTATGAGTGTTAATGAAAATAGAAATATAAATGTAGGTGTTCTTGCTCTTCAAGGAGCTTTTCATGAACACTATAAATTACTTAAAAGCTTTTGTTTTGTAAATGCTAGTTTAGTTAGAAATATAAAAGATCTTTCTTCTCTCCATGGACTTATTATTCCAGGAGGAGAAAGTACAACTATAGGCTATTTACTTTCTTTAGATGGACTTGGAGAAGAAATAAAGTCGAGAGTGAAAAATAAGTCTTTAAGTATCTGGGGAACATGTGCAGGAATGATTTTATTAGCAAAAAAAGTTGAAGGAATGAAAAGTCAGGGTCAATATATTCTTGGATGTTTAGATATAATTGTTAAAAGGAACTATTTTGGGCGTCAAATCAACAGTTTTTCTACTACTATATCTTCTAAAGTTATTAAAAAAGATTTTTTAGCAGTTTTTATTCGAGCACCAGTAGTATTAAGTATCACCTCTCCTAATGTTACTGTATTAGCAACTATTAATAAAACTGGAGAAGACAACATAATCCTAGAAAATGGTGCTATTATCGCTGTACAACAAGACAACATTCTTGGCACGTCTTTTCATCCAGAACTCTCAAATGATAATCAGTGGCACGAATGGTGGCTAAATGATCTTAAAGCACGATATAAGATATATTAGCTACTATTATAAATATAAATTTGAATGTTAATGCTTTAAAAAATCTTTTTAAACATCTAAATAATAGTTTATCATAAATTATATATCAATTAGACCAATTTAATATAGATATTTCTACATAACATATTCATCAAAAGTTGACATTTTATAACTCTAAAATTATAGATTTCAATTTTTAATATATATTTGATATCCTTATTATAAAATGACAGAGAGCGTCGATGGTCTAGTGGTTATGATTTGTGCCTTCCAAGCACAAGAGCGGGGTTCGATTCCCCGTCGACGCATATCTTTTCAAGATATAATTATATGATTCTTAGATGGTTGCTTTCCTTCCTCATCTTTGTTTTTTCTTTTTTAAAATAATTTATCTCCTTAAAACCTTATTTTCTAAAAATTTGAAAATATAAAAAGCCTCATTTAATTTTTTTAAAAATAATTTTTTAAATAATTTTAAAAATGAGATTATATTTTATATAGTTTATCAATTTTTACATTTTAAAAAAAATATTTTAATAAAATATTTCAAGAAGTCGAAAAACTTAAGGAAATATTATCTTCAAAACTATGACCAGTAAATTTGAAGAAACAGGGCTTAAGGAAGAGTTTTCGTGTGCTTCCTTTGGTGTAAAAGTTGGATTAGCGCAAATGCTCAAAGGCGGTGTTATTATGGTAAATATTTTACTATTTTCAATACAAAATATATCATGCTTGCTTGATTACTAGGATGTTGTCAATGTAGAACAAGCTCGTATTGCAGAAGAAGCAGGGTAACGTTTATATAGATTATTCCAGACATTTACTTAATCTTTAGAGCATGTGCTGTTATGGCCTTAGAAAGAGTACCATCTGATATGAGAAATTATGGAGTATCGCGTATGTCAGATCCTGAAATGATCAAAAAAATTATGGCGGCTGTCACTATTCCGGTAATGGCAAAATCAAGAATTGGACATTTTGTTGAAGCTCAAATTCTTGAAGCTATTGGAGTTGACTTTATTGATGAATCTGAAGTTCTTACACCTGCTGACGATTATCATATTAATAAACATGAATTTTCAGTACCCTTTGTTTGTGGTTCTAGGAATCTTGGTGAGGCTCTTCGTCGGATTTCAGAAGGCGCTGCTATGATTCGTACCAAAGGAGAGGCAGGAACAGGAGATATAATTGAAGCAGTTCGTCATGCTCGCCATACTAATTCTTCTATCAAAAAAGCTTCTACTTTATCTGATCAAGAGCTTTTCGTTATGGCAAAAGAAATTCAGGCACCTTATGAACTGTTAAAAAAAACAGCTATGCTTGGACGACTTCCTGTTGTTAACTTTGCAGCAGGAGGTATTGCAACTGTAAATATTTATATATTATAATTAAATATACTTTTAATACCATGTTAGCCTGCTGATGCAGCTTTGATGATGCAACTTGGCTGTGATGGTGTTTTTGTAGGTTCTGGTATGTTTTTTATTTTTTTAAAAAGGGCTAAATTAATAATAGGGATATTCAAATCAGAAAATCCTCTAAAACGTGCATGTGCAATCGTTCAAGCGGTAACACATTATAAAGTATTTTTTTGAAACCTTAAAAAATACAAACTAACTTTGTTAGGATACTAAAAAACTGAGTGAAATTAGTATGGGTCTAGGTGAAGCAATGGTTGGGATAAGTTGTATGAATATTACTGATGACCAAAAATTTTCTAAAAGAGGTTTATAAATATTAAATTTGAATTATAATATTTATTTTGAATTATAATATTTATTTTGAATTATAATATTTATTTTGTTTATTAAATAAAAATATTATCATTAATAATAAAGTATTTATAATTTATATTATTTTATAAATAACTTAGTAATAATTTTTTCATTAGATTAAGCTTTTTAGACTTCCAAATTTATAAAAACTTGGATTCACGGGGAATCGAACCCCGGACCTCACGCAATATTATAATTGCAAAGCGTGCGTGATAACCAACTACACCATGAACCCTATCTTCCAATATGCCTCTTATGAAATATATATTCAATTTATTAAATCTCACGATTAGAGGTTAAGGTTAGGATAGAGCTGTCGATTTCCCGTTTTATTAAACATAGCGATAAAAAGGTTCTCTTTGTGACCCGTATTTATCCTTTGCCTGATATTTATTCTGGCAACTAGATATTGCTTATTTATTTCTGTATGACGTGTAATTGATGAAAAGCGCATTTTTTATGTTTTTTTTTCTACAATTTAAAGTAATATAGGTGAAAATAGAGAAGATAATGTCTTCAATTAAACTAAAAGTGCATGTTAAACATCATTAATCAAGCATTATTTGATTAAAAATGAAGATCAAAAAAAGTATTGATTATAAATCAATATTGAAAACAATCTAGTGATTAAAGAAGAAAGTTTAAGAATTAATTATTTAAATAAAGCAAAGTTAAAAATAAGGAAGATACAGGATTTAAGAATAATAATATAGTATTAAAAGTAGTAAAAGTTCAGAATGAATTAAAATAAATCTTAAAAGTCGATAAATAAAACAATTCAATAGGATGAGAAGGAATATAGAAAAAAACAAAAAAGATTATTTTAATTTATAATCAAGATTTGTAATGATTTTTATTTTTAATAGTTTTTCCTAATTTTTTAAAGGTTTATAGAAATTATTGTTGAGGAAGAAGAAATCCTTGCTTATATTTTGAAAGAAGATCATGACGATGATGATGCTTATAAAGAAAAATTTAAAGAATATTGTGAAGAATTGAGAGATATAGATTCAGAATTAAATGAAGTTTATAGCAAAGTTAAAGAAATTTCTGGTAATATAGAACAAAAATGCAAAAACCCAGAACTGAAGATTCATGGAAAAGTGGACGATCTTTGTAATTATATATATCTATTTACGAGTATTGGTATCACTTGTAAAGATTGTAATGAACACATACAAAAATGTTTGTTTTTAG